TAAATGCCATGGGGGACAAGAAGAAAAATTTAGATCAAGCAAGTAGGCAACAACAGTTCGCTCGCAACGTAGATGTCGAGTTATGGTTGAATGATGTTGAAGCTCATATAGCCTCAGAGGATGTCGGTCGTGATCTAAACGGTGTGATGAACGCACAAAAGCTGCACAACTTGCTTGAATCTGATGTAGCTGCTCATCGTGAACGTATAGATGCATTCAAAGTCCAGGCTGACAGGTTTGCTGCAGAATGTCATTTCGACGCTCCTATTATCCAGGAAGAACAAAGACAGTTAGCCCAACGTTACCATGACCTGCAAATCCCTCTAAGTCAACGTCGTGAGAAGTTAAGAGATGCCCTTCCCTCGGACACATCTTTGCAGCTTGAATATGGTGACCATAGTGAGCTGATGAAGTTACTAGTCGATTGCTGTATAGATTTCAAAGCACATTCGCTTAAACAAATCGAATCAGAAATGTGGCATCAGTATGCTGAAAGCTTCACTACTGGCTCAGTAGCCACTCACAAAGATGCCTTCAGGTTATGTGTTAAAGATAAGAACCCTGTTGTTGAAAACTATATTGGTTTTATACAGTTATACCGTGATCCCTTTGGCGTTCGTGCAAAGTTTGTATCATTTGTCCCTGTTGTAAATAGATCAGTGTCTAAAAAATTCCAACGACTTGTGAATAATGCTGAAAGGTTGTTAACAAATTTACCATGGCCTTCTACATTTGAAAAAGTTAATTTCTTACAGCCAGACCTTACTAGTTTGGATGTAGTTACGTTTGAAACTTCCGGAATTCCTGTTGGAACTAATATTCCTAACTATGATGATGTACGACAAGTTGATGGATTTAAAAATGTTTCTTTGAATAATGTACTTAGTGTTCGTTTCAAGGATCCTAAAACAGAATTTCTACGTAATGAAGACAAGCAAATGTACGTGGAACATGCTGAAAGTTGCTTTGAATTACAAGTTGGACTTCATGAACTGACGGGATATGGTTCAGGTAAACTGTTTCGGCGTGATTGTTATGGAAAACGAAATTTCCACACGAAAACTACTGAATATGTCATAAATGCAGATCCTGTAAAAGGTTGGTGTGAAGCAGGAGAAATGTATGACAGCAAGTTTTCAAACCTTTCATCTTCAATAGACAAGCGTCAAGCTGAGTGCGTTGGAATTTATTTATCTGATTTACCTCTTGTTCTGGAGCAGTTCGGTTTGACTACCGACTGTGCTCAAGGCGATGTCTCAGATGTAGTCTATATTAATTGGTTGTCAATGATTCCTTCAGTTGTAACTTCCATGGAGTTTTATTCTCCAGCAGAAAATGCTGGTGACATTGGATCATGGTGTCAAGCACATTATTGTGCTCGTTATGCGATTCTGCAAGTTTTGATTGAAGCTGACGATTCTATGGGACGTACACATAAAGTAGTCGGTGAGGACGATGCATCTGATTTGTGTATTTCCTCAGTTCCAAAAAGGCCTTTAACTGCGGCTCGTTCAGCAATTGGTGAATTCTTAAGAAAATTACAACATTACAAAGGTAAAGCGAATGCTATGTATGGATATGCTTTCTCCCAACACTATAGTCAACTACTTCCAAAATATTTGACTGATTTGCTCTGGCATAAATGGCTACGTGGATATCTTCTGATGCTGCAAACAAGATCTAAGTGTTTGGATATAAAGCACAACCTACAACCTGATGATCTCGTCTTAGTTAACAGTGCTGACACACAGAGAGGTCTCTGGCGAAAGGCTATAGTTAAGCAGATGTACTATGACCAAGATGGCCACGTCAGGACACTGTGTTTGAAAACTTCAACTCAAGAAGTGGAATAAGATATAAGAAGCGTACGAAAAGTCAACGTGGTGATCGTTCGCGGGGAGTGTTAATCGCGACAGATAGATAGATTGTATGATAAACAGCCAATCAATATTATATGACCTTTCTTGTCGCGATTATTGGCCAATTTACTGTAACTCTCACCACGTGATGACCTTGAATGTTCTTTTTTGTCTGTCACTTTACTTGTATATACATGTAATTAATTGACTGTTCATTTTGTCCGTACCTTCAATACTGTTCGGTACGTTTTTGTCCTATTTTTGTAATGACAATGGATTCGTACATTTTTCTTGGTGTAACTGTATGATTTATTTTATGTTTTAGAAACAGATAAAGTTAAGTCAAGTCATCCTGTTTTTAACTATAGCTAAGCCGAGACTCTGTATCGTCAGTATTGAGGCGGGACTAAATCTGTAGGACAAAAATAATCCTGTAGTACCCCTGTACCGACTATAAACATACGTTTTTAATCTAATTTGCATACTCATATTATATGTTTACACATACCGATTTTATATGTACTTCGTAAACATTTGCCAATTTACTGTTGAACGTTACCTTGATACTTTTTCGAAATTTGACTACGGCTATAATACACGATTACACTCTTCACAAGTGCCTTCTGATTTTACGTTGTGGGCGTCGAGTAGCCACAACGTCTGCGCACATTGATAAACGTGAAGAAGTACTAGGAAATACGTGTACGCTCATTTAGTCAAATAGAACACGCAACAAATTGGTGAGCCCCGACGATAAATTGCTGACTCCGACGACGACTTTTGACCTCGACGCGTTGTTACACTTACTGGATTATTAAAACTCTAACTTTCGCGGATTTATATATTTATTAAGCAATTCGAACTCATTTTTGTGTTTGCTCATAGCACAACCTGCAGTAATTTGTGGTAAGCACCTGCATTGCATTTTTTCTGTTTTGCCATATTCTTATTGTGCACAAATTTTGCCATTTTCCTACTCTTAAACCATTTTTTTTACGAATTGTAACATGTCTTCCAATACCTCTGATAACTTAGAGCTGGGATCTGTTAGTACTATCTCTCTTACTGTACCAGTTTTTAAGCCCAGGGACCCTCATCTTTGGTTTGCACGACTGGAACATTATTTGGCTAGCAATAAGCTAACGTCACAGACAGCTAAATTCTGCATTTTGAGTACAGTACTACCAGACGAAGTCGCCGAGCAGGTACGGCAATACATCGTCCAACCCAGCACAGAAGCACCTTACGACAAGTTGAAGGAAGAGGTACTGCGATGCACTTCGCTTTCAGATAGGCAAGCACTCGATCGCCTGTTAAGCAATGTTGAGTTAGGTGATAAAACCCCATCTCAACTCATGAGACATATGCAAAGCCTAGTTGCCGGAAGAGAAATCGATAAACGTCTCTTTTACCAAATATGGCTGCGAAGACTTCCCGCAAACATCCAGCAGGTTCTTGCTTTCGGAGACGACGACATTGACATAGAAAGGCTCACCGAAATCGCGGATCGCATGTACGAGAGGCCAACACCTCAATCTGTCGCTTCCACTAGCAGAATACCAGACACTCATGATAGAATACAGACTCTAGAACACAAAGTCGACACCTTACTGAGTCAGTTAGCAAAACTGACCACACGCACACAACCAAACCGTTCTAGAAGCTCGTCCCGTCGACGTCTTTCTCGATCCCCTAGCACGTCACGACAACGCGATAATATTTGCTGGTATCACCGTAGTTATGGAAGCAATGCACGACGGTGCCGTTCACCTTGCAACTTTCAGACTAAACCAAAAGATATATCGTCATGTGTAAGAAATACTGTTGACAATCTACGATCTAACAGTCGTTTGTTTTATGTAACAGATAAAAATACCGGTACTACATTCTTAGTTGACACAGGAGCAGAGGTGAGTGTTCTCCCTCCGTCTACACAGGAACGTCAACATCCTGACCCAGCAGTTACGCTCCAAGCTGTTAATCAGTCCAGTATTGTTACATATGGAACCAAACGAATGACTTTAGATTTTGGTTTAAAGAATACCTACACTTGGTCTTTCATCATTGCAGACGTCCCATCCCCAATCCTCGGTATTGATTTTCTACAGCAACACAAACTGTTAGTTGATCCGATAAGCCCCAAGCTAATAGATTCGCTCAATAAAACGTACATTGCTGGTACGATTAGCCATGCATCATCGTTGAACTTGATGGTCACACGCACACCAGCATCTCCATATACCAATTTGGTAAATCAGTTTCCTGACCTTTTACAACCTTCTTTTCGAGGAACAGAACTGAAGCATCATGTGGTTCATCATATTAAAACTACTGGACCACCAGTTTTTGCACGTCCCCGACGCCTTGACCCACATCGACTTAAAATCGCCAAAACAGAGTTCGATAAAATGCTAGAGCTTGGTATTATTCGACCGTCCAACAGCTCTTGGTCTTCACCGCTTCACATGGTACCCAAAAAGTCTTCTGGTGAAATACGGCCGTGTGGTGATTATCGAGCTTTAAACAAGCAAACGGTACCTGATAGATACCCTATACCACACATCCACGATTTCGCTAGCAACTTACCAGATGTTAAAGTTTTCTCTAAAATTGATCTTGTCCGAGCGTATCATCATATCCCAATCCACCCGGATGACGTTCCGAAAACTGCCATTACCACACCATTCGGTTTATATGAATTCGTACGCATGCCATTCGGACTTATGAACGCCGCTCAGACATTTCAACGCCTAATCGACCAAGTACTCCGTGGTCTCCCTTTCGTCTACGCATACATCGATGACTTACTAATTGCAAGTGCAGACGAAGCCGAGCATTTGAAACATGTGAAGACAGTGTTTGAAAGACTTAACCAATACGGAATGACTATCAACTTAGACAAGTGCGAATTCGGTAAGACCTCACTGAAATTCCTCGGCCATTTAATCGATAGCCAAGGAATCAGACCAGTCCCTGACGACGTACAAGCTATCAAAGATTATCCATTACCAGATTCTTTTAAGAAATTACGACGATTTTTGGGTCTCGTTAATTTTTACCGGCGTTTTATTCCTAACTGTGCTAAAGCTTTACAACCATTAACCGATTGCTTACGTGGACACAGTCGTTCATTCCATTTGCCCGCAGAAGCTGTTAAAGCTTTTGAAACTGTTAAACAATTGTTAAATGACGAGACGCTTTTAGTCAGACGCCAAAATGACGCCCCCTGTCTCTCATGACAGACGCTTCAGACGTTGCCATCGGGGCAGTTTTACAACAGCAGGTACACGGCGAATGGCAACCCCTAGCATTCTTTTCGAAACGACTGAATCCTACCCAATGTCGCTATAGCACTTTTGGTAGAGAGTTATTGGCTGTTTATTTAGCAATCAAGCACTTCCGACATATGCTGGAAGGTACAGCTTTTACTGTCTTTACAGACCACAAAGCTCTAACGAAAGCCTTATCAGCAAAACAGGATAACTACTCTCCGCGTGAACTACGACATCTCGAGTTTATATCTCAGTTCACTTCTGATCTGCGACATGTGAAGGGTAAACACAATGAAGTGGCAGACGCTTTATCACGTGTGCACATTGACAACATTGTATGCCCAGACATCGACTACGAACGTCTCTCAAACCTACAACGAGATGATGCCGAACTAAAAAAGATTATGTCTTCTAAAACAACATCTTTAAAGCTAGACGCAATTCCTTTTGGCACGACAAAAATAATCTGCGACACCTCTACGGGTAAATATCGACCCTTCGTTCCAGCAGCTATGAGACATACAGTATTCGAGAAGTTACATAACTTGTCTCATCCAGGTGTCAGTGCTACTATCAAACTAATAAAAGAAAGATTTATATGGCCGAACATTAATAGCGATGTTAAGAAGTGGACACGAACTTGCTTGTCTTGTCAAAGAGTCAAAATCAACCGTCACACTAATGCACCACTTGGTCGCTTTCCTAACCCTGACTCTAGATTTGAACATATACATGTAGACATAGTTGGTCCACTACCTCCTTCCAATGGTTTCAACTACATTCTAACTTGCGTCGATAGATTCACTCGTTGGCCTGTAGCAGTTCCAATAGCCGACGTCTCAGCTGAAACGGTAGCTAAAGCTTTGGTAGAAAACTGGATAGCTAATTTTGGTGTCCCATCCATTATCACTACGGACAGAGGTGCTCAGTTTGAAAGCCGACTTTTTCAACAGCTAACTGAATTACTGGGCATCAAACGAATACGAACAACCGCCTACCATCCTAGTTCCAACGGCATGGTTGAACGCCTTCATCGACAACTCAAAGCTGCGCTCGCTGCTTCTTTGACTCAAAACGACTGGTCAACCAAACTCCCACTGGTACTGCTTGGTATACGATCTGCTCTAAAGAAAGATATTGGCTGCTGTGTTTCCGAACTAGTCTATGGAACAACATTACGGCTACCAGGAGAATTTTTCACCCCAGGTAACCAAGTTCCACAAGATATGACTGGTTATGTGCAGCAGCTAAAACAACACATGAACGAGCTCAAGATATCACTTCCACGCCAGCAGGAACGAACGTCATACATCCCACCACAACTGACAGATTGCACTCACGTCTTCGTCAGGAGAGAGGGTGTACAACGACCACTTCAACCCGCTTATGATGGCCCATTCAAAGTTCTAAATAGAAACGATAAAGTTATCACGATAGAACGACTGAATAAAGCAGAAGCCATCAGTGTCGACAGAGTCAAACCAGCGTTCATCGACGATTTCGAAGACAACGATGAAGATCAGCTGAACGACGTGCCAACATCTACATCCACGCAAGCTTCAACGTCGCCAGAGAAACCTATGAAAACTACACGCTCTGGTAGGAGAGTTCATTGGCCTAAACGTTATGTGCAAATCATCAAAATATAACTTATTACGAATTTTCATTTTTATTATCTTTATTCGTAATTGTCATTTGACTACACATTTAACTGATTAATATCTTCATACGTCGATCACGTCACTACTATGTTAACATTGATATTTCCTGTATTATTACATTTAATCATATAGCGCTTAATATTCACGTATCGTTTCCGTATACAGACTACAGATCCCCGGCCGATTGTATCATTCCTTATATATTCTACCACGATCATCAATCCTATTTTTTCTTTTATTATCGCATTTATTATCGGCCTTATTGACCGCATTAAATTGCTCATTTTTTCAGCTTAATAAATCGCTTTCTGTGTACTGTAGCTGTTACGTATTACGCTGATGCATGTTATTGTCGAACACTTAAATGTATTTTTTTTATATTTCAGTGTTCTGGTGGGGGAATTATGTAGTACCCCTGTACCAACTATAAACATACGTTTTTAATCTAATTTGCATACTCATATTATATGTTTACACATACCGATTTTATATGTACTTCGTAAACATTTGCCAATTTACTGTTGAACGTTACCTTGATACTTTTTCGAAATTTGACTACGGCTATAATACACGATTACACTCTTCACAAGTGCCTTCTGATTTTACGTTGTGGGCGTCGAGTAGCCACAACGTCTGCGCACATTGATAAACGTGAAGAAGTACTAGGAAATACGTGTACGCTCATTTAGTCAAATAGAACACGCAACAAATTGGTGAGCCCCGACGACAATCCTACAGTCAATTGAATGAAATTTGTTTTTCAGAATGCATCAACTTCTCTGTCTTATGAACATGAAGTCTCATGGTTTTTGCCCAACGCATGACCCTGTTTAAGGAAGAATAGATGTAGAGAGTGAGTAGGTGGCACAGAGGTAGGATTCTCGCTGATACTCTCTGGTTCGGGATTCGATCCCTGGCCGATGCACTCCTTCACCTGAGTAAGTTAGTAATAAGAGGTTTGGGCGTGAGGCTGGCAACCTCACCACGTAAAAACGAACACCACTACTACTGAAACTTCAAGCCTCTAGCTTTAAGCTCTGTGTTCCATTGGGAACCTAAAGGAAAAGATATAGAGAGTGGATTTGGCGTAAGATAGCTTCATGATAACACAGTTATGGGATCTGTCGTCCTGGATGTGTCGTCACGAAAACAAAGAATTTTATAGACCTCATAACACATGGAGCAATATAATTGGCATGTTCACTTGGTAGAAGTTCGGCGATCAAGGAATCTGGAGGCAACATGAGCACCTAATTAGACGATGAAGCTTCTGTGTGATTTATAAAGTCTCCTTTCTATGTTGAGAGACATTGAAAGATGAATGCTCTTTCTTATGTTGGACTATGTATCCCACCCTTACTTCTTCATCAGCGCGCCTATGAAATATAAGTTTAATACAGCTTTCCATGTTTCTGATTTTTACATGTTATTGGTCTCACTTTTGATAATAATTTTGACAAGAGAGTTGGTTAATAATGTCACTTCCTCACTGTAAATAGTGGATATTGATTGGAGATTACTGGCTGGTAGATAAGGTGGGGTAAAGTTAACCAGTGAATATAAATTATACTATTTTTATTCTTTGTGAATCTCATAGTGCCCACTGGCCTGTAGTGTTTGATAAACAGCCTCCTATATGGTTTTCTACATCTATCCTCCATAGTCGGTCATAAAGGAACCCTTTACAAGAGCTGCTAAGTTCTCGCTTGATGCGCACTGTTGGTCGGTTGACTTTTGGATAGTTCAGTTACTTGATGGTTGTTAAAATATCTTAATAATAATCATTCATTTATCACTGACGCACTGTTGTAATTGAATTCGGATTTTATTTATCATTTCATTCTTCTGTTCATTTATTTTCAAATGACTTTAACTAACAAGGCAATTTTTCGCAAACCCATGAGTGTTCCTTAATAATAATATATATTTATTCCTATCTATGTAGGACACACCAGTTGTACAGGCGTGGATAAGTATTATTTACATCACATAAATTTGATTTATGGTGAAATTACATGGTCTCTGTTCTTTCTGACATAAGTTTGTGAGTACAATCTGCTAACTAGTCATTCAATGGAGCACATTAAGAAATATAGAAATTACAACAAAACACAAGTATTTGTTAGATGGGTTACAAATATTAGGGGAAAAATAAAGCTTGAATTCAATTCCTCCACATAATTATGGTGTGTGCGGCATCGTGGAGATCACACATAGAGTAGGTGTTTGGGGATTCACCTATAATAATGAATATAAAACAAGTATTCTTAATGAAATATTTGGACAATATTTGATTCCATCAGTTCGATTCACCAAGCTTCAGGGGTAATCTTTCTGCAAATTCTTCTGCACATGAACAGATAATACAAAGCCTTGTTGCAAATGCTTCACTACATTATCATGTAGTGGATAATGACAATTCAAATGTTTTTTGATTGGATGATTAATGACCCAATTTGAAAGACTTTTAGCCCTTTAGGTTGCTAGTTTCAGCTTTAAATAACGTTGTTGATTGTAATTTGACAACGTATTTCCTGGCAAAGCAAATGACTTACTCTACATTCCGGTCCATTACTTGGCAAAAGGGCCCTTGAATACCACTCAGTTGATAAAATAGTAATTTCAGATCTACACGTGTTCAAGATTTGCTTAGAAAATAAGAAAATGAAAAACTGTAATAGTACGCGACAAGAGGACAGTGAAATAATACTCTTCCTTTTTTTCTAACTCCAAATGACGCCAAAGCCTTTTCCTAACCACGTACAAAATCATGGGAATGAATGGAAATAACAAGATGGGGATCTCAAGATCCTCTACACTATATCACATCAAGATTAAGGCTAAGAAAGTACTGATAATAATTCTAGAGATCTATAGGTGATATTTGGTGTGCAAAAAGTGTGCTACTCGATGCATGAACAGCATGACAGCTACTGATTTGTTCTTCTCGTCGACACTAGTAAATCAAACAGTTGATCCCCTAAATGCCCTTGTTAGTAATGCCGAGCAAACAAGTTTTATATGGTTTCGTTAGTGAGGCCCTCCCTACTATCCCTTTAGCACAGTGACACATTTCCAATCAGTAACCTGGACGTGTATCCTATGGAGACTCAAGTTGTTTCTTCCTACATTCATCCTTCTCTCAAGATGAGCCCTCGTAAAGACTTTAAATAACGAACAATTACTACCACAAACATCATTATGAAGTGTGTGGTTGCCACGTTGGCATCAATATTTGTTGTGCGTTCAAAGTCTTAGGACCTTTGGATGAGACAGTCAGCTGAACTACGTGTCACTGTCGCCAGAATGTTCAACACCGGTAAAAATACTCCAATATATATAATACCAGAATCCTCACTTTGAAAGTGTCTTTCGGTGCATACCTATCGTCAGTTTAGTGTTTATTTTAACACTTTGTCTTCTGCCGGCTTTCATACGAGTGTATATCTTAAGTGCATTTGTCGTAAAATACCTTGGAATCTGTTGAGTTAATTTATTGCCTTATCAAAGCGTTGCCCATTTAGGTATCAAATCAATGTTCCCATAGACTTCAGTAAATAGAACACAGGATTTCTGTAGGCAAATAATAATGGGTAGGACAGAAATAATTGCATTTAAGCCGTCTCAGTAAAGATTGACTGAACGAGCAACTAAGTAGGAAATATATCCTTTTTATGATTGTTAAGGCTTTATTTATCTCCTGGATGCTGAATGCCCCTCCGTTAGTTTGACCGCTCCATTTGTCCTCTGCCGTGCTCTCGGAAATAAAGGTTCACAAGCTCCATTAGTCTTCTGCAATTAATAGATCTGTCCGGTCGGTTAAGTGAGTAATTATTTTGGCGAAAACTTTTGCTTACACCTTAATAATAATAATTTATATTTCGTATAAACAGGTAAGTTTACATGAAATGCATGCCATTTTTACAGGCACGATCAATTATGTTACGAATTGCAATTGTGAATTAGCATACATTGGTGATAGCGTTTCGTTCACATTTTGCCCTCTACTTCGTTGAAGTTGACTAGTCTATTTGTCTGCATTTTTGTTGGCTTTAGGACTTATTTATTTTTCCCCTAGTAATTACTACTTAGTTCAGTACGTTCTACTCATTATGTCTCGTTCGTCAAGCACAGAACTTCACTTAAAAAACTCTACTTCTGCGAAAGTGGATTCTTTAGTAACTACCAAAGTTAAGTTACCTGAATTTGAAATGACGCGGATCTATGGTTGGTTCGACTGCGGAGCTACTGTAACTGGTATCACATTAGGTTTGAAACCACCAGGCATGGGGACTTATCTTCTCAATTGCCTTATGAGATTAGCAAGGAGGAGCAGGATCCCATAGCTTCGCACTGATCAAACGATCTGCAATACACAGCACCTACGTGAGAGGTGATAAAACGCATCTTCTTATCAAACCACCAAGGTATGCAGCGGGTGGTTTAAAGGGGGAAAATGAAAAATAGATCTTCATCACAATGATTGAGCCAGGTGCAGCAGCTTTCAGGGAAAATCCTGGTGTGAGAGACTGTACTGAAGCAAGGTTGTATGCAAACCAGCCCAGAGTACGTGCAGCTAGCACTAGACGTACAAGGTCCTAAAAAGATAGCACAAATCTCTGATCGAATTTTGGAGAGGAGGTGACTTACAGAAGGTCAACTGAGCCATATGAGCATGAGCGAAGACCCTAAAATCTTAGAATTAATGGCAAACGTTAGACAACTAATGGAACAGCTGGCACAAATACAATTAATACAAAGTAGTCAGGGTAGATAATTCAAATGAGCATGACCCTGACCAACGAGTATATCCGGACAAACTAAGTCGAAAGGTAAGTTCTGTTGGTATCACTATACGTTTGGCGCACGATCAACAAAATTTTTTTTTGATTACAGCTTGATTCCAAACCGTATTTTCTGGTACAAGTATGGAATTTTCAGCATGTGATATCGGTAGCCCAAATTTTGCATACCGACCATAGACATCAGGTGTGCGTTGGCTGGAGATGGAACCCCGGACTATGTGCATGATCGGCGAGAGTCCTAACGGCTGTGCTACCGACACACTGAAAATACATTAGCATTGAGAACCTTTACCTTTAACTAATTCATGATGACATTCAAAGTGAGGAGGATGAACGAATCGAAGTTTAAAACACTCCAATCAGCAACAATTACGTAGAAATTACTTATATTGCAGAAAGACTTCTTACGAAAGCAGCTCATATTATAAACCAGTCTGACGCTGTATACTCTAGAACCAACGAATCATCCAAAGAAAAATTTTTATACCCGGGAGATTCTGTGTTTAGAATAGTGTTATAGAGTGTGTCAAGTGAAGCTGTGAGTGGACTGTCAGAAAACCAAAAACAACCCAGTCCAAATCAGCCTTTCAGCAGATTTTAGATTTAAGTTTGGTGTGTGCAGCTTCGTAATGAAAGCTATATTGATATCAAGAATAATTAGAGCAGAAAGATGTATACATTTAAGGTATTAAGTAGTATTTAGAAGTAGTAGAGCAAGTCATTCTCAAAAAAAACTCAAAAATAAATGTATTTACAAATAAGTGATTATAGGATGAATCATACAAGAATTAGGTAGTCGCATCCCCCTTTTCCATCTCAGGTGTCGCCTGAAGGAGATTCAATAGATAATCAACTGATCACTGATCTACACTACCTATATACATGCTATCACATACACTAGCAGGAATTGACTTTTACAGTGAGATTAGGAGAAAAAGCAAAGCGTTACTTAAAACACACATATGTACATGTAGTTGGTAAGTAGGGTTTGATTGAAATGCATATGAATAGAACATGAACTAACTATCTGAAGTATATGTATAAAAGATAAATGTAAGCAATAAGAAAGGTATTTAACATTGGTATATTGTCAGTATTACTAACACTACTACTGTTAGTAGTAGTCTTAGTAGTATGTAGTGTCCATACTATTTCTCTATGATAGGTGAATAAAGATATATTATTGAATATGGATGGTAACCATATTGTATGAGGTGGATTAATGTATGGCATTGTATCAGCTGGCCTCTTCTGTTGTTTATCTTCCTCAACCTGCGGGGAGAGTTTACTAGTATTGACGAACATTTTGATGTCATTTGTAGAAGAAGAAGACGACGAAGAAGTAAAGATACTTCTCTGGTTATTTACAAATAATTGTTGTTTATTAAATTGATTTGAATTTGTCATGAATGGGGCCTAGAAATGAGAATAAAAAGGATGTACGAGTGTATTATTATGATTACTAATATCATCACCATTAGTGTGTAGAAAGCAAAAGTAATCAATTTATAGTAATTTAAAATTATAGGGCTAACTGATAAAGACATTAAATTTAGAAGTATACGCAGATGTCAGTCACACTTCCAGTTGTAACAACTGTAAACAGTGTAACAACAGAAGACAAGGGCCAGGCAACAGATCGCTTATTGAGGAAATCAGCCTCATATATGTGCATCTACCAGTTCACCTGCTCGTGTGGGGCCAAGTATATCGGCCGTACTCAGCGTTCGCTATCCAAACGCATCAACGAACATTTACCTTCATGGTTTTATAAAGGAGAAAACCAATGCACCCGCAGCTCAATCCTTGAACATTTGATCGATTCAGGACACTAAGTCAAACCAGAAATAAACTTCAAAGTTATCTACAGAATACAAAGCAATCTTGCTAAAAGTGTACGGGTCAAACTTCTCCACATAGCAGAGGCAATGGCAATTCATCTGCTAAATCCTGAACTTTGCATACAAAAGAAATTCGTTCATTCATTAAATCTACAATGGACGTAATCTTACTTAATTTCAGTCTTACTAATTGTATTATTTTGTTACAGGATTTTCATCATGAGCTGACATTAGTTAGAGAACCATTGGAAAACCTTGGAGTTTGGGACTCTTCATCTATACGAACCCACCGGGATTCGAACCCAGAAACCTCCGGTTATAAGGCGAGCTCGCAGACCATTAGGCCACTGGGACCCGATCCAATGGCCCATGAATTCTAACTTCTGCCAATTCACGACATAGCGCTACCCCTAGCCAATGTCTCCCCTCCCTCAAACGTATCATCACATTATGCACAAATAAACTCTCCAGTTGTAAGATTACTAGCTATCTCGAAGTCATATCTCTGGTTCCATTGTTATGCCTTTTGAGTTGAAATAACTTTTTGATCGCATTATATATATATATATATATATGCATTTATAATAAATTATGTCATTTTTAGGCTGTTAACAGATGATGAAAAGCTGTAAAATAAGAAACACGAGCTCTTTTTATCCTACAAATTATGTTCTTACATTCTTTTTCCAAGCTTGCAATCAGTGTTTAGCCACAAGAAACCTTGATAAATGCAATCCATACAAATAATACTTCATATTTCATATGAAAGAAGACCAATGATTAAAGCATCAAACTAACCTGATGAAAAGTTGCAAAATCCTCATCATCTGAGAGTCCAGGAGCACGACTTTGTTGTGGAGTTGAAGGATTTAACGTCATATGATATGCAGGAGATATACCTGAGTATTCTTCGTATTCACTGTTTAAATCCTGAGAAGCACGACTTGACTGTGTGTAAGATAAATAACGATGATCATTATTGGTACTGATATTCTCATATTCATGTGGAAGTGAAGGATTCAACAAGTTTGTAGACTATAAAGCAAAGAAAAGTTAGTCATCAATTCAAACTTATTTCATAAATACCAAACAACAGGATTTATTTTATTCTTTTTTTAAAATTTTGATTATAGCTTAATTCCACACTGTATTTTTGGTATAAGTATGGAATTTTCAGCATGTGATATTATCGGTAGCCCAAATTTTGCAGGCTGACCAACTGATATCAGGTGTTCGTCGGCTGGAGATCGAACCCCGGACCATGTGCATGGCCAGTGATAGTGCTAACGGCTGTGCCACCGACGTATCAAAGTTATAATGAAATAACAAAAGCTGAGGAGGACACTACATGGACAATACACCACATAGTATAGATAACTCTTTTGTGATAGATAAATATATTATTATTATTATTATTGTTCCCTTGGGTTCCTAGTGGAACATAGGGCTTCAACTACACCTCTCCACTTCCTTCTGTCTTCTGCTGTACTTTTCACTTGCATCCATGTTAATCCATATCGTTTCAATTCCTCTTCACACGATCTCCTCCATGTCACTCTTGGACGTCCCACTCGTCGCTTCCCTTTCGGGTTCCATTCGAGCACTGGCCTGACGCGCGATGTCACCCAACGGCCTCCCCAGCGAGTGTCCAATCCATCTCCACTTTCTCCTGCATATTTGTTGGGCGATTGGTTCTTGTTTTGTTTGTCCCCATAGTTTCTTGGTGGTGATTCTTTCCGGCTATTTGATCTTTATTATAGAGTGAAGACAGCTGTTGATAAAGGTCTGCAACAGGCTGTTGGAAATATTCTTTGTGACCCGCCAAGTCTCTGATTCGTATAGAAGAACTGACTGACTTGACGTTTGTATTGAAAATCCGAATTTTGTTGTTGATGCTGAGTGAAGAAGATTTTCAGATTGGTTTTAGGTAAACTGAATTTTTTCAACGTACAACTTTGCACAGAAGTTCAGCACATCAAGTTGCCACATTCAGGTAGAGCAGACAAATGTAGTGGGGTTAGGTTTCAATGAACTGTAATGAAGGGGAATGTATTCGAAAAAAAAATGATAGTCAGAACCTGTTGCATCTGTGCTACTGACAATGACTTTGATTCCTTTCATCAACAGTCTCTAGGCACTGATTTTTCGTAACTCACGGACCCTAACTAGGCAGTCTACACCAACCAACATAGCTGAAAACCAACAGTTAAAGAAGTAATGAACTGACACTATGCTTTAATTTGACCACCCTGGACACTTTTCTGACACAATACTATAGTGAGCTAATAATGCTCGATGAGGAAGGCGCTAGCTCGGCATGTGTAATAGTGTCTTAGTCATCTCAAATGAGGCAGCTTTACAGTCAGTCTTATCGACTCATTTGGCCTCCTCACCCACCATTTCATGCATCACCTCCGGATTTTCAACTCCAATGTGAAGTCAGTGCTACTATACGGATCAGAGACTTGGCGTGTCATAAAGAGCATCTCAAACAAACTACAGACTTTCATCAACAGTTGTTCTTGCTCAATACTCAAGATCAGATGGCCAGCCAGAAAAGATCAGCAACAGGGATCTCTGGGAGCGAACCAACTCAGCACGAACCGATTGTGAAACAAATAGGCAGGAAGAAATGGAGTTGGATTGGCCATACTCTGAGGAAACCATGAAGTGAGTGACATCACACGCCAGGCCATCACTCGAGTGGAACCCGAAGTGGAAGCTGCGAGTTGGTCGTCAGTGCAAGGGTGACTTGGAGGAGGTCATGTGAAGAGGAGATGAAAACGTGTGGGCGGACTTGGAGCCAGGTGAAGACTCTAGCAGAGAACCGAAAGCAGTGGAGACGCACGGCTGAAGCCCTATGTTCCTTTGGGAATTAAGGGAAACAATAATAATAAGTGACATTACTATACCACCCAGTATGAGAGACAAAAGGCGAACATTTATCGGGAAAAAAGATAACTAGCCTCTTCAAATGTATAACTTTCAATGTGAGTCAGACATTTCAACAAGAGTCAAGGCAATTTTCATTACAGAGGATGGATTATTGAAAACTACTGAGGAATGACGATTATTCTCTCGTAATTAACGACATTTTTCAACAGTCTGGACTTTCGACACATTTGGTGCCTAGGAAAGGAGATTATCATACCGACAATCATCGAATGTTGTCATCGCATATCTATGCTCAATGAAGACACGATTGACTTTATACGTCATACTTTTGCATGAACAGCTACAAGAAATTCATTTTGAAGGTCATCAAATTAATTAATTAATTAAGATATTACAAGTAGTCAAAAAGACAGTGAAAATTAAGAATTTCAATTGTATCATACATGCTATTTTTATTTTGAGCACGTACTTTACAAGGATTTACAGTTGAAACACGTGTTCCAGTGGGCATGAAGTAATTCATCACAGTGTTGCACAGCTGATTTGCATACCTTGTAGAATCTCAAAAACATTTGTCTGTTAATGTTTCAACAGAAATCAAGCATTTAGGCTTGATATGATCATCAATCAATAGAAAATTCAGGATAACAAGTGGTGGTTCAGTTGCCTAGTGATGAATACCGCTTCAGAGACTGAATAAAAACGGGTGCTGGGTTCTAGTCTTATCGGGAGTACAATAATTCACAAGAAATGCAGGTATATATCCAGCTAACAAGTCGAAAATAAGACAAAAGGCGAGTTTAGGATTCTGCTGCCAGCCGCCATCAATTAAGTAACACTAACCAATTTTTGTTGAAGATATCGTTGAATTTTGCGAAGGACACAAGATGGCGTATCATGTTAGTGCATTTAATCCGTCTCTATAAACCAACAATATAAAGAATCCTGAAATCTGTTACTCATCGTCCACGTATTACTATTATTATTGTTCCCTTGGGTTCCTAGTGGACCATAGGGCTTCAACTGAACGCCTCCACTTGTTTCTGTCTTTTGCTGTACTTTTCATCTGCATCCATGTTAGTCCATAGTGTTTCAGCTCCTCTTCACACGATCTCCTCCATGTCACCCTTTGAAGTCCCACTCGTCGCTTCCCTTTCGGGTTCCACTCGAGCGTTGGCCTGACGCGCGATGTCACCCAGCGGTCTCCTCAGCGAGTGTCCAATCCATCTCCACTTTCTCCACGTAAACACTCAATTTTAAATTAACAGATGAGAAGCTTGAATCCCACTCAACAACCTATTGAAGTTCAAAATACACAAGGTGTTGTTTAATGTTGAGTTCATAAACGTGTGAGTGGTTGGTGGGTCGTCCCAACTGAGGCAGCTTTACAGTCTTATCCACTGACTTCTCCTCCATACCCAACAATTCATGTTTAACCACCTGTTATTGACACTACTATACTAGTGCGATATATATGTGCTGAAGATAGCAAGTTGTCATTCCTCTCTGCACAACTCATTGAAATCCATACAGTATGCAAAAGAGTGTTAGTCAAAAGTTTATGAGATCCCTTTTGTACATATATTATGCTATCTACTAGAAAATGCTAGTTAGAATATTGTAGTCTGTTAGATGACTCGATTAAATTAGCAGGAACCCCTGGATCTAGATTTTATGCTTGTTGACACTCGTTAGCAAGGCGTATCTGCAACCTTGAAGGAACTGATTTATTTCCCCAATGAAATTCTAACTCGTGTCATCCAGTGTGTCGTATTCAGAGACGTTATCACCTAGGTATTCGGACGAACAAGTACGAAATCTAGGTCCATGGCTTCTTGTCGATTGCACTCAACCATCTAACATAGATTCAGAGTGTATCGTGAAGGCGAGTAGTCAACTAGTTTAGTGACTACATTGAAAAGCTGACTGATAACATAATTCAGTCTGCACCAACACCAAGAACTAGGTTTCAGGTCTGACTACGGATTGACGTCCGTTAGAGAACCATTGAAACCAAGGAGTAGTGGACAACTGTTTCGTCCTAGCTTAGGACTCTTCACCAGTAAGCCCCCAGAACCTTTCGGTAACAAGGCAAGCTAGTAGATCACTGTCCATGAATTCCAACTTCAAGTGTTGGTTTGTAGGGATTTGATTGGTTACAGGATTTTCATCATAAGCTGACATCAGTTAGAGAACCATTGGAAAACCTGGGAGTACTGGACAGCTGTTTTGTCCTAGTTTGGGACTCTTCATCAGTACGCACCCACCGGGGTTCCAACCCAGGACCTTCTGGTTACAAGGCGAGCTCGTATACCATTAAGCCACTGGGACCCGATCCAATGGTCCATGAATTCTAACTTCTGCCAATTCACGACATAGCGCGACCCCTAGCCAATGTCTTCGGCGAGTATTTATCCTCACACCCGACCTGCTGCACCCTACTTCCACCAAATCGCGATTTCAGCGTCACCATCAACCAATTGGCGAGTAGCCGTCCACACGTCCGACCTGGTGAACTCCAACGGTCAAGACTTCCGACTGGAACTCCAGGCAACTTTGTCCTGTAGGTAGTCACTAGTGAGCACCAGATTAATTTTTAAGGGTTAGTTTGTAGAACTCTGATTTGTGTATAGTTTGATCATGGATTGATGTCAGGACTAGACGACCCCTTCACCAACGAATCAATGTACATTAGAGGCTATTTATAACTCAGGATGGAAAAAATGTTCACAATAAGCTGTTCTCCCAGCTGAGATTTTTATCTCTATAGTCTTTTCAATACCACTCTACTATACATCGTTATCACGAAAAAAATATTATACACCGATTACGCTATCTAATCGTGAAATCATTGATCACTCAAACACCCAACTTTTTGAGAATAGTTCAAATCAAAAATAAACAGGCATGCATTCTAGACAAAATCCAATAACACAATTGTTCTTACCGATGGGGTGGTTGTTAAGTGATCAAACCAGTGATCACGGACAATCTCACTATCTTTATTATTATCCGTTGTAGAATCAATCCCTCCAATTGACATATAATTTGGATCTGAATTATTTTCAACAACTAACTGAATTATTTTAGTCATTTGTTGTAGATTCTTGATAGCGCGGATAATTACAGGATCTATGTGAATATTCCCTTCATTAACAAAAGATTTTGAGGGTGGATGTGATCTGGAAAAGTTTAAAAAAACAAAACAAAAAAGAAACACTGATGTAAATTAATTAGGCGATGTTCTCTCCAACTAAGGGTATACTAAGTTTGACCACGAAATGATTTCACTTGGATAACTACTGAGAGTTAGGGAATATCATACAGCTGTTGTGACCTAAACTGGGACTCTTCATCAGTAGGCATCCATGACTCCATCGGGGATTGAACTCAGGAGCTTTAGGGTACAAGGTCAAGCTTGTTGAAGAATCAGCCACTTGGACAAGAGTCTGATGGCTAATGAATACTTACTTCTGTCAATTCCTTATATATAGAGATTCAAATGTTAATATTACTGTGTAGCACTGTATGCTTTATCAAAATAAAATCTTATCCATAATGGAGTTACACTCTACCACAGTGCCCAAGTTTTATACTTATATTCAAATGTTAGTTTGCAGGGATTTAATTGATTTCAAGACCGATCACGAACTGACTTCATTTAGAGAACTATTGAAAACCAGGGAGTACTGGACAGCTGTTACCTGAAGTTCTCATGAGAAGTTATGACCATAGGAGTCCACCATGTTGGGTATGAAGAGAAATACTCACCGATGACATTGTTTGGAGGTCGCAATATATTTCGTGAATTAGAAGAAGTCAAAATTGATGGGCCCTTGGATCTTGGTCCCAGTGATTGAGTGGTTTACGAGGTCATCTTGCCTCCAAAGCCTCACGATGGTCGGGGGTGAGTGCCTTGCGCTGCGGGTTGGCCACCTCTCCGCACACCTCTTGAAATGCTCCCATATGACCGGGCGTCTTACATAGCCTCTCCTGAGGAAGTCCTACTCACTGCCTTCACGTGGCGGAGGTGTTTTTCACCAAAGTGAGAGAGCGAAAGCGGATGCACGGTGCTCTTCGCCGGGTTGACTGTCCATTGGATGACAGTCTAGGGGAGATGGCTAAACCCTGATTCCAAACCTCCAACGACTGGCGTATGAAGCTCACTGGAGCTGACCGGCAGACGTATGGACAAAGGGCTTGTTGGATGTCCTGGATGTCTGGCCCCATTCAAAAAGGCGTATGAACCGAACTCCGGTCACCGGTTGCCAATGGATAGTGGACTCCCTACTCCACTCCTACTGCCTTGTAGTTCACACTTGGTTGTGTAAAGGCTAGAGCTGCACTCTCAAACAAAAGGCCGAGCGATTCTGGGGACATCACTCGTACCAAATTCCCATGAAACTTCATGAACTCTCTTACAAACGACTCTATCGCCGCGCCTGGGCAGCGATGATTCAAGATGTTCATGAAGCCGGCTTATCCTCCCGTAGGAGATAGCCGAAGTAAAGTAAAGTAAGAGGTCATCTTGTACCGTGAAGACTGTGGATTCGAATCTTGGTGGGGTCATGGGTACGTACTGCTGCAGAGTCCCATGCTATCCAGTACTTCCTGGTTTAAACGGTTCCACAAATGAAGCGGCGTAGCGATGGAAAAGCTAGACAGTATAGCATCTTATTAACATATGTTGGGATTAATTTAAATGAAAACAGGTTAATTCCATATTTCATGATGTGTGCTACTTATAAATCGATATAAGTAGTATGTCAGAGTAACATCTTCAGAGAAAGAATAATAATTAGTGTATGTCAGTAAAAAAAACACCTACTGAAAAATGAACACTAAAAAACAGTGATGAGTAAAACGTGTCCATATACAGACTGAAAATTACTACTGCTATTATTACTTGCTTGGAGGGCTTCAGCAGGACATCTTCCCGCCTCATCTTGTTCTCTGAAGTCCTCTTTAGCCGATTCCGCGAATGTCCATAAACTTTCCTCTCCTAATACGACCTCCTCCATGTCTCCCTCGTACGGCCAGCTCGTCGTTTCTCCTTAGAGATTCACTCAATTGCCTGCCAGGTGTGTCAAATCACTCAACGGTTTCCCCAGCAAATAACCAATCCATACCCATTTTTTTTCGAAATATTTGTTGACCAAAAGGTGCTTGGTTGCTCTTGGTTTATTCCTAGAGTTCCTTGTTGCTTATCCTTCCTGGTCAACTGATTTCATCATGAGCTGACATCAGCTAGAGAACCACTGGACGACCTGGGAGTGCTGGACTGCTGTTTCGCGCTAGTTTGGGACTCTTATTCAGTACGCACCCACCAGGACTCGAACCCAGAACCCTCCGGTTACAAGGCGAGCTCGTAGACCATTAGGCCACTGGGACCCGATTCAATGGCTCATTAATTCTAACCAGACGGTCCTGTGCTGGAACCCCAGTAGGTGCGTACTGATGAAGAGTCGCAAACTAGCACGAAACAGCTGCCCAGCACTCCCAGGTTTTCCAATGGTTCTCTAGCTGATGTCAACTCATGATGAAATCCTCCAACCAATCAAACTAAATCCCTCCAAAAACCAATACATGAGAATAATAATAATAATAATGACAGTATCATTCGAATTTCAGGTCAACAATTCTTACCTAGGTATTAATTTTTCACCAGTCCAACAAACACCATTTCTGGATTTCACGGAATTACGCAAGAATTCGTCACTGCAAAAATAGTTTACCATGTTTGAAAATGGTTTACGAATTCGATAATACTGATAACAACAAAAAAAGAAAGAATTATTACGTAATCACCTAAGTCATTTAAAAATAATATACGGAAAAGTTTAACTTTAGACACATAAGAGGAGCAAACTTACCAATGACCTTAGGAGGAGTAATTGAGCTAAAAAGCAATTTTTTTGATCCCCTAACTTAACTCTCATTTTTATCTTTCCTTAACCTAATCTATCTCTAGTAAACTCAAATATCTCTCTAATTAGGTTAGCCTAACCATAACCTGTCCCCCTAGCTTGAACCTAACCTTAATCTTTCCTTAACCTAACCTAAAACTAGCCGGATATCCTGTTGCGATTATATCGCCACACATCATTCAACACTTTTTTATGAATATCGTTTCACTGCCTTGTTGTGAGTGAGCGTACCAACATCACTGGTTCGCTTGAGCCTGTTGGGTGCCTAAAGTTTAACTTCCTCTGATATACTTGTCAGAGAATGTCAGAAAATTTTCAACTGAGGTGCAATCAAAATTACTAGCCAATGTTACAATATTTAATGACTAAAATCAATGTGCAACAGATTCACATTAAGATTGTGATATTGTAACTACAGAAGGCAAGACACAGCAAGCACCATTGCTTGACATAAGTGGCCTTCCCTTGGGTTCCTAGTGGAACATAGGGCTTCAACTGTACGTCTCCACTTGATTCTGTCTTCTGCTGTACTTTTCACCTGCATCCATGTTAGTCCATACTGTTTCAACTCCTCTTCACATGATCTCCTCCATGTCACCCTTGGACGTCCCACTCGTCGCTTCCCTTTCAGGTTCCACTCGACGGTCTGACGCATGATGTCACCCAGCGTCCTCCTCAGCGGGTGTCCAATCCATTTCCACTTTCTCCTGCATATTTGTTGAACGATTGGTTCTTGTTTTGTTTGTTCCCATAGTTTTTTGTTGGTGATTCTTTCCGGCCAATATCAATCAATAGCGTGTACAATATCACGCTATAAAGCTGTAGATTGTCTGGTTGGTTGCCTAGAGACTCTTTGATGACATAATTCAAAACTGTTCACGATAACGCATTATATACTATTGATTTGTTGTCATCTTTAAGATGATCAATATATTAATCAATAATTTTCAGAGAATTATTCTCTTTATTATACACATGTTTGTTTATTATCCATTTTGCATGTCTCTTTTATCTCTTGACTGAAAAATATCCATCCTGAACAATTTCATGATGAAAATTTCTGAGCTAAGCAGTTTTCTTTCTTTAGGTTTTTAATGAAATGAAGATTTATTTTTCACCTTTCAAGCGGAATACAGGGATTCAAGATCTGAAGTGACTGCGGCGTTGTTTTCTCGAGATGGGGTTGCAAAAGCCAAACGTCTAATCTTCCCTATTTTCCGGCCTTACTACCGGTCAGTAAACTAGACGAGATGTACGAGTGGTGTGCTGATTGCGTAGAGAACCTGCATCTCCTGAAGGGCTGGCGAATATTCTATCATCGAACGACTGACGTATATATATAGGAAGAATGTAGCCTAGCTAAATCTTATTTTACTATCTCTACATCGAATCCAACGTAACAGATGTTTCACTATTAATGGCTGTATTAACGTGCACGTATTAGTCAACCTAAATCTTGCTGAGCGTTTGTATTAGCAAATAGATCTGTAAATATGTACCACTTTTGCGCCCTGCAAAGAGGTATAAGATATTTCTATGCAGTTTTATACTAGGCAATACTTGATCGATGATTATGACGAATATATGAACCCGGAAATTGCTATTTTCATCCACCCACCCACACATTCTATGCAGAGGAATCAGATAAAGGGTAAACATATACGGTTAGAACTTTTACAACCTGAAAGAAAAATAGGAATTCATATTATCAGGTTAAAGCTCGATAAACAAAAGAAGTTGTTTTGTTTTCGCCCATATCAGGATTAATAGCTGAAGCCGTTATGCAAAGATTAGAATTATCAGCTCTACCTATAATTAAACCGAAAATCTGGATACGTTACGTTGATGATACATTTGTAATAATTAAGAGAAATGATTTAGAATATACCCATAAATTAATAAACAACATATTTGAAGACATCAAATTCACCACGAGAGAAGAAGAATTAGACCACAACAAAATCCCATTTTAAGATGTCTTAATCAGGAGAACCAACACAGGAGATTTACAGACACAAGTATATAGAAAATCAACGCACACAGATCAAATACTGAACTATATTATTAATAATCCAATTACTCACAAACGAAACTGTGTGCAGACATTGTTTAAGAGAGTTCAAACACACTGTAGCATTACTCCAGAGTTGAAAAGAATGGAAGAAAAATACCTACAAACGGTCTTCAAAAAGAATGGTTATCCACAAAATTTCATCAAAAAGTGTTTAAAGTCGAATCAAAACACCAACAAGGAACCATCATCAAAGACCACAAGAAAATTCATTATAAGATACATGAGGAATATCCCTGAAATAACAGCTAGTATGCTGAAACCGTTTGATATAGATGTAGCATACAAACCAGTCAAATCGCTTAATTCGATATTATGCGAAGAGCAAGATCCAACAGAAAAAGGAGATAAAATTAATACCATTTACAAAATAAATTGTATGAACTGCAACAAGCATTACATCGGCCAAAGTGGGCGTCCCCTTCGAATCAGAAACCAAGAGCACAAATCAGCCGTGAAAAGACACGATATGTATTCTTTAGTATCAATGCATATAGACAATTATGGTCACCAGTTTGATGATTGGGATAATGTCAAAATCTTCGACAGAGGAAACACCAAAAGTGCATTTAGGGAATTCCTAGAAGCCTGGTACTCAAACGAAAATGCAATTAACAAACACGTTAATATAGACGAAATATACCAACTAATAAAAAGTAAATCAGGTGACCAGAAAGTTTAAAATCCAAGTCAATAGAAAATGGTCAATACATATGTAAAGATAGTTACCAGGAGACGCAATTATATCACTCATGAAGAAATTTAAATCATTTCACTTTGTGCTAAATATGGCGCTGAAGATGTTGTCCAGAAGGACGACGAAAGCTTCGCAACTAAACCAACCAGCTCAGAGAATACTATTAATTGCAAATCATCCACCTGAGCTACAAATCTTCTCTATTATTTCAAAAGAAGTTGTTTTAAACATCAGATTCATAATAGACCTATCCTAGATTAAAAGTATACAATATGACAGTAAAGGAGTAGGGTGATGGGTGAGAGGGGAGGGGGCAAGGTTTTGGACTTTCGCCATCTCTATTGGATAAGTTCATTTGATATAATACACAAAGATACAGTGTAAATAACTGAGAGAGCACAATTTATTTATACGACTTCCTGAGTTGCTTTATACAGCTTTATTACCTTCCATTTTTAGGGCAGTCTTTCACATATAGCGGACAGGCGCTACTTCATTTCGATTGTATCTATTTTGGTGTTGACCAGATGAACAAAGAGTTGGTGACTAGTCACTCTCTCGCTTTCCACATAACTATGATCCTTTTATCCCATCCCACTCTGACAAGTAATCACGAAGTCAATGGTCCTACATCTAGTTAAATTGCGATGTTCTGATAATCTAACTGACTTAGATCTACTAGTTTAACCCGTGTAATTGATCTCCAGGTTATTCATGGACACTGGAAGTGTTAGATATCAAAAGTTTAGGTACCTTTGACTACAGATTTTTGCATTCTGTCTCTCATATAAAGTTGCATAATATGATGGGTAATATCCAGTATAGGTAACGTCTCGGACTGCAGCACTGGATGACGGGGGTTCGAATCTCAGAAGGGACATCAGTTCCTTCAAGGTTGCAGATACGCCTTGCTGATGAGTGCCAACTAGCACGAAACCTAGGTCCAAGGCTTCCAGCCGATTGCCTCCAACTATCTGATAGGTATCGTGTGTTAGGTTGAGAAGGTAAGTCAATCGATAAGGTGGTTGTGAAGCTACATCGAATGAGATGCCTAGGAAAAGTGTTGCGCAAGCCAAGCCGCAGGTTTTCTCAACTAGTAATGTTAGCTAACATCGAGTCAGTTTGCGTCAGATGTGGTCAAATCAAAATCTGCGATCAATCCACGAAATTTTTGACAGTTGATTTGGGTCAGTCAACGTAGGGAGGTGTAAACTGTCTAGTTGGGATCCTCACTATGTTGAGAACCAATCACTACAGTCCATTAAACCTTAATGTTTTTCAATATTAATGTTCTTTCTCCCCCGCATTTCTGCTTATTACATTACTTTTGAATACCTTTTTTCTCTGCCTTTGTGTGCTATGTGGAGTATGGTAATTTGAAGTACTGTACTTCTGTGCAAATGTTTATGTTGAGACTTAGTCAGAGTTGTTATATATTCCTTGATAAACCTTCATCACAAAATGCGGAGTCTTCTGAACACCTTGAGCAACAATCTATGAATGTTTGGCATGCGATTTGCCCCTGTAAAATGTAAGATGATGCTGCAGGATTGGACTACACCGACCCCTGGATAAGAAATAGGAAGTGAAGTGGTAGGGCACGCTGACCGCTTCACTTATTTGGGAAGTTGCATCAGCCAACGCCAACGGGTTGATCGCTGACGAAATCTCAGCACGCATACAGAGGGCTAGTTTCGTATATGCCAGTTTACGCCGTCTCTGGCGTAGACGTGATATCCGGCTGGCTGTCGACCAAAGAGCGTGTGTACTGCTCAGCAGTTAGCTCTGTCCTTCTTTATGGCTGGCCATGAGACCTGTCCATTGAGAGTGGAAGACATGAAAAGACTAGCTAGCTGTCTTTGATCATAGGTGCCTGCGTTCTATATCCCATGTGAAGTGGTATAATAGGGTGAACAGTATTGAGGTTAGGCGTCGAGTGCTAGGTAAGGAGGGGGAATCAGTCGATGAGGCTGTGAAGCTACATCAATTGAGATGGTTAGGACATGTGTTATGCAAGCCTGCCTAGCCATCGCCTTCCTCGACAACGGGCAATGTTAGCTGACATTGGGTCAGACTGGAAAAGAGCTAGCGGCCGTCAAACCAAAACATGGCACCAGTCAATGAAATCTACAACAGTTAGTCTAAGCCACGTAGGCAGGTGTAGACTTCTTAGCTGGTTGGGGTCCTCGCGACGGTAAAAACCAATGGTTGGAAACAATTGGTGACATGGCTCAAAATCGTTCTCAATGGCTGGCGCAGATGCATCCACTCCTTGTGACTTATGATTTCCAATGAAACTGTTTTGCTCTTCGTTATTACTATTCCTTTGTCTCACACCTCTGTTTACTGTCTCAATTATGCATTTCTCCTACTTTCTTCTCTTTCTTTGTGTGCTACATGGAGTGTGGCGACTTGAATTGCCGCACATTGGTGCAAAGTTCTGTGTCGAAAACAGACAGACAGACAGACCAATGTAAAATTATGTTATATCATTTAACATAATAACCAAATTTCGCTTCATTGATTTCCTAATTTTCTATTAAGTTAATTCTATTGAAGCTGTTCAAGTTTAATAACGACAAGAAAATTTAGAAATAAAAAGATATTGACTTTCCAAATACTGAGTTTTACTGAGATTCTGATTAATTTCGGTGGAGATTTCGTCGCGAAGCTGTATCAGTTGTGGAATTTTTGAAAAATATAGACTATTTGACTGAAGTTTCGTCCTCATTTGAGACTCCTTAACAACGCGCACCTGTGACTCTACAAAACTTAAAATCTCAGCATCAATTTCCAGACCATCCAATTTCAGTTCCTTGCTAATATCTGCCTCCTCAGTAACTAGACGTTTGGCTATGTTGATCAGATTCTTGGCCACGGTTACTTTGGCCAAGAATCTGATCAACAGAGCCAAACGTCTAGTTACTGAGGAGGCAGATATTAGCAAGGAACTAAAATTGGTTCAATCCACTCTTGAATCAAATAATTATCCTAAAACCTTCATAAAAAGATATTTGAAATGTGAAGATAAGGATGAATCGAAACCGGATGCTAAGAGTTGGGTTAGTACAGCAGTGATTCCTTACCGCTAAGAAACATCCGACGAAATAAAGCGAATCCTTAACGATCATAACATAAGAGTGTATTTTCGTGCAGCATACACCTTACGCTCATTACTGGAGAAGGTTAAGGATAAAATAGAACAAGAAAACCAGCAGAATTGCGTATACCAGATCAATTGTGGGGATTGTAACGCCGTATATGTAGGAGAAACTTCCAGACAGGTAAATGTAAGAGTGAAAGAACATAAACAATGTCTAAAGGTGGTTCCAAAGACCTCTGCAGACTTGAAGAAGCTAGAAAACAACTCAGCGATTGCACTACATTCGATAGAAACGGGACACAAAATCGACTTTGATAAGACTAAGGTTTTACAGAAAGGTTTTGGTTTATATAAAGAAAGACTGACTGCAGAAGCCCTACATATATGGGTGAATCCCAACAGTTTGAACAGACGTGAAGGTGTGATCTTAGCTGATGCATGGCAAATCCTGACTAATAAATAAATTGGATATGTATCAACAACTAGTCATACTTGGTCAAATTCCCGATTGTCTACGTCTTCTTATGGAGAGAATAACAAATCTATAAAATTATATTATATTTGTAAAAAATCTCAATTATTTTGTAGCTATCCGGTCAAATCTTGATCACAGCTCATATGAGAATAACAAATGTTTTATGACTATTCACCCACACACACATACACACACACCATTATATACTGCATACACACACATATATTTTAACAAAAGTAGACTAATTTTTGAAAGTCTGAGGTCAAATTTTGACCACAGTTCATAAAAATTTTGTTTTGTTTTGTTTATTATACCTATCGATAGCTGTTTCTTGATTCATTTGACAGGACAAACAATAAAAAACAAGAGATGTACTTTTAAATACAAACATACAATTTTATTTATTTAATTATTATACATGTTGATGCCTGTTGCATGGCTCATGATTGGACAAGGTTTAAAATCAAGAGTTGTTCCTTTTATACATAAACCTCTGTTATGTTAATTTCGATTAATTTCCCTGAAGAAGTTCGGACCAGATTGTCGAACGAAACGTTGGAATTAATCATTTCAATTTCTCTGAGATTTTACAAATATAATTTTATAAATACTGTTATATAATATACTAACATTTATTTACAGACTTTGGCAATAATTAATCATTGTAAATCTGTTTTGTTATCGCTTGAAGAATAAACAATCGTGTTGCCCAAGCGTTTTCTGTTATTCTGCGTTGGTTACAGTGCTTAGTGTTCTGCGTATTAGGTTTAGTCTTTTGAAACCAGCGATAGATCCTGACATTAGGGATACAAAGTCAATTGACAAAAGTTAGAATTCACACGTAATTCAATTCAAGTCTAATAGTTAAATCGTCAATGGGCTGGTTTCGTAACCTTAAGGTTCTGGGTTCCATTGTCGGTAGGGTCGTAGATGCAAACTGATGAAAAATCCTCAAGTAGAGTGAAACAACTGTACAGCACTCCTCGGTTTTCAATGATTCGCTAACTGACATCAGTTCTTGACGAAACCTACACTTCTGTTGGCAAGTAAGAGTGATATTTTGAGCTGACATTAGTTAGGGAACCATTGGAAAACCTGGGAGTACTGGACAGCCGTTTCGTCCTAGTTTGGGACTCTTCATCAGTACGCAACCACCGTGATTCGAACCCAGGACCTTCTGGTTACAATGCGAGGTCCTGGGTTCGAATCACGGTGGTTGCGTACTGATGAAGAGTCCCAAACTAGGACGAAACGGCTGTCCAGTACTCCCAGGTTTTCCAATGGTTCTCCAACTAATGTCAGCTCATGATGAAATCCTGTAACCTATCAAATCCCTACAAACCAACATTTGAAGAGTGATATTTATTTACAATTGTGTAACTCGAAGGTTTAATTGATGATGACAGCAAAAAAAAAGCCTCTTCATCAATACCTAATTTCTGTTCTATGACTACTTCACAAATTCATTTGATTAAATAGAGAGTGAATCGTTCAATTCCTAAATATTCTTTTGATCATCGTTAAGCAAAATGTTATGGAGCTTTAGCTCAGCTGACGATTTTTTCGTATACAACTTAGCAAAGGAGGCGTTCTCGAAAAACCACTCCTATACACACACACATCCCTATAAATGTTGGACTAGTTACATATCAACACTAAACTCTTTTTCAGATTGTCTTTACACATTAAAAATAAAGATTTAGAAAAAGAAATACCTTTTTACGAATATTATCGGCCCATAACTTCAATTCATTATGATTACTGTAAATGTAGGATTGTTTATGACGTTGAAGTGATATATCTTGATCATTAGATGGTATTACGAATCGTTGCTTTCGTTGTAATTGGCCTGGCTGTTCACTCTTGTGTCTAAATAGTGAAGATGATGAATTTTTCAACTTTTCACCTAAACAATCATGAAACCATTCTTCCTGTAGGAAAGTAAGAAAGAATTTATATATATATAATTCCTTTAAGTTCCCAGTGGAACATAAGCCTTTAGACTGGAGCTTTGAAATTTCGGTAGCAGTGGCGTTTACCTTTACGGGATGGGGTTGCTGCTAGCCTCATGCCCAACCTTCCCTCTTTACCAGCTTTATTACTGGCTTAGCAAGATAAAGAAGTGCGGCGTCCGCCGGTGATCGAACCCCCAATCACACATGCGTGGTCGGCGAGCATCTTGCCGCTGTGCCACCGATGCACAAGAAAGATTAAAAATAAATAACACTGAAGAAGAAATTAAAAATCTACACTTATAGCTTAAAGCCTTATGTTCCACTGAGAATGCAAAGAATTGAAAAAAAGAAAGAAAAGAAACTGTATCGGCAATACTGTTCGAAACAAACCCACTGTTATTATTATTATTAGAGTTATTATTCTCATTTTGTACTTTGCACATTTTTCACTTTATTCATACCGTAAATGTGAACAAATTCCTGTGGTTAATTTTTGTTTACATTTTGAGTATATTAGAGGCAGTGTTGTGACAAATGCTGAGAATGCCATTCTGTAATATAAGTACCATTTTTGGAATAAAGTAGATTATTATTATTACTATTATTCTCTTGTTTCTTAGTCTCTGCTCCACTATTTCACTAGAATTTCACCCAACCCGGCCCCTACATACGACATATGTCATATCTGAACAACACTCTCTGCCATCTTGAATCTTAGTCACACATTGTCCATATTAATGTTGGACTATTCTATTTTTCAAACCTGGATGGTGAAGGTAATGATAATGACTAAACTAACTTCTTTTGGATACATAAATTAGGCTTATTAATATGGATCCCCACAGCCTCAGCAATATTTAGTAGTCGAACTCTTAAAGCAAAATTGAGATTCGTAGGTATGAGGTAAATGACCCTGAAAGCATGATTAACGTCAGTCTTGTGTTCTGTCTCCACAAGATGAGACAGAATAGCGCTGCGAATAGATTTTGTTTGTCCTTCGCTTAACCAGGCAGGGAGATGTTCGGAAATTCGACGAGAAACACGCCTAATTGTACGGCCTATGTAACTGGCTCAACATCATACCTATGAATCTCAATTTTGCCTTAAGAGTTCGACTACTTAATATTGCTGAGGCTGTGGGGATCGATATTAACAAGCCTAATTTATGTATTCAAAAGAAGTTAGTTCAGTCATTATCATTACCTTGGTCATCCTGGTTTGAATAATCCGGAATTTTTGTGCAATTTCCCTAATTTTAGTTGATATTCTATTCGCCATTTTATCTTTATTATTATTATTATAATTTAAGCATCTTTAATGAACTGTAATTGCATTGATTATACTTTACAAATTGATATTATTCTATTTTTGTTTGAATTCAATTTATAGTATGATTTGCTATTTTTATAACCATTTGTACTTTTGCCTGTAATCAATAATCACGTCATGAACTATGTTATGTTTGTTCCTTTACATGTATTGTAGTGTTGATGTGCGTCGGTAGTACAGCAATAGACTGCTGGCCAATTATACCCATGGTTAGGAGTTCGATCCCAGGCGGACGCACCCTAAAACCTTGCTTAACCGGTAGTAAACCCGATTACAAAGGGAAGGTAGGGCGTCAGGAGGCTGGCTACCGCATCCCGTAGAAGAATATAATACCACTGCTATTGAAATTTCAAAGATCAATGCTTGAAGCCCTATGTTCCAATGGGAATGCATAGAAATCAAAGAAAAGATGTGTGTGTGTTTGTAAACTACATCAAATTATGCGTATATGATGGTGACATCTTTAATTATCAAACTGTACACAAATTTTCAATTTAGTTCGTTTGAACACGAAATGAAAATGAATTCATCATCACCCACCCCCCGCGCAGTGTTTATTATTCTTACTTTACAGTGTACCACCAGTGAAGGAAGCAAAATTTTGTTTTCAGCGAATCATTTTCAACGGCTGTATTATCACATTTATATTTAAAAGTCAATCTGAACGAAGAATATTCTTTTCAATAATTTCTCTTCAGGTTCTTACAATTATAAAATATAATATTTGTTGTCGTTACAATAATGACAGCCAGTTATGCGTCAGGTACATTTTTAACGTAGAATAACAGATTAGTTATGCGGTGTCAAAATAAATAGTCGTATTTGTGTGACAAACGTGCTCTGGGCTGAATTCGACTACAAAATATTTCAGCGAAATGGGAGACAATGGTGATTAATCATAATAGATTTGTAGAGTGTGGGGTAGGAAAATTGACAAGTCAGTTCAAGGTTATAAAAGGTGTCAGGTGAGTGAGTGGCTAGTACAAAGTGGTCTGTGTCAAACAGGAGGTAGTAAGGCTGAAATGAGAGGTTCATAATGAAATAACGAATGTGTGAAATGAAACAGGTGGAGGCATAGTATATTGAGAAAAGATATAATATCACTAATAATAAGTCCGAATAGTTTAAATGGAAAATTCGATAGTATTGAGAGAATGTTGGCATGAAGGGCATAAATTATGACGAATAATAATAATATTAATAATAATTGTAATAATAAGCAAAGGAAAAAAAAGCCAAAGAGGGTTAAGGAGAAGAAGCAATCTAGGTGAGAAGAAAAAACATCAATCAAAGTTTGGCCACGATAGGAACAGCGTCTGGACGTGTTCTTTTTGGATACAAAGTTCCGGTTTAGTCGATCTTATTGCAACAGCTTCAGCTGTGTGTAGAAGGCGTAAGCGAACTATACGTGATAACGACTTCGAAATTCGGTATATAACCCTGAAAGCTGTGTTGACATCGATATGGTGTCCAGTATCGACCAAGTGTGATAGGATCGAGCTTATTTATATTTAACAAATAATTCATAAAATCGATTGAATACTGTTATTAGTCTCTCTATCCCGAACAACCTCTTCACTGGTGCAGTCAAAGATTGACAAGTACCCTTCACATGTTACCTCCAATTGTGTATACCATTTCACATGTATCTGCGGGAGCAGTTACATTGGAAGAACAGAGAGGAGGGCCTAGGTCAGATTCTGCGAACATGTACCAAGGAGCCTCCGGTTAAAGGGACCGAATTATTTAAGCTCTTCAATCGCCAAACATCTGATTGACACAGGACACCGAGTAAATGTGCTGGAATCATTCAAAATAATTAACAGACAAAGTACCTCAAGTCTTCTCAGGTTTGCTGAAGCTATAGCAATAAAACGATTGAAGCCTGACTTATGTGTCCAAAAAGAATCCGTTGTTGGACTTCAATTACCCTGGTAACTCACTTCTTAGTAACTCTTTGTTTTCTAATTTTGTTAACTTATGTTTTCACTCCACCCCCCCTTTTGTTTCGCTTGACTCTCTTAGGAGATAATTTTTCTTGATCTTCTGAGTTCTGCTCACTGCATTACATCATCAACTTCTCATCTGACCTCATGGGCACCGTAATTTTAAAATTTTGATGTTCTCTTATCTAATTACGTAACTATTGCTAATTGTCTTTTGTTACCACCTTAACAACACAACTGTTAACTAATTTTTTCAAGAAACTTCTCTCTACCAAGATATATATATATGTCATGACACTTCAGACACCCTGTAAATCTCAATGCCTTATTTTACTATGACGCTCTGACACTATGCTTGCTAATGGACAAAGGGTTGCTAAAATTGTACACTTTATTTTTAATTAAAAAATTCAGGTTGTACGCAGCTGATGAGAACTAACGAAATAAAATGGATCCGGATTATTCTGCGCCAATGTTTCTTCTTTCTTTGTTTGAATACTGTTAATTACATTCCTAAAGATGGATTACGTTAATGTGTGGTGTAATCTAGGAGGGAACGACTAAGTGGAGATTAAAAAACAATAGTGTGGTTTACGTAATATAAGTGCGAAAAACGACCCAATCAATCGAAATGGACTAAATGTAACATTACTAATAAACAATAATAATAAAATAAAGAAAATCAAATAACACAATAGACAAAATTATGGCAGGAATGTTACGGTGACCATGTGGTATGCTGAATGAGTGACCAAAGTAACATTCTTGCCTAGATTTCGTTTCAGTTCATACAATTAGTTTGATTAGGTCATTTTTTTCACACTTATTACATTGTAACAACAGAAGACAAGGGCCAGGCAACAGATCGCTTATTTAGGAAATCAACACATATTTATATATTTTCATGTACATTATTATAGATTATTGTAAGCAAACAAAGACAGTTTTCTGATTGGTGCTTTCTCGCTGAACGCTAATCTTTCATCTCTTTGTGGTCATTTATTGAAGTTCAGATTATCTATCTGCAAATTGTATCCGCCTACGCAAAGTTTGCTGTGATTGGTTGTTGAGTCAGTCTTTGTTCTTGCTCTTTTCTCATGACCAATTAACTGGGGACGTAAACATTAACGTAAATTACTGTCTACCAATGTTGGCTAGCAGCCAGCTCTCACTACACACAACTCCAGATTCCAACTTTTCAAATCTCAACGTATTCATTCCGTCTTAGATTATATCATACATTACGCGATACATTTTCAGGAACATAATTACCAGTATTCGAGTGGCTTTATGAATTTTTCGTTAAATATAAATACTGGACGGCTGTCTCGACCTATTAGTCAGCACTCACCCAGTGGGGTTTGAAACCAGGAGCTCTCAGCTACAAGGCAAGCCCGTAAACCATTCAGGCATTGGGACCTGATCCAGCGGCCCATGAATTCCAACTTCTACCGATTTGTCAATCTGTCCTCACCCCCTAGAGGGTGGACCCCACTGGTTACCACTTCTCACTAGAACTTAGATTATCTATCTGCAAATTGTATCCGCCTACGCAAAGTCTGATATGATTGGTTGTTGAGTCAGTCAGTCTTTGTTCTTATTTTTCTCATGACCAATATTGGGGATGTAAACATTGACGTAAATTACTGTCTACCGATTTCGGCTAGCAGCCAGGTCTCACCACACTATTACATTTTAAATCATTATTTATGTACAGTCAGTTTATGGTAGTCCTCTGACGAAATAACCTAGTACAAAGTATTCAACTGTTCGTGTGTATAGATTTAATTAATTTCAAGATAGATCATGAAATGGCATCTCTTAGAGATCGAGTACTCTTTAATTTTCAATAGTTCTGTCTACAACCGATGTAACTGCAAAGCAACACTTGGAAATCAATTTGATGCTTACTCATTACTGACTACGGAATGCAGTTCAAGTGAGAAGTTGTATCCGATGCGGTTCACCAAGTCAGGTTTTAGAATAGATACTGATAGATGACATTGATTGATATCAGTAACATACATCGTAAATTGGCAGTAGTCAGAATTCATGACCTATTTATTAAATTCTATCCCAATGGCTGAATGGTCAAAAGGTTCGCCTCGGAATCTGAAGTTCTTAAGTTTTGATCCCCACTGGGGGCATAGGTGAATACTGATAAAGAGTCCAAAAGTGTCTAAAAGTCTATTAACAATGTATTGGTACTGTGGCGTGTGCAGCTGATAAGATTTATCAGTAGTATATATATATATGAAGATATGTTTTTTGGCATAAAAACATCAAACAGTACCAGATATCGTAGTGTATTATGTAATCAGCTTAGACAGATCAATATTTAGTGTTTTGACTTTTCCAGTCTAATGAATGGAAAATTGTGCTATTGAGTTATGAAGAAAAGAAGACGTAACATCAAAGAAAATTTTATCCTTTCGACGAATCATTTGCAGGATATGTACAATCGTGTTTATATTTTCAAGGGTTAGTTTGTTGGGATTTGTTTCAAGTTAATTAATTAGAAAACCACTGAAAACCAGTTAGGAGTACTGGACAGCTGTTTTGTCCTCCTTTGGGACTCTTCATCAGTACTCACCCACTGAACTTAGAACTCAGGACTTCCCAGTTACAAGGTAAGCTCGTAGACACTGGGACCTGATTCTATGGCACATGAATACTAACGTCGGTGGGTGAGTATCTCCTATGAGTCCCGAACTAGAACGAAACAACTGTCCAGAACTCCCTGGTTTGCAATGGTTCTTTAACTGATATCATTCCGTGATCAAACTTGAAATAAATCAGATCCCTACAAACTAATTCTTGAAAATTAATCTGATGTTCGCTAGTGGCTGGATACAGACAAAGTTGCCGGGAGTTCTAGTGAGAAGTGGTAACCAGTGGGGTCCACCCTCTAGGGGGTGAGGACAGATTGACAAATCGGTAGAAGTTGGAATTCATGGGTCGCTGGATCAGGTCCCAGTGGCTGAATGGTTTACGGGCTTGCCTTGTAGCTGAGAGGTCCTGGGTTCAAACCCCACTGGGTGAGTGCTGACTAATAGGTCGAGACAGCCGTCCAGTATTTATATTTAACGAAAAATTCATAAAGCCACTCGAATACTGGTAATTATGTTCCTGAAAATGTATCGCGTAATGTATGATATAATCTAAGACGGAATGAATACGTTGAGATTTGAAAAGTTGGAATCTGGAGTTGTGTGTAGTGAGAGCTGGCTGCTAGCCAACATTGGTAGACAGTAATTTACGTTAATGTTTACGTCCCCAGTTAATTGGTCATGAGAAAAGAGCAAGAACAAAGACTGACTCAACAACCAATCACAGCAAACTTTGCGTAGGCGGATACAATTTGCAGATAGATAATCTGAACTTCAATAAATGACCACAAAGAGATGAAAGATTAGCGTTCAGCGAGAAAGCACCAATCAGAAAACTGTGTTTGTCTGCTTACAATAATCTATAATAATGTACATGAAAATCTATAAATATCTGTTGATTTCCTAAATAAACGATCTGTTGTTCCAATAGAAAAAGACAGAAATAACAACCGGGTTTGATACGTTTCAATAAGTGCGCATTACAGTTTCTTAGCTCAGTCGATAGATTGTCCATTAGGATAGTGACCCACAGAACATTGATTCGAAAACTTCCACTGTGACTTTTGGTTTCAATGAAATCAATGTTGGCAATACTTATTTATGTGTTTTATTTATATGATGATGAGCAAATAAAAAAAAACAAAAACAACAGACAAACTTACAGATTGTTCTAATCGAAACAGGACAGTCTGTAAATTCATTATACCATCAGATATGTGTATTTGTAATGGTCTAATAACCTGTGGAAAACTTCGTGAGTCTTTTAAACGTTCAGCAATAAGAATCAGTTGATCTAGAAGAAAAGATTTTTAAAAAAGGCGATTTTTATTTTTACTTTCTTTTTATTACTTGAATTAAATGCATAATTTGCAATCTATACAGTTCGAAGAGGTGAAATTTCACCATAGTTACCGCTGGAAATCAAAATTATTCAGATCACCACAGTATGTGATCTGCTCGATACTGTGAATGGTAATCAAGAAAGAAAGCATAAATGCTTTTTGAAGTATATACTACTGATTGGTTGCCTCCAAAGCCTCACGATGGTCGGGGGTGGGTGCCTTGCGCTGCAGGTTGGCCACCCCTCCGCACACCTCTTGAATTGCTCCCATATGACCGGGCGTCTTACATAGCCTCTCCTGAGGAAGTCCTACTCACTGCCTTCACGTGGCGGAGGTGTTTTTCACCAAAGTGAGAGGGTGAAAGCGGATACCCGGCGCTCTTCACCGGGTTGACTGTCCATTGGATGACAGTCTAGGGGAGATGGCTAAACCCTGATTCCAAACCTCCAACGACTGGCGTATGAAGATCACTGGAGCTCACCGGCAGACGTATGGACAAAGGGCTTGTTGGATGTCCTGGATGTCTGGCCCCATTCAAAAAGGCATATGAACCGAACTCCGGTCACCGGCTGCCAATGGATAGTGGACTCCCTACTCCACTCCTACTGCCTTGTAGGTCACACTTGGTTGTGTAAAGGCTAGAGCTGCACTCTCAAACAAAAAGCCGAGCGATTCCGGGGACATCACCCGTACCAAATTTCCATGAAACTTCATGAACTCTCTTACAAACGATTCGAGATGTTCATGAAGCCGGCTCATCCTCCCGTAGGAGATAGCCGAAGTAAAGTAAAAGTAAAAAGTATTGGTTGAGATAAGTAGTTTCGTATACCACTCATACCAGCCGGTAGGTGTTTGCTCACCAGATCCATCGAAGTGATTTAAACACCAAACGACAGTTTCACTCGTTTGGGTCAAGATCATCAACGGTGTACGCAGTTTGACCCAGCTCACAGAGCCGAATCAGCTGAAACCATCCGATTTTTGGCTAGCTACTTGGGCAGAATTAAAGAAAAAAGATTGCAGCATGTAAAAATATCGTCACTTCTTGACAGTGTTTAACTTTTAACTCCGCTTTCTTCTTTCGTATGCACCTGTCATACAACTCTTGTTCGATCTACTAAAGATTAGAACTTATTTATACACAAAGTCGGTCAGAAAAGCTTTTCATAGACAAATTCGTAATTTGCAAATTAATTAGCTATTTGCAATATATACACAGTTTGAGGAGGTGGGACTTCACCAAAGTCTCCTTTGGAAACCAAAATTATTCAAGAGTGAACAACTAATCATCTCAATCAACCGGTAGTAAAAAATTTTGACTGAAGTCAATGGAGCAGGATTCGAACTCAGGACCTATTACGTGAAAGTCAAGTGAGGAAAATGTAAGTGAGCTATGTCTTTAATGGACTCCAGTCAGTCTTCGTTTAACTACTCCTCTCATGTATTTGTACACAAAATGTAATCAGTTGACAAAATTCAAGCAGGTCTGTAAAACCCAAACTGGCAAGAACAGATAGAAGATTGATTTAATAATAATTATTATTATTATTATAAATATAATAATAATAGCTTTATTTCAAACAGTACTTTTGGTACAAATATGGAATTTTCATCATGTAGTACATCATTGCATCTAATTTTCTCATTCACGGGAGGAATAATTAAAATAGGGCTTTTACATTAGTCATCGCCTTCCTCGACGGGCAATGTTAGCTGACATAGGGTCAGGCTGGAAAAGAGCTAGCGGCGGTCAAACGAAAACATGTCACCAGTCAATGAAATCTACAACAGTTAGTCTAAGCCACGTAGGAAGGTGTAGACTTCCTGGTTGGGGTCCTCGGGACGGTAAAAACCAATGGTTGGAAACAATCGGTGACATGGCTCAAAATCGTTCTCAATGGCTAGCGCAGATGCATCCACTCCTTGTGACTTATGATTTCCAATGAAACTTTATTGTTCTTCGTTATTACTATTCCTTTGTCTCACACCTCTGTTTACTGTCTATATTATGCATTTCTTCTCTTCCTTTGTGTGCTACATGGAGTGTGGCGACTTGAACTGCCGCACATATGTGCAAAGTTCTATGTCGAAAACAGACAGACAGACAGACAGATTGTTCAATAAGAAATGAATATAAAATTAAATCAAGTGAAAATATTAACGACAATGTAACAATGAGAATAAAAAAAATACTGTTTACTTAGAGTTCCTTAGTAAGTTGGCAGTTTCCTGCCATACACGTTTCTCATCAGATAAAATGTGTGCTAAATAAGGTATTGTAGAGTCTTTGTACTTAGTCGTCCGAGCACACAGTCTTCTGTATTTGCTTCTAGTTCTACCCGATGAGATACAAGGAGAGAGCTGTGTATACAGAGAATGCTCAGAGTCTGGCAAGATAATATTTGCTAATTTCTTGCAGGATTTCCAAGTGTCTACCTACAGTAGTATTAGCGAGTTGGTTTAGTGACATCCCACTCGCCCTACTGACGGCTTTTATTGCCCTACGCAGTATAACAAAGTCTTTCTTAAGTAGCCCGGGAAAGATTAAGGGGGAGCAGTAAAGAAGTATAGGCAGAATACAAGAATTAACAAACGATAACAGTAGAGACGTAATGATACCAGATCGTCTTAACTTTCTTACGTAGAACGTCAAACGATACACCTTTCTGGAAACTAACATGATGCGCGAAGACCAGGAATGATCAGAAGAAATACACAGTCCACGGTATTTAACATTCAATTTAGTTTCAACTTCAGTGCTATCTATTGTAGTGGAACCGTGCAAACTAACCAGTTCATGTAAGTTGCGCTTGCATCTGAAAGTGAAATTAACCACCTAACATTTGCAGGGATCAAGCTTAAGACCATTTGTCGAGGACCACTGACCAATTTCTGATAAGAAGTTATTCATTTTGGAACAGTCTGACTGAGAAGTAACAGGCAGAAGACAGACGGAAACAGTCAGTCGGCATACTAAAAAAATTGGCTTCATCAGAATAGGGCAAGCCATTTAAGAAGACGGAAAACTGGAAAAGAGAAAGAACAGCTCCCTGAGGAACACCAGCTAGAGTAAGTGAAGCAGTGGAGATCTTCCCATTGTAAACAGTGTACTGCTTCCTATCACAAAAATAGGAATGCAACCACTTGGTAATCCAGCACTGTGTTTGTGATGCAACAAGCTTGTACAACAAAAGATGCCTAGGTACAGCAGTATACGAAGGCACATCGAACATATTTGGCACCTCTATATGAGCTAGAGACAATACTATGATATAAGATGATATGGAAATCTAAAGTCCACCATGTTTATAAGCAAATTGATTAGGGTCGTCAAAAACCTTCAATGAAGGTTCAAAGTTGAGTAAAAGACGTCTTTCCATTATTTTTAAAAAGAAGGTGAAGTAATGATAATGAATGTTAATAATATAATAATAAACCTTGCATTCAGTATATTTCAAGTAAAACACATCTGAATGATATATTGAAGAATACGTGGTCTTTTATTCCCTATCTATTAGCTCCAGTATTGTAACCTTTCATTCTTTGTTGATTCTACACCAACTTACAGTTTACATAATAAACGCTCACCACCTGTATGAAAGGCATCATATTGTGCATTACATATATGTATCATTGTAAATAACACACGCACACACATACACCACAGGACAAAATGAACACTGTGGAAACTCCCGAGGACTTAGTACTTATTACAATATAACAGTAGTGCTTTACAAAACACCTTTCTTATGTTTAAAAGAGGCGTAGTAGTAACCAACAGTATTTAAGACCCCAATCAAGTAAATCTTACCTCCATGTATAGCTTAAATCAATAATCAGCGACAAGCACAGATCGATGAGCGGTTGGCGCTGCTTAGTTTTAGCGAAGAAATATACGTTCCTTTTCAATTAGTTCCTCATCATAGGCTATACACTAATATATGGTTTTTTTCTACATCAAAATTGTACCAATCATGTGGTGATTTTAGTCCATAAAAGTTATCAGTTTAAGGTATACGGGGATGGAGGGTGAAAATAAAAGAGATTAAAAGTCATCGGAACAATTAACTAGTAGATGTTAGTAAGAAAATATCTAAGTTTTGAAGGAGGGATGAAAACAATTACGGGATTCAAGATCGGTTAATTCTTAGGCGTTAGCAGCAAGTTATTATATAATCGAGGAATTCGTAAATCAATAATGACTAAGAAGAAGAATCGGATGACTCAGTAGAATTGTGTCAGTTACAAGCAAGTTAACTGAATCAGCTAGAATAGAATAACAAAGTCAAACGATAGTTACAAGGGGAGGGGAAAATCGTTTGTAAAGCTTAATACACACTATGTAGTTGGCCACAGCAAAGAAAAGAGCTGTGCAAATTTCTTTTGAAAGCACAGATTTGGCTTTTTCAGATGCATTGCAATCGTCCCTGCTGTACGTAAAAATCGTATTCGTAGACCATGAGAAAAACTGGGTAAAATACGATAAATAACTTTAAAAGCTTTGTTAGAGTCAACTCGGTATCCAGTATCGACGAGATGAGCTAATATTGAGCTGTGTACAGCTTTACTCCTGTCTTTGCCAAACCAATATGTGAGGTGTTCAGAAATTCGACGTTGAACTTGCCTGATCGCACGAGCAGTTAAACTGGTGAATGCACAAGGAAGATGCGAAACAAGGCAGTTTGTCTTGATTTCTTGAGTAGAAAATTGTTTGGTTGGCTAGTGAATATACAGCATAACTTAGCTGCGTTAAAAGTCTTTTTCAAGGCTTTCCTCAGATGTTGTGATAAAACTCCAGTATTAACATCTCCTGTGAATCACAATCTTAGGATATTTTTTTTATTTATTATAGCTTGATTCCACACCGTATTTTTGGTACAAGTATGGAATTTTCAGCATGTGATATCGGTAGCCCAATTTTGCAGGCCGACCATAGATATCGGGTGTGCGCCGGCAGGGGATCGAACCCCGGACCATGTGCATGGTCGGCGAGAGTCCTAACCACTGTGCCACCGACGCACCCTCGACTGTTTGCTTGCTAAGTCCATGTGTTTATTCAAAAAATTTTGTCGAATATCCGTTCCTACTTAGTAGATCACGAATGTTACCAAGTCCTTCATTCAGTGTTTCATTTAGTTAGCTTGTTAATAAAGTGTGCTATTTATCTGTGAGATACCCCAAAAAACATGGAATAAGTAAACATGATCTCAACGGCTTGGAAATGTGATTTTTTCTTCTTTCACGTTCCCCAGTGGAACATAGGGCTTCAAGCTAGAGGCTTGAAGTTTCTGTAGCAGTGTTTATTTTACAGGATGGGGTTGCTAGCCTCATGCCCAACCTTTCCTCTTCACCAGCATTATTTCTAGCTTAGCGAGGTAAAGGAGTGCGTCTGTGGCCGGTGATCGAACCCCGGACCATGTGCATGGTTGGCGAGCGTCCTAACCACTATGCCACCGACGCGGAAATGTGATTGCCGACCACAAAATGTAGATAACATAAGGCCGGTCAACACATCCTCTCAAGAGCGTTTAATTTATATTTATTTGCGCTGGATGGTATTCTGAATATCCCTTAATGCTGTCAATAAGTGTCTAACTACAAAAGGAGAGTGCAGCACTGTTAGAGTCAATCAGTTTTAACCTTTTATTCAGATAGATAAAAGGTAACATTAATGAAGATTTCTGGTTTGTTATTAATTTTTTTCTGACCGTTCTACTAATGACTAAGAATTTTTATGTGATCAGTTACTTAAACATGAAATTGCTCTAAATTAATCTAGTACGATAAAAATAATGTCTGTCTGTCTGTTTTCGACATAGAACTTTGCACCGATATGCAGCAGTTCAAGTCGCCACACTCCATGTAGCACACAAAGCAAGAAAGAAAGTAAAAGAAAATGCAAAATAGAGTCAGTAAACAGAGATATGAGGCAAAAAGAATAGTTATATCGAAGAACAACATAGCTTTATTGGGTATTATAAGTCACAAGGAGTGGATGCATCTGCGCCATCACTGAGAACGATTTTGAGCCATATCACCAATTGTCTCCAGCCGCCATTGGTGTTTACCGTCCCTAGGAACCCAACTAGTCAGGAAGTCTACACCTTCCTACGTGGCTAGCTTAAACTAACTGTTGTAGATTTCATCGAATGATGAAGTCATGTTTTGGTTTGACTGCCGCTAGCTCTTTTCCAGCCTGACCCTATATCAGCTAACACTGCCAGTCGAGGAAGGCGATGACTAGGCATGTGTAATACATATCCCAAACATCTCAGTCGATGAAGCTTCACAACCTTCTCGATTGATTTGCCCTCCCTCCTTACCTAGCACTCGACGCCTAACCCCAATATTGTTTACCCTTTTATAACAACACGGGAGATAGAACGCAGGCACCTATGATCAAAGACAGATAGCCAGTCTTTTCATGCCTTCTACTCTCATTGGCCATGTCTCACGCCATAAAGAAGGACGGAGCGGACTGCTGAGCAGTACATACGCCCTTTGGTCGACAGCCAGCCGGATATCACGTCTACGCCAGAGACGGCGTAAACTGGCATATGCGAAACTAGCCCTCTATATCCGTGCTGAGATTTCGTCAGCGATCAACCGTTGGCGTTGGCTGATGCAAATTCCCAAATAAGTGAAGCGGTCGACGTGCTCTACCCCTTCACTCCCTATTTCTAAGCTAGGAGTCAGTGTAGTCCAGTCCTGTAACATAATCTTATATTTGGCGGGAGCGAATCGCATGCCAAACATTCATAGATTGTAGCTCAAGGTGTTCAGAAGACTCTGCTTCAATTGTTTATGAAGAAGAAAAAGACCACTGTTGTAACTCAGGCGGCGAGTTAAGAGAGCGGATGACTGCATCTACAGGTGGGTTAAACAGACTAGCTAGTTTAATTGTATAAACTCGACTAGCCTTGCGTATTGTGGATTTTTTATTGCTATTTTAACCACTATCTGTGTTCTGCTACTCCGGTAAAGACTGCTTTAGATTGATTATACTCTGCTACCCCAATTTGCATCAAATAAACAGTCAAAGCTGCTTTTCTTGTTAGTAGCACTTTAACTATATTTTGCTTCAGGAAACATTTAATTTTCATTAACTTACAGTTAATCTCTTAGTGAAGAAATACTTTATAAATTGAGTGAAAATCTCTCCTTAAATTGAAGACACCTAGTGCGTTTTGAAAGTTACGCGATACAACACAACTGATATCCAGACATTTGAACATTTCTCAGACAAACAGACATATTTCAGCTTTCCAGAAATGTAACGAAACTGCCACACAATTCAACAACTAAAAGATACAAGCCAGATAAAGTCTCAAACACACATACACACATATATAAGACACATTTATTCACCCTTAAACAATTAACGGCGCAGTGTTATTTAACTTACCGATAAACAAAATCCAGTATTTGTCGAATGAAGTCCAAGGTAACAGACATGCTGACAAACGATTAAAACAGTCATGTCGACATATAACCGGTTGGATTATAGCTGAGCATAAATTACAATAGCGTAATTTAATCCATTCATTAGTACAACTGTGATTCATTGTGAACTGAAAGGAAAAAAGAAGACAGAAATTGTACACTTGAATTGGACTGACTGGTCAACTCAGATGGTTGCATTTACATTTGCCAAAAATGTACAATCTGATGCAGTAGTGTATCATTTTGAATTCCAAGTGGAACATAAGGACTCGAGCTTTGCTGTTGTAAGTTTGCTAGCCTCACACTCAACCTTCATTCCTTTTCCAGCTTACTACTGGCCAGTAAACTAAGTCAGGTTTAGGAGTTCGTCAGCTACGAATCGAACCCAGACCACCTATGTGGCTGGTGAGTACTCTACAACAACCACCGATGTTTCGAGTAAAAGCAATTAAAGTCAGTGTAATCAGAAGGAAAGCTAATAAAAGGCGAAGTCTTCAATATGAAAAAAAATAAACTGTACTTACACTCCAAAATAAAAATAAGTTGGTGAAAGAGAAAAATCTGGAAGATAGGATTCTATCTTCTTGATCAAAGTATGACGTGGTTAGACCTACTACTTTAAGTCGTTCCGTTTCAAGTTTTCCGCAGTAAAGTAAGCTAAAACTTTGAAGAATTCAACGGCTATATTTCTGGATAAAGTAATTCCAGAAGCATACAAATGACAATTTTGACTGGAACTGGATATAATCCCTGTCTTTAAGGGAAGTCGATGGATTGTCACATTACGTAACTAGCAACAAGACAATACCATAGTGTTTTCTATCTAGTAAGGATTATTAGCGTTATTCATATAACTTCTTCAGTGATACTATAGAGTAAGGATGTTCAAAGTATTGAATTGGATATCTCATATCGGATTAGAGGACTTGACCGATTTGAGAGTGTATTAGAATAACAGTAAAAATGTAATCAAAAAATGGCTTGATTTTTTTCTGAATTCTAATGTGATTTTGCAAAAACTTCTGGTCAACTGAATTCGGTGTGAGATTTAACCATGATATTGCAGGCTTGTTACCATCTTAATTTCAAAAAACAAAACCGATAAGACACTGTTTCTTATAGACTGGAGAGATAAGACAAAAATAAGTTTGACATAAGGGCTCTAAAATATCCATTAATCACTTTAATGAACACTTTTGAGAAATTTTTTTCAAAAATAAACTAGTAGTTTGACTACTCTGATTTTTCCTCTAGTTTCTGACCGCAATTGAATTTGATTAGCTGTTACGAGTACTTGACTACACAATAACACGACTAGATATATAACAGTAGAAATGCTATTAGAAGTGATGTATCGATTGTAATTGCCAACTACTACATGAGCTTAGTGAACATGGCATTCTTAAAAGGTAAGACTAATGGTTAACTGAATTAAAAGAGATAACAGGAGCTTCTAAAAAGACTAGTTCTCATGAAATTGTCAGTGAAACTCTAAGATACTATGAAAACACGTTACTAATGAACTATTTCTGGTGTCCCCTACGCGAGACTATGGCAACCACTTATATGAAAACGTAACATTTATGATAAGTTATGAGAAATTATATGTCCCAATCAAGTTCACTTTTAACAGTTTGAAAAAATTTGGGCATTGGGTATATGATATTCACTATAATAAAGGTTTTTGTATTTCCCAATGAATGAAAAACAAAACGATATTGTTTTTACTGACGTTTCGCTGTTTAATGCTAATAGCTTTATCAAAGTGTTATTAAACCGCAATTTACAAAATATCAGCATATATATAACAGAGTTATTTCGTTTAGTGATCATCATTGTTATTTTGACTTTCAATATGTCTTTTTAACTTGAGCTAAGTCTATTTTCTTACGTCTTAACTCTTTGTTATATATGTGCTGAGATTTCGTAAATTCCGGTTTAATAATACTTTGATAAAGCTATTAGCATTAAATAGCGAAACGTCAGTAAAAAACAACATCGTTTTGTTTTTCATTCATTGGGAAATACAAAAGCATTTATTATAGTTATGAGAAATGTTTATTTTGAAACTGAATTTTATTACTCAGTTGGCTAAATTAAGGAAATTTGAGTAGTTTTTCAGTGAATGACTTCGAGATTATCAAAGGAATCTACATAAAAACAGAAACAATCTCGAGTGATTAGAGATATGGCTGAGTTCTGATAAAATCTGCTATACCTACAATTTACTATAATTTTTCGTATCATGTAATATTGAGCAAAAGATTTAAAACATGGGAGTCAATCATGTGAGAAGTTAGTTGTTTGACTTCGATGCCACACTTGTGTCTGTATGATACGAGTATGGCATCGACGTCACTTTCAGTTATACTGATGAAGTTTTAAGAAGTTATTGACGTCTGTTAAACCCTTTTTTCACAAATTAAATCCACAAATCGATACCATGTACTATCCTAATCTTTAGAGGTTTATTCAGCTCCCATCTTTCTCTCATATAGCATAGTTCCTTCGACTCAATACTGAATAAACTATAATTATTTTAGAAAATATAAAATCCTGCCAACAAACTATTTTTGTAAACACTGATTTAATCTTAGCACTGCCTAGTTGTTGCTTTCAATGAAAACAAGCAGACAAAAAGGGCATCAGCACATTTTTTTCAATCGTTATTAATGATTTCTAAATACCATTTTCAATTCATTTAGCAGCAAATTAATATTAGCATGGGCTACCACATAGATATATCTGATTACATTTTCCATAATGCAACCAACTAAGGAAATGACGAAACAATCCATCAATTTATCAAACAAAACGCAAAGATAAACCACCACAACGACCATCATATTAACCATGAAAACTTTACGAGTATCTAACTGTGCTGGGAACAACACAAGTATATCAGCAATGCTGTACGATTATGATACTAGTCTCTCAGCATAATAATATTATAGTGCATATACACTTAAACCTGATATAAAAGTATTGAAGTGATACATAAACCTTTAAGACATATAATATGAATGATTACATAGATGTTTTTCTGAAGAAAAGTATACTATACATGAACATTAATTAGTACTTAGATATATTCGCAACATCAGCTGAAATACTTCTATCCAACTCCGGTACATCAAAACGCAAGGTCAGTATGAATATAGAATTCCTCTACGGAAACTCGAATGCTAATTGGAATGCAATGTCAACGACTGACTCGTACTGAAAAATTTCTCATAGACAAACGACAAAAAATTCAGGAGTAAAACACCTAGGCATCGGTTAGCTTAATATACATCATATATGCGAAAAGATTTCTACGACTGCCTAAACACCGTTTATAAAGTCAGAATCACGCAGTGTATTATAGCACACTAATAAACGTGTCATAAAACTAGTGTAAAACAAAAATCAAAAGTATCAGTGTGATGTAACTGCAGAAAGTATAACATAAAGCCTAAAGCAGTGATGGCAACACTAAGTGCCAATTACATCAAACAAACCAATCACCTTTGTGGATAAAGATTGCAATATGCTATTAGCAAAGCGAAGACCATTCCTGAGAATCCTGGCAGGAGGGAATGCACGGACTGACATTGCTCGAATCACTTCAGGTGCTTGCTCGAAAGGCTTCAAAGGTTTCAGTTTAGATGCAATACAGTTAGCTGCAGAAAGGTCCTGTTCTGTCTTCACTAAAAGCATAACTCGAAGGACACGATAGAGCAGACTTTCGAAAAAATTATCAACTAATGATGCAATATCTTGTCTATCACCAAGCATGTAGTTTTCCAACTCACGGAAGAAATTTTCAACAAAATCTTTGTTTTGATTGTAATTATATCCATAGGTACTTGCAAAGAGATCATGCAGACCAGTCTTCGTAAGTCGTAAACTCCTCACAATATATTCTGAATACTTAGGCGAAGATATAAGACATACTTCGTAAATATTTTGCATCAGCACGAAATGATTTGCCAACGTTGTGCCAAAAAGCATTCCATAACTCAGTGAACTCTAAAACTCCTGCAGATTCTGCGTTTTTCAGTAATCTTGAATCACAGCAAGCATTCTCAAAAAGTGCTGCGCCATCCAAAGCACAAACATTCGAAGAATGGTCTGTAAGCATTTAAAAAATTCTGGATAACAGATCTTACCAAGACTGTCGAGGTGTGAAGAGTATTTATTTAAAATGTTTTTAGCCTTCAAGCACTGGAAATCGACGTTCTTAAGTTCTGTGAAGAAAAGATTATCTAACAGCATAGTTAGGAAAAATAGGATGGAGGATTTGATCATCCCTTATGGCAGCAGGGTTACTAAGAAAACCCGTATTAAGTAACATTCCCGTCACACATAACGCGAAAATATGACGTTATTGCCGAAAAAGCCGCTTCTAATATCCAACATCCAATGACCTTAACATGAGTAGGTATTAACCGAACCGATTTATTTTATTTTCCTTTGGGTGCAATGAAGATGGCTTTTCATCTTTAAGGTGACCACGTTGTTGCCTGGTTACTGTATAAAGGGGAACTAAAGGTTTGTGGATGGCTGACGGTAATCCATATTGTCTAATCCCCACTGTAGTGGTAGGTGATTCCCAGAATTATTGGCCACAGCATTCACCGCTGGACATTGGATGCTGACCCTCACTGTTTAAGTCAGCTTGTTTAGTTGAAGGCTTCCGGTCAAGCATCCAGGCCATTTGGTACGCCGTCAAGTCACGTTCGTTAGTTCGTGCACGATCCCTAGCTAGCTAAGCAGTCATTTCGCACTCCGATTTGGTCCCAAAATATATCTCGTAGTTTGAACGGTCAATTCTTGTGTTTTTCTTTGCCTTTGGTCTACGCGGAACGAATGCAATAGGAGTTGTGGAAATTAGATCTTGCGTTAGTATACTTCGTACTATCCGTGAACGCCAATACCTTCAGTCTCTAAATCACCCTTGAATTTAGAGTGGATTCATTGCATATCTCCGGTAAGTATAGCATCGCTGTTCGTTGGTATGGTGTTTTAATGACAATTTACATTTTTTTAAACAAATAATAATTTATATTTTCATATAAATATAAATTTACATGAAAATGCATGCCATTTTCACAGGCAGGATCAAGTATGATATAATGTCAAATAGTATATTGTCTACAAATTAATAATGTTTCAACAGCTAAATATTTGATATATATATATATAAATACACTCTTTGTCTGAACCATGTCGTATCATTATTGAATTAAACAGTAGTCCTCCAGGTTGCTCAGGAAAATCGACTTCGTTTCGTTTTAAACCCGTAATTGTAGGCATACGATAACCAACCAATATTGAGGTATGTACAACGTTAACAAGGGATAGTAAGCTGTTTTAGAAAAGTAAAGTTGCTAAGGTTAATCATTAAAGTGTAATGAAATAGGTAAGTGCAATGTATCATTAATAGATGCATTCATAAAGGAAATACAATGGGAGACTATAATCCCTAGGCTGACAAAGTTCATTTGCAATGTATAATGCTACCCATATAGGTCTTACTATCATGATGTCCACTTTTGGTTTAATACAATTATCCACAAGCCGGTTGTTTTAATTTCATACCTTTTTGTGTATTTGGTGCTCAACCGTACCCTATAGAGAATAGGAATAAAATAGGTCGAATCAACGCTTTCTAAAAGAAATTTTTATTAAAAATTTAGGGAAAAATTGGCCTTTTCAGTACCTGCGCATAGTTGTATTGGTGTTAAATGCCGAAATACACTGCAAAAGATGCAACAAACGTCATCTAATCAGTGCTTCAAGGCAGATGGACAGAATTTTATAGACCTCTGCATTTATGCTTCTGTGGATCACCAGAAACCTAGCTTTAATTTATGTCTTATATCTGTGTTCTCATAAGAGAAACAATCTTTTCGTCTGCAAACAAAGTTGTTTACTGATTTCTCAGGTTGTCTGCCTAAAGAAGCGGAACTTCTTGCAATTTCTAGGCTGGTGTGGTGCTGTCCCCTGTGAACAGGTAGTTCCCTTTCATATACGGCTCCGTATAGTTTTTTCAGACTTGTCGAAAATGACCTCTTATTTCTTGAGACCTGTATTTCAAATACCCACATTGTTAAACTTGTCACAAAAGCCTCTTTCTATATTAGCTTCCGTGTACACCATGCCTGTCATGTCACTTGTAGCTTACGCTACACACTTCACTTCCAAAAGAAGCACTATCAGTTGCGCAAGGCAGCCAGAGGTTCGATGCTCGTAAATGTCTCGTGGATAGATTGTCTCACCAATCGGTTGAAACTGATGTGCAGTCTTAGAGGTGTGATGAATCTGACGAACGGTGTTTCACTTTGCGATTAGCGCCCCTTCTGTAACGTGTACAGAACAGTGAAGCATCCCAAAAGTGAATATGGCACTCTTCCTACTATCAAGATGGGCTTCAAATTAAGTATTATCCTTTGATGGACATTAAATAGTGGGAAAGATGTTAAGGCTCCATCAGTTAACAGTCAAACCGTCAGTGATGTATTGCCTGTAATTTAACTCGTCGAAGATATCCCTCAGTGTTACTAGCCTTGGTAGGGAGATGAAGTATTAAATTCTACTACAATTGTTGATCACTGGATTACACGGAAGTGAGCAGCCGATGATTTTGTGTTGCTACACACGATGGTGATTCTACCAATCACCTCCCAGTAATAAGCTTAATTTGGTCAACAATAAACTATGCAATGTTGATTCTCGGTATTCTGCTGATGTCTAATACATAAGCAATGCATGTGTAAACCGTTCGCCAGTGTATGCGCCAACTCCACCTTCTATAGTATTCATAACTCGCTCTAGCAAGCATATTGTGGTCGGAGTGCTTGATTTACTGACAGCAAAGAAAACGATTATGATTCCCAGATTCGGTAAGAAATGAAGAAATTTTGTTTCCAAATATTTTATCCATTCATATTGTAGTTGTGAAGCTTAGTAAAAAATTTTACTACTGCGGTGTTCTGCAGGTCAGTCACGTAAAGCCTCCTTGGACAAGATCAAGTTTTGGAGTTAAATGGTTCAGTAGATTATGTCTTAATTCCCCACTGTCATTGTTTGTACCCCTCACAGTAGCGCATATTCTCAGAGATCATAAAGTTTACACTCGATATTATTGGGACATATTAGTCCGCAGCTCCAGTGAGATGACTTTTACTACTAGCAATGGTAGTGAACCAGTTGTTGGAAAATGATCATGAAGAGGCCTTAGAGTCTCATTACTCCAAGGGATTCGGTGGACAAAAGTTTTCTTATTTCCTCCATTTCCAGGAACTGATCTAAAGCTTTCAGGGGTTAGGTCCTGTCGCAAACTTAGTAGAGAATCAAAACAACTAAACTACTTGTTAGCATTACTGTACTCTGCTAGAGGCTGCCTAAGCCAGATGGTCTCCAAAACAGGGTTCATTCGGGATATATTCACCTTCTACCGGTAGGTGACATCAGCCAACAGAAATGCAGCTGTCACCGGCTTTGTGCTATTCGCAGATGCACCAGGCCCATTCCCTAGCACGTGATGTCTAAAGAATAGCCAAATTATAAACATGGTGTGTACATCAGCGTATGTTGTCTGGTATTATCATTATTATAATATCCCTGACGTCTGAATACATTGATGCAAAGCGTATGTTCCTGACATCTGTGTGCAACTTATTGGAGAATAAAGAATATCTAACGTAGGGGCAGTCATATCGAGACACTAGTCACAGATGTCACAAGCAATCTGATGTTAGCTTACATTCTTTTCTCAAATCAGTTCGCACGTCAAACATGCAAGCCTGCCAGCAATATTCTATAGGCTAACATAATAAATTAGTGGTAAAAGAGAGGTGCATCACAACGTAATTTTTCTAGTATAGGATACAGACTTTATGAATATATTGCCAAATAAATTTTCATTATCATCATTTGGCTAAAGTCAAAGTGGGGATTAGGATTAGATTCAATCCATCAACGTGAAATGTCGTTTTTACCACCATTCTACCTAGTATCAGTGGATTCAAAGTTGTAAGCTTGTAAGGAGCACTAAAATCTGATTACATTTTATTACTGTTCTCCAAACTACCTGGAATACATGTGGTTTTGAGAAGAGATATATATTATTATTATTATCCTTCGAATTTGTTCCTTTGGTTGTGAATGGTGCATCTTGTCATTGGTTAGTTTTCTTCATCACCTCTCTTCTTTATGCCCACCTGAAGTTTTATATTCTCAGCCTGCTTCTGTAAGCTAGTTGGTTGTCACCTGGATGTTTTCGAATTCATGTGACATTGGGCGTATTTCATTCGCAAAGTCCATATCTTCTAATGTCCTCTTGTATCTTCGAAGTATCCCCGTCTTCTCACTCCCCACAGTCTTCCGCACATTCTCGTCCACTCACATTTGCGAATATCATCAGTCCTAGTAAGCAGTATTGTCTTATTCCAGTCTTGACCCCGAAGGATAGGCTGACTTTTCTGCTTTGAATCGTTTGACATGTGGCCTTACGAAACAGCTGCTGAATGAAGTTCATAAAGGTTCTGAACATTTTGTAGTTTCCAAACCACTTCGCAACTTGTGTTGCCAAAGGCCTTTTCAAAGCTGATGAAGCTGGGGTACAGATTTGGCTGATTACCTATGCCTTATTCAGTTATGATGCGACTGATGCAATCCAATAGGCACGAGATTTGCCTTTGACTGGATTCAGCAGGTTGCTGCTGGGCTTCTGCAGAACATTCTTTTGTCCTTCCCGGATGGTATGAACAAGCGGCACGACTCCATGCCAGCTCCAAAACATGCCTAGGTTGCCACTGTTCGGTAATTTGTTAAGATAAACTTTCTTCTAATAAGCAGGCCTCTTGCAATAAAAGCGTCAGCATATGAGCTGGGTCTCTTGGATCCATTTCCACTACATGAGCAGAGTTTTATCAGACCTGCGACATTTTCACGTGGCTCTCAGTAGCTTCACTGCAACCAAAATGTTTGCTTGCATCGGGGCTTTGGTTTCCACTGTCAGAACTGTGGTGGGTGGTGTTATTTCTGGATGAGTTTTAGGCGACTGTTGGGTGATGAGTAATTTGAATTGATCACCCGATCATCTTATTTCTTTTTCCTCCTTGGTAATTAGGTCCCTTTCACTAGCTTCTAATGTATTCGTCTGTATTCATCTACCCACGAGAAGAGACTAGACTATCTGACATGTAGTTCCTACAACGTCCTGTGATGCGTTTTACCTTCGGCCTATAATGCTTCACTATACAGTGTCACAGATAAATTTACATAGAACCCATCTCCAAATCGATCTTGTTAATGTGAAGACAATATTTCTATATTTATTGATGTGACCCATTGAGTGACTAGTTAGTAGATTAATTCCACAAACTAAAGACAAAAAGACGGCGACCGTGTAATTTCACCATAAACCAAATTTATATAATTTGAATAATACTTATCCATGCCTGCACAAATGGTGTGTCATACATCTATGGGAATAAATATATGTTTTATATTATTAGTATTAAATATGCTTACTAATCGTAAATGCAATTTACCATATTGATGATACGTGTAAACTGGCGTCCCTAAGGTACAAAATGTGAGAAAGTGTTATTATTATTAATAAACGGCTTGCATATTGATCTTAGATTCTCTTTTGTATATACTTTCACTTTAAAAATCATATAGTGATGCAGTATTAACAGCTGGATTACAAGGTTCTGAGTATAAATTGTTGCCACTCATAATCATATCAGTTTAGTCACACGGCTTCACAATTTGTCTCACTATATTTTCTCCCTTTCTCTCTCGCCAAACTCGTATTGTTGTTTGTTGCCTATCTTCATATCTCCACTGCAGGCGTTGCGTCATTTCAATTGCACGTGTGCGGTGTTGAATCGATAAAGAAAGATTCAGTGATCAGCCTCTCTATTTCCACCTAACTATATTACCTTATAATACTCTCACCCTTACCCACCCTATCGTGTGGTTACATGTAACTGAGTGCAATTCAATGGCTGAGCGTTTTTCTAGGTTATCCAGCCTGGCAGGGTCAATCATCTTAGGTTCAGCTAAATTTTCATGCTCCGATAATCTAGTTAACCTCGTTATACTAGTTTGACTGGCCTATGTAATTGACCTCACAGTCATTAATTGCACGGTATTTGTCATATAGTATTATTATTCTTAGTTGGACCTATTGGGTTCTTGAGCCAACAACAAATTTTGTCTCTGAGAGAGTTGGTTGGTTTGTTTAAATTCCGCGCTAATTTCATTCTTATTTAGGATCCCACATAAGGCTTTTAATGCTCCTTCTTTGTGTGGCAGTACTACAGAGGCTTTGAATTCTGTATTATTTAAATCATAATATATGGCGTGGAATTCGACCTATCTCTCACAGGACATGAAATTAATGCCAAATATTTAAATAATTCGTAAGGCAGGGTGTTCTTAAAAATCAGTTGCACATTATGATTATGGATCGGACACTAGCATTCATGGGAATCCAACACACTGTTATAGTGAAATCAAACATATAAAGGGGATGTTACTAGTGAACAACTACGCACCAGAACTTCTTCAGAAATATGAGGAGAACCATGGAAATAATAATATCAGTAATGAAAACAACAAAGGTAACACAATATCACCATATGATGTTTAGATTAAACATATCTCGTATGGAATTGGATTCTGCTACAATGCCCAAGTTCTTCACACCCGTTAGCTTCTACTTCTGTTATTCATCTAGCTAGCTGATCTGTTTTTCCGTCCCTATCTACTATCTTCCTCGTGTATTTACACTGCCATTCATTGTCTTATGTTTTCTCTTTTTCTCAAAGGGCTAAACAATTTCAGTGATTTTCAGCGTTTTTCACATAACTTTCTTCGGTGACTCTATTTAAATATTTTCTTCAGCCGTCATTGTCAGCAAGTTCGCTTCTGCTACGATGCCCGAGGACGAAGTAATTAAAATTTTGAAAGACAGTACTAAGGCATACTTCCGCGACGTACGTGGTCGTGTAGAAAATAGGGAGAGCCGGCCAAAAGTAAGTAAACGGTTTTTGTTAAATTAAATTTACTATACTACAAACCGTTTCATTGTATGAGTGTCAATCAACGAAATTTTGTTTTTATTTTTCACAGGTTGCTGTTGACAATAGGAAGACTGACCAGAGGATCTGGGCTGTAAGTGACAATTTAATTAAATGAATGCTGTAAAAATACTCACACTGAAAGACCTTTAGTTTGAGTATTTTTATGTAAACGAATAATTTGACTTGTACTCAATAATTAAGTAAATTTTTATGGTTAAATAAACACGTTTAATATATCATTATTATTATGTCAGAAGTCTGTATAAGTGTCACCGTTGATTACTACCTTACTAACTAATTTTTTTTTCAGGATAGTTCAATGGATCTACTTGATGACGGGGAGCAGATGTAAAGCTGCATTCAGACTTCATATGACTTCAAGCTTTATTTTTTCCCAAGTATTTGTAATCCATCCGAAACATACTTGGGTTTTTTTGTTAACGCGAAGACAATATTTCTATATTTATTGATGTGCTCCATTGATGAAGCTTGTAAACTGGCGTCCCTCATGTAAAAACTGAGAATATACTATAATTACTTGTGTGTATCATTTGTAACTCTAAATGTTCATTAATCCTAAAGAATTCATTTTCCGAATTGTTGTTAACTTGTTATGCTTTAACCAACAGATAAATTAAAAATGTTTATTTCCATAACCAACCTTTATTTCAATTGTGAGTTGTTTGATGTGAAGAGAATAAGGGAAAATGATGCGAGTAATAGGGGGACATTCATCTGATTAAGGGTAAATCATGACTTAAAAAGTGGGACAATATATCAAAAATGGGACTGTGTGTGGCATCTGGGAAAAAGGGGACAATTGTCGCATTTCCGAATTTTGCCCCCTTATTCTCTCAATGGAATATCCCACTTTTGTCCCCTTTTTAACACGATTTTCCCCATATTTGTAGGATTGGGGTGTATGCCTTGACTTAATATATCCTTTAGCTCAGATACTAAGTCATTGCATAACGCTTTATAACTGCTTAGTTTGCTAGGACCACCGTATAAATCTATCAGGAATACACTACTGAGGAGCGGTGCCGTAATTCTACCTAACAAGGGACATAGCTGCTAGTTAGAAGACTTAGAGATGAACAATCCGTCGACATTCAACTGCAGATCAATCTTGTTGTAGGCACTTTCAACCACAGACATCTCCATGAAGTGCTGCAAACATTTTTGGAGACCAATGTGGCAATACATTCCATCTTCAAGTAGTCTTGACTCACAAGAGCCACACAGTCTGAGTACACTTCTAACAGTTGTTGGTAGTTGAGGCAGTCTCTCACGGAAAATCTCCAAGATTCTGTTAGCGGCTGCTTTTGATATGTTCGCAGTCACCATGATTTTGAGTAGCATACTTGTCATTTTATCACGTTCAGAAGAGACTTATGGGCACATCTGTGAAGTACTAGCAGCTGGTGTTAGGCTGCTGCAAGGTGGCAATGACACTGCCTCGGTTTCAATGGCCATGTTATCAGTGTTCACTGAAGATGACTCGACTTCAACAAGAAGGACAGCCTCCGTTGACGTCGACGCAGACAAGATATCGGCCAGTACCTGCTCATAGTTACGTTTATACCTTCTGTAAAATGTGCTGCGATGTCAGGTCAATCGTAGTTTACGCTGAAGTGATCTTTTTAGGCTTAATATAGGGTATTTAGTGTTAGACTAGGAGAAAAATTAAAACTGAACCACAGCGACCACTTACCTGCATGGTGAACAGCTTAATAGTGCGCGCACAATGTGTGACTGTAAGCCAACTAAACAAAAAATAGGTTGCGCTGCAATTAACATTGACCAATTATGTTTTCATAAACTCCACTGATTGGCCAGTAAGCATGAACAAACATATAACACCATCTTTGTTACACGATATAGTGTGACTCATACGAGTCACATGAGTGACACTATTAGCAAATACCTTGACCCCTTATATTATCACAGTCAAAGTGACAATAAGAAGTCACAGGTAGATTTCTCAGTGTGACTGCAATGTAATGCTACTGGTCACTATTCTTAAAGTATCTACATTTATATACATGCATATATATATGCCTCAATTAAATGACGCGTTTTTCTTCATTTGAAGTAGTGGTAACGAAATTTTAACAGAAAATGTTTACTACTCACAAGTTATCAGCAACCTCCCGTTCACAATAAAATTTTCCATGGTTTCCCCTCTTTGTCCCCTTGATTCGGATTTTTTCCCCCTTCCTAGAAATTGTCCCCTTATTGTCCCATTTAATCGGATTTTGTCCCCTTTTGAAATAAAATACACCCTTTTGTTTACGTTTTCCCAAAAATGTCCCCTTTTGTCCACACATTTGTCGGATTGGGTAATATCATTGTGGGTGAAATTTATTTTGATAAATTCTCACAGTGTTATACAGTAATATTTACTGATGACCACGTTTCTAGCACAGTTTATTGCTCAGGAAATATTACTGCATTACACTATGGGACTTTATCAAAGTAAATTTTACCCACAATGAAATTATAATCTGTTGATACTCTAACCTAAAACAGAGCTATTTTTATCACATGTGAGAAGAAGGTATCCTCTGTAACACTTTTATACAGTTTTTATGCATCTTTTCATAAATATATATATTCCATAAACAAAAATGCCTCCTTCACGCGATTGGTGCTTTCTAGGCCATTTGCTGATTGGTAGTTAGTGGTGCTCAAATTTTTGCCAAAGCTGAAACCATCAAATTTCCAGGTGCGTGCCATCATTTCGAAAACCAACAGACTATGTTGTCAACTAATGGTAATTTGTTGCATTACTGGCATCAAAGATCGTTAGTGGCTTTCTATCCTTCTTGGTATTACATCACAGTCTCGTACCGAAATATCGAAGTAAACAGTTGTTTTCAAGCAGTACATTTACGGAAATTTCAAAGACCCATTCTCAATATCTACTTATACATGCATTTATAAAATTATACATTGAAATATTGAGATTATTGTCAAAACTATATCATTTATCAAGTATATATTCTAATTTTTATCATCAAGAACTTCCATTTTTATTTGTAATATTTCTTCTAGTCTTTTCAATTCATTCTGTTTCACATCGATTTGTTGCTGTAAACATTCTTCAGTGGTACACGCATTAATCCATTTCTCTTCAATCAGTATAGTTTCATTTTCATAGGCAATTGTTTCATTTTCAATATTTATAACAATCTCACGGTATTCATTTTGTTTTGATAAAGCTGATGACGCTAAATTAGTGTTTGGTAAATCTTTTGGTAAAGGAAAAATTTCATCATTTCGATTGGTTACACCTTGATGAATTGGTTGACCATTTCGCGTATCAGCTAAAAGGCATTCTCTAATTGTCCAATCATTTGCTTGTAAATATCTGATTATACTCTGTTCAGATATTCCTGCAAATTTCGCTGAGTTTGAACTATGAGATGATGAAAAATACAATCAAAAGTAAATATCAGTAGATGGAATCACAGGTGATTATAATATTCAGGAGGTAGAATCCAAGTCACAGCCTGTTTCAACTTAGATAACGAATTGATATCATTTAGAGAACGATTGAAGATAGTACAGTACTAGACAGCTGTTTCGTCCTAGTTTGGGAGTCTTTATCAGAGATCGAACCTCAGGATCTTCAGTTTACGATGCGAACTCTTTGCCCATCCTACTATTAGGATGGAATTCAATTGCCTATGAATTCTAACTCCGCTCAGTTCACGATGTATAGATCCATCGCCAGCTGTGTTATCACACCTTATTATAAGCAAAGGAAATTCCAAGAGTCGAAAGGGTAGTTTTACATATTACACAGTGAGATTTTACTGTAGCTTGTATTGCAAATAACCAATCGGAGTTTCTTTCTTCTTGCGCCAGAAATCGTTTGTGATATTGCAAATGGTTAGCCAAATAGATTTAATGTATGACCAGCCATAAAGCATAACAGTTAATTGAAGGTGATATGAAAAGAAAACAGGCACTTAATCGCTGTCTCAATCACTGAGTGCATGATATGATGCTTAGATAAATAGATGGGCGATTTTGCTGATCTTTATTGACTGAAGGATCCATTTATTACATAGCTCAGTGTTTTTCAAAGTAGGATCAGGCTAAAAGAAAGTTTTTTTGAAACCGCAAGGAGACATGACTTAGGTTTAAGAAGTCACTGGTCAGTGTAGTAGATTTCACATTTTCTACAAACCCAGAGAAAGGGATCTTGTGTGAAAATTCAGGTCATTTTGGAGAAATGAAATTGTAAATAAAAAGATGTACCAGTCGCTTATTTTCAATTAGATCTAAAAACCGTATTATCTATCGCATAACTTTACTATCCTATCCACTTATTCTCCTTTAATTTTATTATCAATTACCCAATTCTGATGTATTAATTATCACTAACCACTTTGTATTTTACCTGTTATCTTAAACTATACGCATGAATGTGACAATTTACTCTGGCTGAAAATGATGAGAATCCATGTGACTTATCCACATATCTGTAGGTTCAACTCTTTGATATTCAAACAAAAGTGCTTCATTAATGTTGTGAGTGACATTTAGGTTACACATAGAGTGTTATGTAACGAGGAGAAGCCAATCAATGAGCTTATGAAGGTACATCGATTGCGATGACTTGAATACATATTACTCATGTTGAGTTGTCTCCTTCTTCTCTGGAGAGTGTTAGCTGACATAGAATTGGGTTGGAAAAGGGTTATGGAAGCGTCAAAGCAAAATAAAGCATTAATAAATGAAGTCTTTGTCTTTTGCTTTTGGGTCATATAGGTAGGTCTATACTGGCTGGCTGGGTTCTTTGAGACGCTAGGATCCAACAACTTAAGGGATATGGCTAAAATTCGTTCTTATTGGTGCAGATGTATTCAGCTGTTATGAATTCGTCAAACACTTCTGTTCATTAAAGCTCTTTTGAATTCTTTTGTCTTTACGTTTGTGTATTATATGATGTATGGCAAATTGGACTGCTTCGGTTTTCAGTATAGAAAAAAGCCCCATTTAGACATTTAGAAAACAGAAAGATTGAGCGAAGAGATATTTACTTTTCAATTAGATCCTCATCTCTGGCTCTACTCTAATATATATAACATTTTTATTACAATATACAACAATTTACCAATCAAGTGGCACTGATATGTTTGTTAACAATAATTAGTCAGTATCAACATGTCAGGGTGACGGGACATAATTAACGAAGAAAATTAATACACACAATTGAAAGGTAGAAATGGTTACAACACGTGGATTGCATAGTGCATAATTTTGGAAAAATGAAGAGTAATTAAGGAATAAGCGTGTGCACAAGTTGATTACGTAACAGACTGTTAAAGAAAACAAAACGATTTGGACAATGATAACTTGTAACTAAGGAAGAAGTGGTCATAAAAATAAAATAATTTCACAAGGATAACATGTAATTAAAGATGAAGTAGTCAGAAGAAAATAAAATAATCGGGACAATTATGATTTTTAAAGGTTTATGAGGAGGGGGCGAAGTAGTCCGGTTTATACATTCATGTAACGATGGCCAAGGTAAGGAAAGTAGCTGTCCAGATTTATTCTGAACACACAGGTTCGGCTTCTTCAGGTGGATTCCTATCGCTTCGGCTGTATGTAGAAGACGAACTCATAAAGGAAAATTAAGTTTAATAGGAATGCGATAAATAATTTGAAATTCTTCATTAACGTCAACCATATGCTCACTATGGCCATCATTACATGAATGTATAAACCGGAATACTTCGCCCCCTCCTCCTAAACATTTGAAAATTATAATTGTCCAAATTATTTTATTTTCTTCTGACTACTTCATCTTTAATTACATATTATCCTTGTGAAATTATTTTATTTTTATGACCACTTCTACCTTAATTACAAGTTATCATTGTCCAAATCGTTTTGTTTTCTTTAACAATCTGTTGCGTAATCAACTTGAGCACACGCTTATTACTTAATTACTCTTTATTTTTCCAAAATTATGCACTTTGCTGTCCAACTGTTGTAGCCATTTCCGCCGTTGAATTGTGTGTATTAATTTTCTTCGTTAATTATGCCCCGTCACCTTGATATTTTGATACTGACTAATTATTGTTAACAAACATATCAGTGCCACTTGATTGGTAAATTGTTGTGTATTGTAATAAAAATGCTATGGATATATATTAGAGTAGAGCCAGAGATGAGGATCTAATTGAAAATTAAATATTTCTTCGCTCAATCTTTCTGCTTCAGTTTTGTTCAAAATTCCATATTAGAAACCATGACTCAGTAGAGGCTAACTGCTATTTAAAAAAACTTTTATTGAAAGTAAAAATCTCATTTTATATATTTTTTTAGAGTTAAATAGTTTAAAACCCCACAGAAACACATTTTTCCGAGGCAGAACAAACACTTGAATATTGCGATTTCACACAAATGACTGACAAGGCATACCTTTGTCGCATAACTAGCTGTTTACTCTCTATAATAGTTGTCTCTCAGTAGATGAGTTCGACTGATGAGACCTGAATAAAGTAATATTCATGACGGAAATTCATCTACTGTTAATAATCAAACAAATGACATCATAATAAAACTCGAGGTAGTTACTCCCACTGAAGCATTGTCAGCTCAATTACTTGTTGGCATCAACTAAAAATTAATCATTTTAGTACATGGGGAGAACTCATCGATCTCTGCAAGTAAGGGCTCGATTCAGAGCATATTCCTAAATGGCTCCAGAAACAAATGGAATCTTCAGAACCTATTAACGGTGAGAACAGGAGACCTAGCTCTCCTATTGCGGAACATATTACAGAGGAGATATGACATAAAATTGACGTCAACACATCTTTTAAACCTATCTATGAAACGTGTTTGGGGCGTATCCTAAAGTTTGTGGAAGCCGTAGCAGTTAGAAAGTTTAAACCACCTTTATGCGTTCAAAAACAATTCGTCATCACATTAAAACTTCCTTGGTAAATTTTGTTTGGATACCATAGCAGATGCACTATTACCTCTGTTATTTGGTTTAGTGGTCTTCGTTGTTACTTTAACCTTGAATATATCCTTTTAACTTGAATTAAGTAGTCTATTTTCTCCCCTCTTACCTCTTTATTAATTTCATATATATATTCCTATGACAAGTCCGTGTGTGGTCAGATTTTTCGAAGTATGTTGCGCGAATAAATTACACGATTCAGACAAATTACATCTTCTTGTTGCTTTGTCTAAAATAATTTTAGCGGCTGATATGTGGTCACCTATCTTAGCATACTTACTTCTTGGACGCATACACAGGATTCACCTAGCGTCGTCCAGTTGTCGAAGACAGAATATTACACCTACTACTACTGTTTGAGGATATATTTAAATGAAGCGAATGTTGAAAAGGCATAGAAACTCACAATCAGCCAGCCTTCACCTTCTTGCATGTCTCCAAGTAATAATCCAAGACTGTATGGACTGAAGCCTTGTTTCGATTTGACCTCCTGTAACTCTCTAGCAACCCATATCAACGTCAGCTATAACTACCCAAGTTGAAAGGAGGCCATTTTAATCGAGGTGCTTTCGAGACACCTCACAGACTGATATCCCCTCCTTACTTGACAACATTATACCTAACCTAACTTTAACTGACTATATTATTCCAACTAACACCAATCGTCTTCCCGAGCAGTCATAAAGAAAGGCAATGACATATAAAAATTTGCATTCAGTGTATTCACTAATCAAAGTTAAAGCACAGGAAATATACATATGTGTAGGTCATTTAAAATCACTTACCCAGCATTTAAATATTTCTTCTAAAATAAATACGAAATAAGTATAGATTAAATTATCTTTTGATTAAAATGTAACATACCACATTTTTAAATATTTGTAAAGCACTGGTAGTTTTCACAGTATCGAGAAGTTCACACCAATGTGCTGCACACAACTAAATCAAAGAAAAAAATCATTCATTATTTAAGTACTACTGAATATGTGAAATGAGTAGTTAAAAGTGAATTGAATTAATTATTGGTGTTCATAAGCTAAATTGAAGTAATTTGAGCATTCACGCCAGTTTATCACTAACGTGTTTGAGACCGATCAACACAGTCAGCGTTTGGTCTCAAAATCCAGGAAATCATTGCGATGATGGATGTGTTTCTGTAGAGCAAAGTGCGCTAGTCATAGTCAGCTTCATGTTTGCAAGCGAATTTTGGGATGTTGTTCAGCTTCGTTAGCTGCAGGCGGATACGAGAGCACTTTATCAGCTGTGATCATTTAGACTCTCTGAGGGACTTCTTCCAAATGATATGAATTGTTCGCGGATATCGTGACAGAGTTCTCAGGTTACGCTAAATATACATTGCTGATAAATTATGGTGTTAAAGTCTATCCCTACAGCGAAAACAATAAATATGCTCACTCGCCTCACCATCACTAGAATGACACCTCCACTATAATACTCTGTTTTTTTGTCACTTATTTAGTTGATGCTGAGACTGTATGAGATAGTTTTTGGTTGGCAGACTGCTACTGATGTAGTGGAGAATGACTGAATGTAGTGAAATACAAGTCTGAATCTTTGAGGGGTTTGAATCAGCGGCCTCTGAATTGCCATCTCAGTGTTCTACTAGCTGATATAACAGACTCAGCTGCTAACCAGGTAGTCACTTCATTGTACTCTCAAAATGTAATACGAAGGTGTTATGCGAGTGACTCCTACGTGATACATTACCTTCCCTTTATAATCACATTAACCGCTAAGCAAGTTGCTCTTCCCATTTCCTTATTCATATATTATAATATATATATATATATTCCAGATAAACCTTTTACTGTCTTTTGTAATCGCATATTAACTCGAAGCAAGACACGTTGACCGAGTCATTTTTATTTATGTTATTTATCTCCAACTAACATTTTTTGATTTTCACCTTTTTTTATACACTTTTAAATGATTCTTTTCATTAAACAAAGTCCCCAGGGAATACAGTAACTTGATTTGATTGCTGAAAATGAAGAGATTATAAGTATAAATGTACAGAACTTCAAAATACTTCGTTGAAAAGAAAAGTGTCCCTTGACAGTTGTGTCTTTGTTTCACAGAAAATAATTTACTGCTTTTAGCCATTAAATTAGTACAGAAGTGTGGTGAGAGCTGGCTGATAGCCAAAGTTGGTCGGTCGGTCGGTTTTCGACATAGAACTTTGCACATATGTGCGCCAGTTCAAGTCGCCACACTCCATGTAGCACACAAAGCAAGAGAAGAAAGTAAAAGAAATTCAAAATAGAGAGCGTAGACAGGGATATGAGACAAAGGAATAGTAATAACGAAGAACAAAACAGTTTCATTGGAAATCATGAGTCACAAGGAGTGGATGCATCTGCGCTAGCCAGCCATTGAGAACGATTTTGAGCCATATCACCAATTGTTTCCAACCATTGGATTTTACCGAGGACCCCAACCAGCAAGAAGTCTACACCTTCCTACGTGGCTTAGACTAACTGTTGTAGATTTCATTGACTGGTGCCATGTTTTGGTTTGACCGCCGCTAACTCTTTTCCAGCCTGACCCTATGTCAGCTAACATTGCCTGTCGAGGAAGGCGATGCCTAGGCTAGGCATACGTAGCACATGTCCTAACCATCTCAGTCGATGTAATTTCACAGTCTCGTCGATTGATTTCCCCTCCTTACCTAGCACTCGACGCCTAACCTCAATATTGCTCACCTTATCATACCACTTCACGCAGGAGATAGAACGCAGACACCTATGATCAAAGACAGCTAATCTTTCCATGTCTTCCACTCTCAATGGCCAGGTCTCACTCACAGCCATAAAGGGGGACGGAGCGGACTGTTGAGCAGTACACACGCCCTTTGGTCGATAGTCGGATATCGCGTCTACGCCAGAGACGGCGTAAACCGGCATATGCGAAACTAGCCCTCTGTATTCGTGCTGAGATTTCGTCGGAGATCAACCCGTTGGCACTGGCTGATGCTACTTCCCAAGTAATTGAAGCGGTCAACGTGCTCTACCACTTCACTTCCTATTTCTAATCTAGGGGTCGGTGAAGTCCAATCCTGCAGCATCATCTTACATTTTACAGGGGCGAATCGCATGCCAAACATACGAAGATTGTTGCTCAAGGTGTTCAGTAGACTCTGCATTTTGTCAGTGTCCTCGCCTAGAAAGACTATATCGTCTGCATATTCTAAGTCAACGAGATTATTCCCTGGTAGCAAGTCAATCCCTGAGTCGCTGAAGTGTGTGTCTACCAAAGTTGGTAGACAGTAATTGACGTCAATGTTTATGTCCTCAATATTGGTGGTGAGAAAATGAGAACAAAGGCTTTGCGTAGACGGATACAATTAGCATATGGATGATCTGACACAGCCACAAAGAGATGCAAGGTTAACTTTCTGTGAGAAACAACCAATCAAAAGACTGTATTTTCTACTAACAATAATCTACAATAATGTACATTGAAATCTATAAATATGTGTTGATTTTCCTTAATAAACGATCTGTTGCCTGGCCCTTGTCTTCTGTTGTTACAGAAGTAAACGTAAGCATTGTTATGTTACCTAGGACTTAGTGCTAATTATATTCTGCCCTCCAGGTTTACAGTGTAGCCACCGAGCAGAGAAAATTGCCACTAGCTTTCATTTTGAGTTGATTATGCTTACTATTAAGCACATGAACGACAGAATTCAGTCCACTTTAAGGAAAAGACAGTAAAAAGAATCATTCTGCAGAAACTCGTCAGTACATTTATTACCATCCCATAGGAGTTCAGTCACTGTCCAAACAGATTTGTAGTAACATCTCGGGGGTAAGATAATTTCTTTAAAGGTTTCAGGTGTCCGCTGTTGACAGTTACCGATGAACTCTAAATGTAGAATTTTTCTGCCAGTAGCTACGTATCACCGATAACAATGTATAGTTTGTCATTTCTTTGACATAGAGGTATTATTTTCTAGTAGATGGATCCAGAAATTTGATCAGAAAGTGGTTCATATATCATCGTATATAGTCGGCTTTCTTACGTTATTTTTGATCCTGTACTTTAATTATCCCGACATGATCCAAGTTAACCATTATTGAAATTTAATCAAACGAATGCATAAGTTATAACAACGAAAAGTAACTAGACTTACTTCAAAACATTTCAGGCGAGATAATATCTGATCATGGTCATTATAACCATCAATGTTTTCTTGAACTAGTTTACGCACTACTGGTGTACCTAACCTATGAATAGATGCAGAGACATGTTGACTAATCATAAAGAAAGACAAGACTTGAGTAAAATGAAACAAAAAATAATTGAGCAAAGAATATCCATTTCGATAACTTCCTCTTCTGGCTCTACAACTATGAATATATGCTCATATACATAGAATAATCTAGAATAGTAGTCAATAACAATATTAGTGTTTCTTAAATAATATCAAGTTGTTAAGTAAGATCAATGGAATTACAGTTCATTAAAGATGCTTAAATTATAATAATAAAGACATAGTAAAAAATAGAATATCAACTAAAATTAGGGAAATTTCTACAAAAATTGAGGATCATTCAAACTTAGATGGCCAAAGTAAGGATAATGTCTGAACTAACTTCTTTTGGATGCACAAATTAGGCTTCTTAATATGGATTCCAACAGCCAGCCTCAGCAATATTTAGTAAACGAACTCTTAAGGCGAAGTTAAGATTTGTTGGTATGTGGTAAATGACTTTGAAAGCCGTCTCGTTGACATCAATCTTGTGTTCTGTATCCACAAGATGAGATAGAATAGCACTGCGAATAGATTTTGTTTATCCTTTGCTTAACCAAGATGCAGGGTGATGTTTGGAAATCCGACGCCCAATCGTACGGCCTATACAACTAACTGGCCCCAAAAGAGCAGTTTAGTTGGTGAATACACATGGAAGAGGCGAAATTAGGCAGTTTATCTTTTACTCCTGAACGCAAAAGATGAGTGGTTTTGAAGACACAGCGTAATTCAGCAGCAGGGAATGCTCTTTTTACCGCATTTCTAAGGCGTTGTGTTAGTATCTCACTGATGTTATCCCCAAGGAACTGCATTTGTAAGGATAAGGCCTTTATAAGAACTGTCGGTACCTTGGGCTGCTTTAATTTTAGACTCATATTCTTATCAATAAACGTTTATGGATAACCGTTTTCACTCAGCAACTGTTTAATATTATTAAGTTCCTCATCAAGACATTCGTCCGAGCAGATTGCTCTTGCTCTTTGAACCAAGTACTTTATCAGATTGCGTTGGTATTTTAAGGGCACGAAGCTAGCCATCTAAGTTTGAATGATCCTCAATTTTTGTGAAAATTTCCCTAATTTTAGTTGATATTCTATTTGCTATTATATCTTTATTATTATTATTTAAGCATTTTTAATGAACTGTCATTCCATCGTGATTTTACTTTACAAATCGTTATTATTGAAAAAGCATTAATATCGTTATTGGCTACTATTCTAGAATATTCTATGTATTTGAACATGTGTATAATTGTAGAGCCAAAAGGTATGATGGGGAAGATTTGTAGCTCAGGTGGATGATTTTGATGTGGTTGTGTTGTCTGAGCTGCATAGTCAATTTGCGAAGCTTTCATTGCCCTACTAGGGAACACCTTCAGCGCATATTTCAATTTGAAGTGAGCTTTTAGATTTCTCCACGATTTTATTAGTCATCTTTCCTGGTGACCACTTTCAACCTCGTGATTGGTTGTTTTTGTGTGTTTTCACACCTTCTAGGCTACTTGTATTGTTACTCATTGTTTCTTTGACTTGAAATTTAACCCTTTGTGTGTGAGGTTTCTTTCTTATCGGTTGATAAATTTTGTCTATCTCGATGTGTCTATTGATTGATGATTCACTGGAATGCCAACCTTCTAAAAATTCTCTAGTATTCTTGGTGTTTCCTCTTTCTAATATTTGAACATTATCTCAGCCGAATTAACGTCGATGGTTGGCTGTATGCAGTGAGGCGATATGAGGGAGTGGATGTCATGTCTTTTGACGGCTAGTTTATGATCGTGGATACGAAGACGAAGAGGACGTCCACTTTGGCCAATGTAGTGTTTTTCGCATTTGTTACAATTTATCTTGTAGATGATGTTGGTTTTATTTTCTTTCGCTGTTGAGTCTTTTGGTTGACATAGAACTGAGTGAAGTGATTTTGTTGGTTCGTGTACGACGTCAATTCCTAAAGGTTTGACGAGTCTTGCAGTGATTTAAGAGATGTCCTTTATATATGGCAGGGCGACTTTCTTTGTGCTTTCCTTGGGGGCTTTTGGTTTGATAGGTTGGCTTGGGGGTATATGTCTTTTCATAAAATTCCATGGATGTCCATTCTTTAGGAAGACGTCCATGAGATATCTTTCTTCAATTTTCCCTAAGGTAGGAGTGCTGCAATGAGTCTTGGCCCTCTTGAATAGTGTTTGTATGCAATTCCTTTTGTGTGTTATAGATTGTTGCTGTTGTAATTCACTATTTGCTCCGTGTTAGTTGATTTTCTATAAACTTGGGTTTCTTATTCCCCTGTGGTTCTTCGCTTGACTATGACGTCCGAAAATGGGATTTTCTTCTCGAATTCCTCTTCTCTTGTGAATTTGATGTCGTTGAAGACGTTGTTTATTAAGTTGTGAGTTTTATCTAACTCGTTTCTTTTGATTATTACAAATGTGTCGTCTACGTAACGTATCCAAATCTCGGGTTTGATCTTTGGTAGCTCACTTCAAATTAAAGTATGCGCTGAAGATGTCACCTAGTAGGGTGATGAAAACTTCGCAAATTGACTATCTAGCTTAGAGAACACAGCCACATCAAAAAGGAGCCAGAAGAGTAAATTATCGGAAAGGATATTTTTTGCTCAATTATTTTGCATTTTACAGATGTCTGAATGAATATTTTCGCTATATTAAAATGAAACAGATTTATGCACGAGATTGGCATTAAGAAATTAAAAACGGAAGAACATGTAATTCAGCGAAAATGCACAGGTGAACAACCGCATCTTTGTATTCTGATTTTGTGGAAATGTACAACGTGCTAATTGAAGTAGTTAGTTAACCGAGTCAATTTAATCGAAAAAAAATGAAGCTCAGATATGTTGCACATGGAGTTCACTATTGCATTAGAGTTGTAGCAAAAAATGTTATTTAAATTACTCTCGACAGACTGCTTCGAAGGATTTCAACAATTGTGTGTTCCATCAAATTCTGATTGACAATTAGTTGTCTCTTCAGTATATTCAGCCTATGCAAAGCGTCGATCTTTCTCTTGAAATTTCTACCTGTCGATGAAGGACACTGGATATCCATTCTTGATTTAAGTGTTTCTGAAGTTTTCTAACTCCTCGCTTGATTTACGGTAGATTCTCATCACGAGAAACTGGTTAACTTTGTCAACTTACCATTCCATTTTTAGATTGTGGTTAAATGGTTTTCTTAGGGTTCGATCTATTCGCATTGAAAGTTGGATATCTTGTAAGAAAAATTTCTCTTCTAATCTAACTTCCATTTTTAACTCAGTTGATCCGTGAGTGTTATTAAAGACTCCTAGAATTTTACTTAGCTCAGTATTTCAATCGATTGTGATAAAGATATCATCCATTTATCGATTGTAGACTTTGAACTGATTAATAGTTGACTGGAAGCTGTTAGACTTAAAATAAACTACGAAACAATCCACGAGTAATGCACAAAGTGGAGAACCCATCATCATTCCATCCTCAACTTGATTTATTACTAACTGTCAATAACCTCTGATCCTTGTTTTCACTTAACTTTATGAATGTATAAATCCCTAAACAACTATAAGGCTTTGAAGTGAATTTAAGAAAGTGGATTTCTTCGCTGACTTATGTATTTACATGATAATGTTGGATAGTTGGAGGCAACCGGCAGGAAGCTGTGGACCTAGATTTCGTGCTAGTTGGCACTCACCAATCAGCTAGCAAAGTGTATCTGCAACCTTGATGAAACTCATGTCCCTAATGAGATTCGAACTCGCGTCACCCAGTGCTGTGGTTAGAGACGTTACCACTGAGCTACTCAGGCTCAGTGGTATTTATAATTAAATCACATAAGAATTTCTCATACTTAGCAGATAAATGAATCGAATTTCATCAGTGGAGTGTTAATTTTGTCACTCTTAATGTCTGAATTTTGCTCATTCTGAAGGTTGGTAGTTCAATGGCTGAATTATTATTATTTTTGTTTCCTTTAATTCCTACAGGAACATAGGGCTTCAGCCGTGCGTCTCCATTGCGTTCAATTCTCTGCTAGAGTCTTCACCTGGCTCCATGTCTGCCCACACGTTTTCATCTCCTCTTCACATGACCTCCTACAAGTCACCCTTGCACTGACGACCAACTTGCCGCTTCCCTTTCGGGTTCCACTCAAGCAATGGCTTGTCTAGTGATGTCACTTGATGGTTTCCTCAGAGTATCGCCAGCCAATCCATCTCCATTTCTTCCTGCATATTTGTTTCACAATCGGTTCCTGCTGTGTCGGTTGATTCGTTCATTGCCAGATATCTCTGTTGCTGATCTTTTCTGGCCGGCCATCTGATCTTGAGTGGTATTGAGCGAAGACAACTGTTAATGAAGGTTTGTAGTTTGTTTGAGATGCTCTTTATGACGCTCAGTGCAAGTCTCTGATCCGTACGTATAGTAAGTGGCACTGACTTCACATTGGAGTTGAAATTCCGGATCTTATTTTTGATGCTGAGTGCTGTTGACCTCCACACAGGCTTGAGAGGAGTGAAAGCTTCTTTTGCTTTTCCGTTTCTTGCTTTGATATCCTCGTCAGTTCCGTCGGCCTGTAGTTGAAACGATGCTTCCCAGGTCGGTGGTTGAAGGAGGTTGTTTCTTTCAGGTTCCTGCAGTTTACGCTGATTGTTATCTGTTGTTGTTGCTGTTGGTGGTGTTGTCCAGGAATCTTCATCACCTTTGTTTTCTTGATGTTCACCTGCAGTCCTTCCTGTCTTTGAGGCTTCTTGTGCCAACTTGTTGCTTTTCGTTTGCATATCTTCCAGTTTGTGGGAAATCAAACATATATCATCGGCGAAGTCCAGATCCTCCAAGTTTTCTGTGTGAGTCCATTTTATGCCTGTTTCCTGATTTCCCGCTGTTTGTCGCATTATCCAATCTACTGCAATTAGGAAAATCATTGGCGATAGTAGGCAGCCTCGTCTGTCTCCTGTCCTCACTTCGAAGGATTCCGTGAGTTTCCCGTTGTGGATTACTTGGCATGCAGCATTGTCGTACAGCTGTTGGATGAGATGTATAATTTTCGGTGGCACCCCGTCGTAGTAGAATTCTCGCCAGCTGAATAGAAAGCCCAGTTTCTATCCCTGCCTTGTGAACTCCTAAACACGTCTATTTACTCCACCTTATTAAAATAAACAACACCGAAATTTCAACAGCCTGAATTTGAGTGTCTCACTTGGAATGCCAGGAATGAGACAGGAAGCTCATGCTGAAGTAAGTGGAGCTAAACTAAAATACTCATGCTTTCTTAAATTGTTAATACTATTGCTACTTACTCGATTAACGTCATTGTTAACTCATAAAAGTCTTTCTTTTTCTCTTCACAGCCTTTGTTCACTTGATTGTTTTGTTTATTTGCATTATTTTGTTGTTTGTTTACTTCAGCGGTATAGTTATTAGTGACAAGTTTATTTAATTCTTGTATAGTATTCACTTGTTCAGCTTTTATTTGATCAATTCTCATTTTCCCAACACTGATCACCCTGTTCTTCATTAATTCAAACCATCCTTTAACATGTTGATGACATTTAGATAAATTTAAATCAGTTATATCCGTAAATTTATCAGATCTAAAAAGAGTTAAAAATCAATTTTTGTTTTTAAAACGGGATTGCCATAGACTAATGTTAATAGTTTGCAGGTTTCAAATGTTAAACTAAAAGCATTTTAAACAAAAGAAAGCGTTAAATGTTCGAAGTCAAAAAAATCTCTGCGTTGGTTGTATCCTGCTTCTCTAATGTTTTTCCCATGACATTAGCCTATAACCCTAATAAAACTCTCTGTTTGCTGTTTTTGCGCATTTATGACACATGAAATCTGAACTCCCCCTGGTTGTTAACTCTTTGAAAAGTCATTTATCTGAAATAAGTAATTTACTTGCGTAGTAGATTTCGAACATTGTGATCACACACGTACTTGTATTAAATATTTATATATTACTCAATGCAGCATAAAGGATCCAAATTTTATCAATAGATGTCAAAATATTTACAGATAATTGGTGGGAAATTAACCAAGAACAATAGGAGGATGAAAATATTATTAAGTACAAACAATGTTTGATTGTAAAATTGGATTATCATGACAGGTTCAGATTAATAACAAAGAATGTTTGAACATACAGATGGACTTCTTGTGGACAGATCATCTTTCTGACCCGTCCTGTCAGCTAATTATGGGTAAATCTAAAAATGGCAAGTACTTATTTTTTTTTCCTTCCATGTGTGTTAAGAATGTACTATTTTGTACTGTATTCATCCCGCTAAGAGATTCTCTGATATCTGTCATCTTGTCACATATAAGTGTGATATCATCCAAGTACTTCTTATAAATATAAACTTTTCAAATTAATTATCAAGTTAGGTTCTCAGTATGTGACATCTATATATTTCAGCGAAGAATGGACTTAAGAGATGTCCCATGGGAACACCATCAATCTGGCGGAAACGCTCACTCTCAAACGCAGATCTAACACTGCAAGTACTTAAAAGAAGCAGCTCTTTCAAATAAAGTATGGGAAACGGTGATAAGAAATTGCTGTCTGAAATATAGCTACAAAAAGTGCCAATTTTTCCGTAACAATAGTGCACTTGTAAATAAAGAATCAGCACCAAGAGAGAACATGGCTTTGTTGTTTGTTATGAAGAAATTCCATGAAAAATAAGGCATTTTTTAAAAAAAACGTAAAGAAACTCTTTCTAATGGGCTATGATATTTCCACTAAGAGCTTAGCAAGCTTATGGATTGGACGTCTTTACAAGGATATTATTAATTCCTTTCCTCTCTCATTTGTTATTCTTTCTTTTGTGTTCAACTTTATACTACTTACCAAGAGTAAGTAATACGAGTAAATTTGTTACTTCAAAACCATAACTTTTGTTTGCCATCAAAGTTGAACTCACCTAATGCATTCATACTCTATCTGACATACATTAGTAATTTTGTCTTATAGTTAAACATTGTCTGCTGTATATGCCTTATTTATATACTCTTCTCTGTCGAATGTTGGAATCCTTTCATCCCATGTCTCACACTGGCGCTCTGTTCAAATCTATATGTGTATAGCCGTTGATGCAGCTTTGGTGTTTTTCTTATTGATACTCACTGACAGTGCTTCCTATGGTATTCAGGCACAGACACCTCACTAATTGATGTCTGTATATAATATTTCATTATTTCATGCATATTATAATACAGTTGAAACGACAGAAGACAAGGACTAGGCAGCACACCGTTTATTGAGAGAATCCAGAGATATTTATAGAGAACTGAAGGTTATTCTGTACTGCTTGTGACCGTTTCTTAGAAAGTTGGGTCATATATCTACGAGTCCTATTCGCATACGCTAAGTCTGCTGTGATTGGTTGTTGAGTTTCTCAAGGTTAGACTTTGTTAATGTTCATTCTCATGACCGCGATTCGGGACGTAAGCATTGACATATATTGCTGTCTACAATTTTGTCTTGCAGACAGCTCTCACCATACGGTGTTCTAGAAAAATCCCGTGTTTTTGGATTTCACGTGTCACTCAACGTGTGGTTGAAAATTAATCATTTGGATTATCGCTCCGTATCTCTTAGAAGAAATTCACAGATATTACGGAGAGAATGTTAGGTGTGTGGGTTTTCGACAGACCATACATGTGTGACAATCAAAATTCAGTGAGTTAATAGTGCAATGAATTTCTCATTATTCAACACATTCTTACTCAATAGTTCCACTGGATTATCATTCACCTTATTGTATAAAATCTTCGCATTTTCTGAGAAAGTGTCTCTGCTAAATTTGCTCTCATTTTCGTGGATGCATAACTACCTACTTTAGTAATTTATAAAATTATATTTGTAAAATCTCAGCGAAATTAAAATGATTAATTCCAACGTTTCGTCCGGCAATCTGGTCCGAACTTCTTCAGGGAAATTAATCGAAACTAACATAACAGATAATCCACAATGCTCAAACTTTTTACTGATATTAACATAACAGAGGTTTATATATAAAAGGAACAACTCTTGTTTATAAACTTTGTCCAATCATGAGTCATGCAACAGGCATCAACATGTATAATAAATAAATAGATAAAATAGTATGTTTATATATAAAAGCACATCTCTTGTTTTAAATTGTTTGTCCTGTGATGTGAATCAAGAGACAGCTATCAATAGGTATAATAAACAAAACAAAACAAAAAATTTATATATGAACTGTGATCCAAATTTGCCCTCATACTTTCAAAATTAGTCTACTTTTGTTAAAGTAAATATGTGTAAATGCAGTATACAATGGTGTGTGTGGGTGAACAGTCATAAAACATTTGTTATTCTCATATGAGCTGTGATCAAGATTTGACCGAATAGTTACAAAATAATTGAGATTTTTTTACAAATATAATATAATTTTATAAATTTGATATTCTCTCCGTAAGAAAACGTAGACCATCGGGAATTTGATGAAGTGTGACTAGTTGTTGAAAACATATCCAATTTATTTATTAGTCAGGATTTGCCATGCATCAGCTAAGATCACACCTTCACATCTGTTCAAACTGTTGGGATTCACTCATATATGTAGGGCTTCTGCAGTCAGTCTTTCTTTATATGAACCAAAACCTTCCTGTAAAACATTAGTCTTATCAAAGTCGATTTTGTGTGCCGTTTCTATCGAATGCAGTGCAATCGCTGAGTTGTTTTCTAGTTTCTTCAAGGCTGCAGAGGTCTTTGGAACCACCTTTAGAAATTGTCTATGCTCTTTCATTCTTACATTTACCCGTCAGGTAGACTAATTTTGAAAGTATGAGGGCAAATTTGGATCACAGTTCATATATAAATTTTTTGTTTTGTTTTGTTTATTATACCTATTGATAGCTGTCTCTTGATTCACATCACAGGACAAACAATTTAAAACAAGAGATGTGCTTTTATATATAAACATACTATTTTATCTATTTATTTATTATACATGTTGATGCCTGTTGCATGACTCATGATTGGACAAAGTTTATAAACAAGAGTTGTTCCTTTTATATATAAACCTCTGTTATGTTAATATCAGTAAAAAGTTTGAGCATTGTGGATTATCTGTTATGTTAGTTTCGATTAATTTCCCTGAAGAAGTTCGGACCAGATTGCCGGACGAAACGTTGGAATTAATCATTTTAATTTCGCTGAGATTTTACAAATATAATTTTATAAATGTCTACTTCTCACTCAGCGCTCAATTATTTTGCAACTATCCGGTCAAATCTTGATCACAGTTCATATGCATACCTACTTTAGTGTTCATTTCTGTTCATTACGACTAAACTGGAACCTTTATCTAGTCCGAGAATAATGATATCAACACTTTTCTTCAGTTTGTTTGGAGCTTCAAATGTGTTCAGCCGTGAAAGATAATTTTCTGCACTGTACAACCTATGCAGAATTGATGAACAATGTCAGCTAACTTATCTTTCAACCAATCTTTGTGGTCAGGAGAAAAGAGAAGAAGAAGAGACTTTAGTTAGTCATATAGATTTTCATATTGTGCCTCAATTTCCACTTTTGAGAAATTCTCTTGAGGATATAAGAATTTCACTTCAAGTGACAATGCTTGTTTGTGTAATGTGAACAGTGTCATGGAGGATAGATGAACAGTAAATATCTCTTCATCATTATTAGGACAGTGAGTAATCCAGGAAAAGAGGGAAGGGTAGTCATGATTCTCTCAAATTCACCCCGTAAGAAGGCCACCACTAATACTGCAACTTGAATGTCCAAAGGGGTGTGTTCCATCAAGATAACATGGAGTGAAAAAAGTGTTCCACATTAGTTAAACTACATGTGATGGTCGAAATTTGTCAGGACAATCTGTCTTTAAGATCGATGATAAGTAAAGTGAAAACAAAAGCCTTGGTAATGTTAGGATCCAGATCATGCACCTTTTAGACGGTTCCTGGACCAAAGGATGACAGCCGCCTAATCTATAAAAAATAAAAACCATCTACCGGCAAATCATGTTCTGGCCAAATCGCAACTCTACGCATCATCATCATCGAACAAAGCATGGAATGGCAATCAAACCTCTACCTCAACCTCCTTCATAGACTTTGAAAAGGCCTTCGACAGCGTTGACCGCGAAGTAATTTGGAAACTACTCGAGTACTACGGCGTACCATAAATATTCATCAACCTTATTCAACAGCTGTACGACAACGGCACATGTCAAGTGATCCACAATGGAAAACTCAGCGAGGCGTTTGGAGTAAACACAGGAGTCAGACAAGGGTGCTTATTATCACCAATGATATTCCTAATTATGGCGGACTGGATTATGCGTCAGACAGTGGGAAACGAGAAGACAGGGATATCCTGTCCTGAACGACGTGAAGAACCTAGAAGACCTGGATTTCGCGCGTGGATTATTTATGTTTGATGTCACACAAAATCGAAGACTTACAAGCGAAAACCGACAAACTGGTCGAAGAAGCAGCAAAGACAAGACTCCAGGTGAACATAGACAAGAAGGAGGTTATGAAAATAACCAACCAACCAACAACAACAACAACAGCAACATCCAGCGCCAATCACCATCAACGGGAGGGATTTGAAATAGGTTACTTCATTCACTTATCTAGGGAGCATTGTCTCAACTACAGGCAGGTGGAACGGACGAGGATGTCAAATCGAGAATCAGGAAGGCGAGAAACACATTCATCAACCTGAAACCAATCTGGAAATCTTCGTCACTCCTCAGCATCAACAACAAAATTCGGATTTTCAAATCAAAAGTCAAGTCAGTTTTGCTATACGGATCAGAAACTTGGCGGGTCACAAAGAATATTTCCAACAGCCTGTCACAGACCTTTATCAACAACTGTCTTCGCTCTATACTGAAGATCAGATGGTCGCCGGAAAGAATCACCAACAAGAAACTATGGGAACAAACAAAACAAGAACCAATCGCCCAACAAATATGCAGGAGAAAGTGGAGATGGATTGGACACTCACTGGCTGAGGAGGCCACTGGGTGATATCGCGCGTCAGGCCAACGCTCGAGTGGAACCCGAAAGGGAAGCGGTGAGTGGGACGTCGAAGGTTGACATGCAGGAGATCGTGTGAATAAGAGTGGAAACAGTATGAACTAACATGGATGCAGGTTAAAAGTACAGCAGATGACAGAAGCAAATGGAAACGTGCAGTTGAAGCCCTATGTTCCACTAGGAACCCAAGGGAACAATAATAATAATAATACGGCCAAAACTCTTCACCATAAGTAAACATTCATTAACTTACTCATCAAACAAAGATGTCCCCTCACTGCTGTCATCATTTTTTCCACTGAATTCATCATTTACTGAACTCAACTGATGAATTTGTTTTGATGAGGATATTATGCAATTATTTGTTTTACCAATGCACATCGAAATCTGTTTAATTGTATCAATCCAATAGCCAAACTGATGAATATTTTGCTGTAAATTTTCACTGAATAATTCCACTTTATAACTCTCTGAATTCTTATCATCTTCGGGTGTAACATTCAATTGTCGACTTTGTGCATAATCTTCAATACTTCGAATTAATTTCGTCAAATGTTGGACAATTCCATTTTCACCTTGTAATCGAATTCGATAATCATAAAGTATTCTTTGAAGCTCCTAAAGTATTAAAAATTAACAATCTATTATGAAATATACGTAGAAATAAGCTTTAGATAAATGGTATATGTTACAGCGGACATATTTCGGATTTTTGTCAAGCTGGATCGTAAACTGACATTAGCTGAGAACTGTTAGAAACCAGGACTGGAGTACGCATCTATAATCCCAACGGGTATTGAAACCAAACCCTTCAGGTTACACGGTGAGTCCGTTGACGATTCTATCAGTGGGACCAAATTTCGATAGTCCATGGAGTCTAAGTCGTCACAAGTGGGATTGACTAAGACAGGTAAGAGAACAGTTACTCGCCGACGACAGTGGTTGACGGTGGTGCTATGTATCACAAATATAAGGATTTTGAGGTTCATTATTATTATTTCCTTTAATTCCTAGAGGAACATAGGGCTTCAGCCATCTCCTGGCTCCAAGTCTGCCAACACGCTTTCATCTCCTCTTCACATCACCTCCTCCAAGTCACCCACCATCGCACTGACGACCAACTCGCCGCTTCCCATCCGGTAGGGTTCCACTCGAGCAATGGCTTGTCTAGTGATGTCACTTGATGACTTGTTTCCTCAGAGTATGGCCAGCCAATCCATCTCCATTTCTTCCTGCATATTTGTTTCACAATCGGTTTCTGCTGAGTTGGTCCGCTCATTGCCAGAGATCCCTCTCTGTTGCTGATCTTTTCTGGCCGGCCATCTGATCTTGAGTATTGAGTGAAGACAACTGTTAATGAAGGTCTGTAGTTTGTTTGAGATGCTCTTTATGACGCGCAGTGCAAGTCTCTGATCCGTATAGTAGCACTGACTGACTTCACATTGGAGTTGAAAATCCGGATCTTATTATCACTTTTGATGCTGAGTGCTGTTGACCTCCACACAGACTTGAGAGTAGTGAAAGCTTGTCTTGCTTTTCCGATTCTTGCTTGGGGTTCATAGCTTGCCGGATTCCATTCCAGTGGCTGAATGGTCTACGATCTTGCCTTGTAGCGCGAAGGTGCTGGGTTTGAAACCTGGCAGGTGCACACTGATGAAGAGTCCTAAGCTCGGATGCAGCAGCTACCACGTGCCCGCTGGTTTTTCAATGGTTCTCCAAATGTGATACCAGCTAGAGATGAAGCCTGTAATCCTAGTTATGTTATATGTTATCCAACAACATGAATGTTTGACGCCTTTAATGCTTAACTGTATCTCTCATAATGGAATGTCCTATGGTCCCAGTTTGCCACCACAAAAGGGTCTATTGCGAAGTATTTAAGAGTGTTCTACTTTTCGGGTGAGAAATATTTTTTAAGAATGAAGGAATGTCTGTTTTCTATCATGAGTAACTATTTAGCACTGGTTAGAAGTAACGAAACAAAAGTTAGAATCAAATATCATCTTTCTTCACTGACAGAAACACACTCTGCTGTATGTATTTATTATAATGCGATGTCGAGCTTAGAATAATCAAATCATACAACAAACACACGAGGTATGCAGCATAGATGGCACTGAAATAGAAATCAAGTCAAAAATTAGGTACCTAGGCGTCATTCTATCTGCTGATCTCTCCTGGTCGTCTCATATCTTGGCGATTTCTAAGAAAATATTCCGTCTTACCTTCTACAGTAAGAAGTTAAAACATTCTGGTATTACCCAACCCATACTCCTACAATTCGTTAATTCTCGCATCCTGCCTATTATTCTCTATTGTTCACCCTTAGTTTTTCCCGGGCTACTGAAGAAAGACTATAACATATTATGCAGGATGTTAAAGGTTGTCATCAGGGTGAGCAACGTGCCACTTAAGCAGCTTGTTAATATTCTGGTCGACAGGCACATGGACTCATGTGGAAAATGGGCAAATCCATTTTATCTAACTCACATCAACCCTCTTCACTCACAACTCTCCCCTTGCATCTCATCAGGCAAAACCAGAAGCCTAAATAGGAAACTATATGCTAGTACCAGCAAGTACAAAAACTCAACAATACCCTACTTAGCTCGTGTTCTGTGCGATAAAGAAAGCATTAGGCGTGACATCTATAATTCATTCAATAGTCAGTAGTACAACTGGATCTCTTCTTTCCAACTCATATCATATATAGGTACAACATTTTCCTTCTTTCCTTTCTTTTTCTCTCTCTTTTTTTTCCGTTATGTGCCGTTTTGTTTCTTTCTCTGGTTTACGCCAGTAAATATGATAGCACCTACTTTTCTAACATCTTCAAACACTGTTCAACTTTGGCTTTGTTACTGACATCCCAATATGTTGTTGTCATAATGAACTGAGATTTCCTTAATCTATGTAGAATTCTAATTATTGATAATGTACCAACTGGATGCAATACTGTAGTAAACAAAATGCTGAGAATTCCATTCTGTATCACAAGTACTGTTTTGGAATGAAGGAAATTATTATTATTATTATGATCCAGCACTTTTAGAATCAGTTTATGTAGAAACACAACTTTACCGTTAGGAACACCGATAAAAATTACTTTCCACTAGAATCCGGATACGCCTAAATGTTGTGACTTTTTTGGCTGGTGATGGCTAACAATGGAATCTAGAAGGTATATTTCGTCCAATTTAAAACTCATCAGGCGAATGTTTCTGCTCTCCTTATAGAGTGATGGTGTTCCGACTGAGATTCGAACCCAGCACCCATGCATGGTTTCAAACGTAAGACAAATTTGTCTTATTAATAAGTTTCTGAAGACTAATCACATTGGTTTTTATTCAGTTCTTCTTTTCAATTCTTCTATTCTGAGTGGGATTTCGGACTGCAAGCTTTTGAAGTTCCAGTAGCGATGGCAGTGTTGTTCTTACGGGATGGGGTTGGCAGCCTGACTCTCAGCATTTCCTATCTTCCGGGTTTACTAACTGCCGGTAGTAGTTATTATTACTATTATTATTGTTTCCTTTAATTCCTAGAGGAACATAGGGCTTCAGCTGTACGTCTCCATTGCGTTCGGTTCTCTGTTAGAGTCTTCACCTGGCGCCACGTCTGCCCACACGTTTTCATCTCCTCTTCACATCACCTCCTCCAAGTCACCCACCATCGCACTGACGACCAACTCGCCGCTTCCCATCCGGTAGGGTTCCACTCGAGCAATGGCTTGTCTAGTGATGTCACTTGATGACTTGTTTCCTCAGAGTATGGCCAGCCAATCCATCTCCATTTCTTCCTGCATATTTGTTTCACAATCGGTTCCTGCTGAGTTGGTTCGCTCATTGCCAGAGATCTCTGTTGCTGATCTTTTCTGGTTGGCCATCTGATCTTGAGTAGAATTTAGCGAAGACAACTGTTAATGAAGGTCTGTAGTTTGTTTGAGACGCGCCAAGTCTCTGATCCATACAGCAAGTAGCACTGACTTCACATTGGAGTTAAAAATCCGGATCTTATTTTTGGTGCTGAGTGTTGTTGACCTCCACACAGACTTGAGAGTAGTGAAAACTTGTCTTGCTTTTCCGATTCTTGCTTTGATATCCTTGTCAGTCCTGTCCGCCTGTAGTTGAGACGATGCTTTCCAGATCGGTAGGTAAAAGAGGTTGTTTCTTTCAGGTTCCTCCCATTTATGCTGATTGTTGTCTGTTGTTGTTGCTGTTGGTGGTGTTGCCCAAGGATCTTCATCATCTCTGTTTTCTCTATGTTCACCTGAAGTCCTATCTTCGATGCTTCTTCTGCCAAGTAAACTAGGTGAAATTTAAGAGTGCATCGGCCAGGAATCGGATCCATACCATTTGTATGGCTTTCGAGTATTCTACCATTCATCCACAGACTCATCCAATATATATACGTACAGATTTGTTGTACATTTTAGCTAATGAACGTCAATCTATTGTGATATATTACTGTACTGACTTTTATTTATAGATGAAGATGTCTATAGTATACAAAGGCAGATAATAAAAATCCAAAATAGACTCTGATAAATAGGACTGTAAGAAAGATAAAATAATTTTATGACGAATCAAAAGAATTTAATCAATGTGGGAGATCATTAAAATCAAACAAAACAAATCCTAACCATTTTAGCAGAAACTCCAAAACGCTGGCTCTTAGCATCTCAAAGATTGCAACCAAGGGGATCAACACCTCCCTAAATAGCTCAAACCAACTGTCAAACACCTAATGGGTTGACGTCGTATTTCATTTTGATCACTTCTAACTCTTTTCCAACTTATCTTAACTTATGTCAGCTAACATTACTCAACGAAGAAACCGGTAGCTATGCACCTGTAACATGTGTCCTAGTCATCTTAGTCAATGCAGCTACACCATTTAACATGACTAATAGAATGCCAACAAATACTGTTAAAGGTAGATAGTATCTTCATTTCTCCCACTTTCAATGGTTATGTCACACAGCTGTAAAATAGAACGTAGTGAGCTGTTGTGTGGTACACACCCTTTGATGCATGGTCTCATGTCAAACCTACGCCGAAGATGAAGGGCGTCGTCAAATACCAAACACCAGCCTTCTGCATATGTGGTGCAACTCTGCATAGTTCAACTATTGGTTAAATTATCAAAATTTCTTTCACAAAATAATTTTAAAAAATGTCTTGTATTACCTTTTGTAAGTGAACAGTTACTTCTTGTTCATAATTTGATGACTGTTTAGTCATCATCATTAATTCAGCATAATGAGATGATTGGAAAAGTAATTCAAACCATTGATTTTGAATCTGTTCAATTATTTTCAAATTATCTTCAATATTTAATACACATTCACCATTGAACATATCTAAGCCTAAATTAGCGACCTTGAGGAGAAGAAAAACAAAAATAAACAAAAAGTTATCATATCAAACTGTGATAAATGCATAAAATTATGAATTTATGATTAAAGGAGTCATTTCGACGAAATTTGGGAATTCGATGGAAATATTTCCGATTGTTAAATTTTCACCAAGAACTAACAACAGTTAGAAAGATCACGGAGAACCAGGGAGCACTGGAGTGGTTTTATTGAAGAGAAATGCTCAGTCTGTGCAGATATGTCACCTCTCAGTACAAATGAGTTAGAGTAGACATGATACTATTAAGCTGATGGTGACTAGCAGTGGAACTTAGGAAGCACGTTTCGATCCACTTGAGATTCGTCAGCTAGAACACCATCACTCACTAGAATTGCAGATACATCCAGCTGGTGAGTGTCGGATAGGACGAAATGCGCTCTATGCAGTCTACTGCTAGCTGTCATCAGGCTGAAAAATATCATATTCGTCTTAAGGCATCGTTGAAGTAGTCTCACTGAGAGTCAAAAAGTTAACGGAAACCGAGTAGTTTAGTCGAACTAGACCAACAAGCGGGAAGCTCAAATAGTACTAATATCAGGAAGTTATAACCACTACCCATTACATAAAAGGCTGTTGTCATTGTCCAAGGACCTAAGAAAAAGCACTCCGGCCTTTAAAATGGTAGATAATGAGCTTGAGTCACTGAGAATGCAGTTACATTCAACTAATGTGTCCCTAGTAGAACCTAATGCTTTTTGATGTGGTTGTGTTCTCTGAGCTGTATAGTTGATTTGCGAAGCTTTCATCACCCTACTAGGTGACATCTTCAGCGCATACTTCAATTTGAAGTGAGATTTTCGATTTCTCCACGAGTTTATTAATCATCACTCCCGGTGACCGTCAAAAGACATGACATCCACTCCCTCATATCACTACATACAGACAACCACGGGCATCAATTTGACTGGAACAATGTTCAAATATTAGACAGAGGAAACAACAAGAATGCTAGAGAATTTTTAGAAGCTTGTCATTCCAGTGAATCATCAATCAATAGACACATCGAAATAGTCAAAATTTATCAACCGATAAGAAAGAAACGTCACACACAAAGGGTCAAAGTTCAAGTCAAAGAAACAATGACTGACAATACAAGTAGCCTAGAGGGTGTGAAAACACACAAAAACAACCAATCACGTCCAAGGACACCGGGAGGGATGATTAATAAACTTGCGGAGAAATCGAAAAGCTCATATCAAATTGAAGTATGCGCTGAAGATGTCACCCAGTAGGGTGATGAAAGCTTCTCAAATTAACTATCCAGCTCAGAGAACACAACCATATCAAAATCATCCACTTGAGCTACAAATCTTCTCCATCATATCTAGAACATAATGCGCTACATGGACACCATTTACCGAATAGTAGTTAAACAGTAATCATAAATTCACTACTTGGGAGGTAGGCATGTCAGTAGCATCAGTTCGATGCCTTAGGTTGTGAAGTTTCAAGCAAAAATGTAAAACTTTGAAGATTTTCAAAAAGTAGTTTGATTAGCTAAAACATAACCTGAGATGAACACTGAGAATACAAAGAAGACGAAAATACACAACCATGCACAACAAACAACATTCACAATCAGTAGGGGAATCTAAAGGAAGTTGCATCTTTTATTTTCCTAACCGAGGCAGTGTCGTTTCAACTACTGACGACACGGATGAAAACGTCAAAGCCAGGCAGGATCGGGAATCAATGTGGAGATCCACAACACTTAGCATAACATAAAGGACTCGACACAGATTTCAAATCAGTGTTCCTATATGTTTTAGAGATTCAGTACACTTATTGCCTGAGGTAATTTCAACAGAATTGGATTAACACCTGTTCCTTTTTGTGATTACTGAGGGTCAGATAGCTGACTGGAAAGAATTAGCAACATGGAACTCTGACAATCAGCTAACCGACCAAAAACGTACTGTCTAACAAATATTCAGAAAGAAATGGAGATAGGCTGGACGTACACTACAGAGACGTTCAAGTGACATACTCTAACAAAGCTCTGGAGTGGAAGGTGAATAGGAAGCAACAATTTGGAAAGGAAATGAAAGTTTTTGGGCAAGTATGCAGCAAGCTAATGAAGATCATAGAAAACAGAATATAATGAAAACGTCCAGTTTGATTTTTCCAACCGTTGGGTTCCAACTAGTTTGTTTCACTTGCCCACCGTCTCATTAGCTCCATTTCTGGTTGCCCTGCATTTTACTGTTTTTCTCATATTGGCTGAGAGTGAATCATAACTGTTAAGTCCGCATAAACTACTTTATAAATCTTCTTATAATAGCTCCTATGCAAACTAAACCCAAACCTCCCACGGGGAGTGTCCTAGAGTTGCTTCAAGATTGAAGATATGTCATACTGATAAATATTAACCGGAGCTAAGTCTAGTTCGATGGTTTCGTACTGAGTGTCTTCAGTCACTTAACATAGATTCTAAATGTAATACGATGGCAAGTCACATTCCTCGGAGACTATGTTTTGAACTTAACTGATAGGATTCAGTCAACACCAACCTTAAACGACTAGATGGATGAAATTGGTTACACCCTTGTGGTCAATCAATATTATAAATCTATTGATATATGGTCATCATATCACTAGTTGGTCTATAATTTAATATACGTGTTGATTATCTGGTGCTATGTAATGGTACAATCTGTATAATAATAATGGTTTAAACTTTATAATTGCTACGGCTTCCACAAACTTTAGGACACGCCCCAAGCATATTCCCAAATGTCTTTAGAAGCAAACAGAATCTTCAGAGCCCATGTAAAGGTGAGAACAGAAGACCTATCTCGTCTATTGCGAAACATATTATAGAGACAGGACATAAAATTGACGTTAACACATCTTTTAAACCTATCTATAAAACGTGTTTGGGGAGTATCCTAAAGCTTGTGGAAGCCCAAGTGGGATTAGGAAGTTTATACCACCTTTATGAGTTCCAAAACAATTTGTCATCACAAGAAACCTTCCTTGGTGGGCTTCGTTTTGATACCAGTCAGTGCAGATGAACAAATACCTCTGTTATTTGGTTTAGTGATCTTCATTGTTATTTTGACCTTGAATATGTCCTTTTAACTTCACTTAAGTAGTCTATTTTCTCCCCTCTTAACTCTTTACTAATTTCATATATATTCATTCCTATGATAAGTACATGGAGTGTGATCAGATTGTTCGAAATGTGTTGCGCAAATACATACATGACACGTTTCAGACAAATTACGTCTTCTTATTGCTTCGTTTAAAGGTTGAACAGTCAGATTAACCATGAGAAACACCTACTAACTTAACTGTCAAAGGATCAGTTTTTAATGAAATTCACTTTAACTTTAATTAATCTACTCTGGTACTTCCTTTTATTATCTTTTCATTTATTTATGTTCCAAACGGAACACAGGACTTCAGGTTGAAGCTTTGAAATTCCAGTAGAAATAGTGTTCTTTTAATCAGGGTGAGTTTGTTAGCCTTGAACCCAGCCTTCCATCCTCACTGAACTTACTATCAGCTAAGAGAGGTTCAGGACCATACTGGCCGGAAATCGAACCCTGGACCAAGTTGGATAGTATTCTACCACTGAACTACTGTGATAAACCTGGTAAATTTCCTTTGATTGGACACTATTTAGTCCTTCGTCTGATACAAACTGAATTATATCATTCAAATTTGCAATGTGGCCAGTATGCTCGGTGGTCTGATGTCACGGTGCACTCAGATTAGTTGTTACTAGTTCGCGGGAAGTCATGGACCTAGGTTTCATGTTTGTTGGCACTTGTCAGCAAGGTTTATCTGAGTTTTGAGTTCCTTCAAGACTGCAGATGCGACATGCTGATGAGTGCGAAGCTAGCACGAAATGTAGGTACAGGGTTTCCTGTTGATTACCTCCAACAATTAAAAACAACTATTCTAAGCCAAATATTATCATTTAATGGTTGTAAAATTAAAATAACTTAGAATTAAATAATGGAAAATTCCCATTGTAACATATAGAAAATCAAAACAAATGATTCAGCGAAGAGACTCTTTTCAACGAATTTATCATCAAGCTGTACAATCGTATATATATATATATATGGTTATATCCGATGAGGGAATTGAAACATAGGTGTGAATGCATAAAATAATAATAATGTGAAATACAATTAAAACTAAAATGTTTGTGATTATAATCGTAGTTAAATGTCAAGTGGCAAAGCAAATTAATGTCATATATAGAATAATTCATAGGATGGATAGGACTTGGAAAAGGTGTGCAATTATAAGATTAGTAGGCAAATCGAATAAAATAAAAACGTTACGTAATATTGTGTGAAATTTAATAGCATAGAATTTAATGTTGCATAAAGGAATAGATTTAGAATGACAAGTGGAACAAGTGAAATAATACCGGGGACAATTAAAAGTGAGAGTAGTAATAGTAACAACTGACTTAATAAGGAAGAGTATACAAATTGAATAGAGAAAAATGAAAACATGAAAAATTGGCAGAGCTAAAATATGATTGGGGATTACCATACTTTAGCATAGAGGGATTAAGACCATGAAAGTTGGAGGGGTTGAACGAACTTTCTCTGTACACAGAGATCTGGCTTTTCTGTTTCGATAGCCAAAGCTTCAGCAATACAGATGAGTCGGGTACGTAGGGATTTGGGCAAATTACTCTTACACTTTGAACTGTCCCCGGTATTATTTCACTTGTTCCACTTGTCATTCTAAATCTATTCCTTTATGCAACATTAAATTCTATGCTATTAAATTTCACACAATATTACGTAACGTTTTTATTTTATTCGATTTGCCTACTAATCTTATAATTGCACACCTTTTCCAAGTCCTATCCATCCTATGAATTATTCTATATATGACATTAATTTGCTTTGCCACTTGACATTTAACTACGATTATAATCACAAACATTTTAGTTTTAATTGTATTTCACATTATTATTATTTTATGCATTCACACCTATGTTTCAATTCCTCACCGGATATAACTTCTTAAAAACTTAGAATTAAACAAGTTGACTCATGATTTATTCAGAATAGGGTTTTAAACCAACAGTTTTCATCTATATATTATGACATAATGCACAAAAAGATGAAGTATTCTAAAGATTTTAGCCTTTGCAGGAATTTAGGCTATTTTTTCACACATAAACATCACTTGGAAAATCACTGAAAACAAAGAATCACTGGACAGTTATTTTATCTTAGTCGGGAACACTTCACCAGTACTGATCCATGGCTCTATCGTCTGAACCCACGAGCTTTACGTTACGAGGTCAGACTACTCATGCACTAGGCTTGAAAAGAATGACAAGTGAATTTTAACACCTGGCGTTACCGCCATCCAATCAAATCGATGGGCATTTGCTTCACCCTGATGTAGTGGACCCCTCTGAGCATGACAGCTCACTAGAACTTCATGGCATTTGTCCAGTAGGCCCTGATAAGCTGAAAAATGGTATTCAGATATTAGATGCTGTAGGGTCATAGATGTGCACTGATGAATAGTTCACAATTAGGATGAAATAGCTGTCCAATGGCCCTTGATTTTCAATGACTTTTCTAACTGACGTTAGTTATTGAAAAAATCTACACTGAAGAGAAATTTTGCTATATGTAACTCACTTTCAGTAGATTAGACAATGATTCTGATAGAAATTTCACTTGACTTCTTGTATCCATTGTACTAAAATGGAACGTATTAAAATGTGGGATAAAAAATGATTTTCTTTTCTTACTACTAACAAACATATAAGTAGTAGGTAGTAATTTGTATAAGTAACACTTCGGAATACCAGCAGCAGTTAGGCTGATGTATTGATTGGCACAAAACACTTTTCAGCGTACTCATTGATCTATTCTACATCGTAGACTAGCTTTACCACATTACTAAGTTATTTAGAGTGTTTTAAAGTAGAAGTTGAAATTTTCTTTGGTCATGAACAATTTTAGTATGACTCACATTGGTTTTACGAACTCATCAATTTCTAGAAATCGATTTGAAAAGAGAAGAGACCTCAGTACTCCTTTTAATTGTGTTTTTGACGTCTAAAGTCTTTAATTTTATGTGTTTTTAAATGTTATAAGCGTTGCTTTCAGGTTTTTGAAGTTTTCATGACTTAGTAAATAATGAGGTTAGAAAGTTTTCAACTGGATTATTTAGTGAATTATTTTTCAAATTGTGAGTTGATCGATCCAGCACACTTATACTATGAGGTGACTTTAACATCTCCATTTGAAGACTTTAATACTTGGCAGCCTGAATTTTTAATTCATTAGAAGAGATACATTACTCATGAATTATAGTTAGTACAACTGAAAATTCAGATAAACCTTTGAAGTGAAGGCCGGAGTAAGACAAGCCTGACTAATATCACCAGTGATGCTTGTGATTGTGGTTGACTGCGTCATATGCTGCGGATGATAGGGAGCAAGATGACAGGAAAACGTTGAACTGACAAGAAGACTATAGATGATCTGGAATTTGCCGATGATTTATATTTAATGTCACACAAGCTCTAAGACGTATAGTTGACAGTCGTCAAGTTGGCGGAAGGCATAGCAGAGTTCAGATTTTAAAATGAACATACAGAAGGCAGAGGTGATGCAGATAACCAACCAACATCAACGAGTAGCAATCACTTTCTGTGGAAGAAACCTGAAGGAAGTCATTTCTGCTTAAGTCAGTTGTTCTACATACGTCAGAAACTTGGCGTGTTATCAAAAGCACTTACACAAAAGGCTGTTTCAGACTATCAATAGCTGCCTTCGCTCCATAATGAAGATCAGATAGCCAGGCAAAAAGAAATAGCAGCAAGAAACTCTAGGAACAAACCAATCAGGAACCTATTACCAAAAATATTCTGAAGAAGATCACGGTGGATTGGGGATACACTAATGAAATCGTTAACCCAAAAACAAGCGCAAAGCAGGCTCTTGAGTGGAACAAATGGAAAGCGAAGAATTCGTTTTCAGTCCGAGAGTAACATGAAGGAGGTTGTGTGAGTGGGAGATCAAAGCACATGAGAAATTTTCAAGCCAAAATAAAATGAGATTTGCTGTTGAAGCCCAGTGTTCTATTAGGAATCGAAGGGAATAATGATAGTAATAATAGTAATATAAGGTATCACACCTGTCTAAACCCGAACTTCCTATCTCTTGGGATCAACTGCCAAAAGTCAGTCAAAAGTTCTGACATCATTCCAGAAGTCATCACCAATGCAAATTAAATGACTGAGAGTTGAAATCCATAAAGTCCTCTAATTTGCGTCATTCTTAATAATTCTGTAGAACGTTGTTACGTAAACCTTCGGATCAGCGACTGTTTTTCTACTTAAAAAACAGTATTCTCTTTGACTAATACGTTTTTTCATATTTCATGACTTTGTGTTTCCACGTGAACACAAGACTTCAGGTTTTAAGGTTTCACTAGTAGTGGCTTTATCATTTTTACAAGGTGATGGTAGTAAAATATGCTTAAAGGGTATCAATAGCTACTTCGGAAGGATTCCATTTGTTTCACTTCTTGTCATGGAATGATGTCAGTTAGAGAATCACAGGAAACCAGGAAGTATTGGACAGCCATTTCGTACTGTTTTGGCTGGGGTTCTAACCTGCGGCCTTTCGGTTATATAACAAGCTCGTAGACAACTCAGTCACTGGGACATTTTACAGTGACCCACAAATCCTGACTTCTACCAATTCGTGATTGAAACAAACCAAATTCCTACAAAAAACTCTTCAAAATTAATGTGGTGCTCACTATTCACTGGCCACAAGAAGAAGTTGCCCGAAGTTTTGGTGAGATGTCGTGATCAACAGAGTCCACCAAGTCGTCGATGACATTGACTGCGGGTTGCGCCGAAATCACGAATTGGTAGGAGATGGAATTCATTGGCCATTGGACCGGGTCCGAGGAGCTAAGTGGTCTACCAGCTCGACTTGTAGTCGGAAGCTCCTGGGTTCGAAACCACCCGGGTGCGTACTGCTAATTACTCCCGAACTAGAACAAAGCAGCTGCCCATTACTTCCTGGTTTCAGTGTCTCTCTAACCGACACCAGTTAGTGGTCAAACTTGGAGTGCATAATTATAAGCTGGGAAAAACGGAACGCTGAACTCTGTAGCAGAAGTTGATGGTTAGTGTTTACTCTGCTGACACACCAGTTAGTAAAGGTTAATCATTCATAAAAACATTAGACGTGAGAAGTTGTCATTCAAAGATTACCATAATGCTTTCCTACCTGTTATGTTTAACATATTCATCTAAACTCTTCATTGTTGCGTCTAATTCGTCTGCATACGCCCTGCATTCTTTATCACGAATATCCAATTGCTTTTCAACAGATTCAATAAGTTTGAACCAATCATTCTGTATCAATTTATCGATTTTATTTATTATTATTGTATCGTATAATTGTAAGCATTGTACAAACCAGATACCAATAAAACCCCATATTTCAATAAATTGTTGTAAATTAAAACAAGCTTGAGCTAAATTTGAAAGATTCACTTCTTCAATATTTGACAGCTGAGTAAAAATCTAAATTGATTTTTTTTTCAGAAATACAACGGAATATAAGCAATAGACTTTATGAATATTGTATAAAATAGGGAGTCATAGGTAATTTATGTTTATTAATTGCATTCCAACTCATTATTATTATTATTGTATCCTTTAATTCCTTCAGGAACATAGGGCTTCAGCCGTGCGCCTCCATTGCGTTCTCTTCTCTGCTAGGGTCTTCACCTGGCTCCAAGTCTGCCCACACGTTTTCATCTCCTCTTCACATGACCTCCTCCAAGTCACCCTTGCACTGACGACCAACTCGCCGCTTCCTTTTCGGATTCCACTCAAGGGCTTGTCTAGGGAAACCATCAAGTGACATCACTCATCATAATCAATATTTAAACAGAAATATCCCCTACACTTATACTGTGAGTTATGGCTAATGAAAGTGGTAGATATGAAGTGACTGGCCGTCTTCCGCCACAGGCATTTACTTCCTACCTGTAGTGTTCGATGGTTCAATATGGTCTGTAAGAATGAGATTAAATGTACAGTGTCGGATATTAAGGTGAAATCAATCAATCAGGTTGTGGTGATGGCTAGAAGGCGTGAACCACATTCCCAGTCACCACCTTCTTTGACGAGAAACATTAGCTGACATGGAGATGAAAAATTTTAGCATCAACCTATATTGTCTTTGTCAGTTGATTTGAGTCCATTATGAGAGTTCAGACTTTCTGGTTGGAGTCTTTGAGAGGTTAAAAGGAATAGCTAACAATTTTTTGGTGCCAAAAGAAGCTCCCCACGGTTCAGATGTATTCACTACTTGCCATCTTTTAGATCTTGAAAAGGCTTCCTAAAATAATATAAGGGGGATAGAAGAACTTTTAATCCAAGTTTGGGAACAGTAGGAACAACACCAGAACGCACTGTTTTGAAGACAAAGTTCTGGTTTAGTCAGCTTTATCGCAACAGTTTCAGGTATATGTAAAAAGTGAAGGCGAACTGTGCGTGATAATGACTTTAGAATGCGGTTTATAACCCCGTGCGTCTGTGGCAAAACGTTTAATACTCACGCTGACCATGCACATGGTCCGGGGTTCGATCCCCTGCCGACGCACACCTGATATCAATTGTTCAGTCAGCAAAATTTGGGCTACCGATATCACAGGCTGAAAATTCCATAGGTGTAAGAAAATACGGTGTGGAATCAAGCTATAATCAAAATTTTTAAAAAAATAAAGGTTATCTTGATATCCTGTCCAGTCCCATAGAACTGGAGTTTTTATGTACATAATTTTACTGTATCTGAACCAAGCTGGTAAATGTTTTTGAAGTCGTAGACGAACCCGCTTAATTGTACACGTTACATAACTTGTACCACGGAAACAGTTAAAACGGTATATGCATGAAAAGGAGCTAAGATTAGATAAAGGGTTGTAGCGGGAAATAATTCGCCAAAGTTATTGGCCACAACATTCATCACTGAACATTGGATGCTGACCCTCACTGTTTAAGTCAACTTGTTTAGCTGAAGGCTTCTGGTTAAGCATCCCCGCCATTTGGTACGCCGTCAAGTCACGTTCGTTCGTTTGTGCACGATCTCCAGCTAGCAAAGCAATCATCTCGAACTCCGATTTGTTCCCGAAATATGTCTCGTAATTTGAACGATCAATTCTTCTGTTTTGCTTTACCTTTGGTCTAAGCGGAACGAACACTATAGAAGTTGTGGGTATTAGGTCTTACGTTTGTATACTTCTTGCTACCTTTGGACGTCAATATCTTCAGCCTCTAAAAGGTCTTTTATTTTCGGGGTGAACTTCGTCGGCCACTGAAGGCTATGAACAGAACCTCAGGGTGAAATGTCTAGTTTTTTGCTGCCACTAGACTTTCAGTTATAATTTCCATAAAGATATCTCCATTTAAATGAAGAGGTAAACATAATGGCTTTTTCTCCACCACTGCCAGTTCATGTTTACTTCTGCTACAACTAGTGTTGACCCTCAGAAATTCCTCTCAGTATCTGTTTTTGCTTAATATATCCTGGATGACGTTGAACTGCTTATCTACACACTCTTGGTAGCACATCGACCCTGCTCTGAATGCTACTCATCTGGCTAAAATACGCCTGCATTCCATTCAGAGAAAGCTAAAGAAATTCACAATCGTCTTTGGCCTCTGGTTTCCCAAATATGTATCCATCTCGATAAAAAGGTGTTAATAAATACATCGTATATATTTTTTTCAACACACATAAAACCAGGCTACATCAATTATGAAATAAATTAGTTTTATTGTTCACGTGAGTAGAAGACTGTTGAATAAAATTTCCTCGCTAAGCTAGAGAATAGACCGCTGAAAGGAGTAGGAATTCTACTGCAAATTTATGGATGATACATTTCTGGTTATGAAAACCAAGAATGAATCAGTGAACATCGTCGACAAGTTCAGTGATGCACATTCAGCAATAAACTTTACCATAGAGAAAGAAAGTAGTGGCAATATCTCGTTCGTAGACGTCTTCATGACAAGGAAAGAAGATGGCACACTAAGAAGGAATATGTATAAGAAACTTGCAACAACAGGTCAGTTGACTCATTTTTTGAGTTTTGTACCTTTGAAATATAAACGTAACTTAGTAAAGTGTCTGGTTCATAGAGCTGGGATAATTTGTTCAAACGACTGCCTCAGTGAAGAGCTTAAGATTATTAGAGAATTACTTGGAAAAAATGTTTATTCAGATAATTTCATTGAGAAAAACATGAATTCAGCACCAAGGAGAGTCAGTATAGCAACAGCTGCAAAAAACCATTGTTCATAAAACTGCAGTTCCTCAGTGACAACATCGGTGAAATAGTAACACAGAGCCTGAAGAATGCAGTCAAAAGAGCTTTCAGTGCAGCAGAGATACACTGTCTTTTCACTGCTATCCACATTTTACGTTCGAGAAATGAGGAAAACTACCTAATTTTGCCTCATCTATGTGTATCTGCCAGTTTAAATGCAGCTGCGGAGCCAGCTACATCGGCAGTACAACTAGGCAGGTTCATCATTGAATTTCCGAAAACCATCCAGCATGGTTAAGCAAGGGACAAACAAGACCTATTCATAGCTCTGTTTTAGCGCACCCTGTAGGTAGTGAGCATAAGGTTGATGTTAATACAACATTGAAAATTATTTATCTCATTCCTACTAACCTTAATTTTGCTTTACGAGTTCGTTTTCTACATACAGCTGAAGCGATAGGAATCCACCTGAAGAAGCCGAACCTGTGTATTCAAAATAAATCTGTACAGCCACTTTCCTTACCCTGGCCATCGTTACATGAATGTATAAACCGGACTACTTCGCCCCCCTTCCCCATAAATCTTTAAAAATTGTAACTGTCAAAATAATTTAATTATTTTTCTGACTACTTCATCTTTAATTACATATTATCATTGTCCAAATCGTTTTATTTTCTTTAACAATCTGTTACGTAATCAACTTGAGCACACGCCTAATCCTTAATTACTCTTCATTTTTCCAAAATTATGCATTTTGCAATTCAACTATTGTAGATATTTCTACCTTTTAAGTGTATGTATTAATTTTCTTCGTTAATTATGCCCCATCACCTTGACATGTTGATACTGATTAATTATTGTTAACAAACATATCAGTGACACTTGATTGGTAAATTGTTGTGTATTGTAATAAAAATGCTATACATAATATATTAGAGTAGAGCCAGAGATGTTGACCTAATTGAAAAGTTAATATTTCTTCGTTCAATCCTTTTGCCTTCTAAATGTCTAAATGGGGATTTTTTCCACACTGAAACATAAAATCCTCTACCTATGCAGTCACTGGCTTAAAATGTTGGTTCCAGTTTCAGTCGCTCCATATATCAGTTTCCGAGGATAGGTGTGATGCAATTTAGAAAACTACAGATCAGATGTGTTCTCACTTATTACCACCAACATTGTCAACTATACATGTAATACGAGTATACATGAAAATACACCAAAGTTTAAAGTATATCCCAACTTACATAATAATTAAGAACTTTCAATACACTATTCGACAATTCATTATCGTCTTGCATATCTTTCAGTCTATCTTCAGAAAGTTTTCTTTGATATTCATAACACGACTTGAATTCATTCAACAGGTATTCTGTCATTGATGCTTCACTTAATTTAGCCTTGAACTACAGGAATTTGTTTAAATGATTTCAAATCTTGAATGGAAACTATGCATACCTTAGTTTTAAGTTGTTCTTCTTCTGTTTTGTATATTTCACTACATTCTGTTATCATTTTAAGTTTCCTTTATGAATTAATTTTTATAAGGGAAGAAGATTTTAAATTCAAATAAGTGTGGTTTTTTATGTTTAAAATAATATGCACTCAAGGTCATTGATAATTTAAACAACCTACCGGAAGACGCGATTTGTTTCTTCAGCATACTTGTCATTCAGTTGTATCGTTTGCTTATAGAGTATCTCTTGACAAAATAATTCATTACATAAACTGATTAATGTTATCCATTATTATTATTTTTGTTTCTTCGAAGAAAACTTACTTTAAAAATCGAATTGGTATAGATTCAAAGAAATTTTTGTAGAACATTCTGATTTTTGCCAGCAATTTACCACGATCATAACATTGAACAGTTTCCTGAAGTAGTAGAACAAATATTTACTGACTCAATTGCTTATAGATGAAAATTGTTTGAGAAATTGTGGTGAAATTCACCTTCAAAAACCAATCATGTCTTTACAGTCTGACAATGCTTGAAATTTCGAAGAATCACTGAAAGTCAAGGAGCATCGAATAACTCTTCTGCTCATCTGCTCAATATATAATCCTACTGCCAATGTGTATTGATGTTTCTTATACCCTACATGCTGGATCTCACTGATCCTTGTTTCTAATCAAGTGATCCTGATTGCCACTGAGTACTTGTTGGGTGTTCCGTTATTAAATGTAAGGGTTGATCGCTAATTGTATCACTGACATACTCCAGGTGAGAAATACTTTTTCAAAGACAGATGATACTCTGATATTTATCAAAACGACTGACAATTATGCTCAACTACTATCCCGCCATTCCTGCTATGTACTTCCCATCTTCGTGGCTCCAATGGTATAAGTGGATAGCGCTTTTACATCGGTGATATGATGCTGACAGTAAAACCCATAAAGATCCAAGTTCGGCAGTGAAGCTAGTAACCTCACCCAGTAGAAACAACACTACCGATCCTGGAAATTCTTCACAGGACTCAAAGGAGTTAAAAAAATCGCATGTTTTGAAATCCATGTTTGTCAGTAGTAGTAATAAGTAGTATATCGTATACTATAAACGTTAATGATCATTTATTATCAGTTGTACATGTATGATATTTGAAATCATAATATGAATTTCGACTGAATAGGTTGTCTGATGTATAGAATAGTACATGGGATGTATAAATCTTAGAAAGCTGTTTAGAATTACCAAGATTACTAGGCAATCAAGACATGGCATAACAGGATGAGAGTTTCGATTAGACAGCACTGCGAAAATTTAAATTGAATAGAACGAATAAAGGATGATAAGCGGGATAATACCAAAAATTGTGTAAATTGAAAATAATTATAACACAGTTCGAAATAACTGGGGGGGAGTGGGATTTCACTTGAACTAAGATTATTCAGTCACAGGAGATTTTCTAAATAAATGTTCCGTTTTTCTTTTCAGAATGTCAAGATTTATTATAGAAACATTCATTGAAACAATAATAATAATAATTTGTTTTATTCCAGAAACAGTACTAGTGGTACGGTGTGGAATTTTCTGCACATATCTACAATATTTGCATCTAATTTTATCATACATTTAAAAGGAGTATTTCAAAAAACAAACTTAAAGACAACAACAACAAAAAAGCGAACACAAAAGTAATTTTTTAAATGCGAAAAAAATACCAAGAAGTAGAAAGAAAAATAAACAACATAAAAAAATATCTCAGTATTGGATAGTGGAAGCTATGATATGATCATGCATGGTGACAGTAAAGCTGTAGTCATACAAGAAGTTATGAAATGATATTTAAGAATGTTTATCACCAAGATGATCAGTTAATTTAGGTTGAAACAACACTAGACAATCATAAAATAACATTTCAGGGTTGTTGTTTTTTATCAGGTCTAATGCGGTGTTTGTAGTGGTAGTGTGAGTAATCCTGCATAACACAAAATTTTAAGACGGTGATAATGGCTTTCACAACCAAGATTGTCAGTTAATATTTCCGAACAAAAAAACAACCACAAAAACTAATAATTACATGATGTTTAATGACAGGACAATTTTGTACTACTCATAGTGCTGATATATTCGGAACCAGTAGATACACAAAATAAGGAATATAGTAAAGTACAAAAAAGAAAGCCAGTGTTAATAATTTAGGTAGCTAAGTATGTTTCAGAAGGAGTTCACTATAGAATACAAATTAAGAGAGAAATAAATGAGCCTAAAATTATGTTATTAACAACACAGCAAGTCATAGGTTTCGCGCTTAACATTGTCTCTGTGACTTAGAACACGGGCCGAGTATGGTATCGTTGAGTTCCTGTAATTGGTTGTACGAGCATATATTATTTTATGCTGATTTCTGGTTCTACTTGATGAGATACAAGGCGAGAGTTGGGAATAGAGGGGATATTGGGGTCGGGGAGTATGGTTTTAAACCATTTTTCGCATGTATTCAGATGCCTTTCTACTAATGTAGTGACGAGCTAACTGAGTTTCACACCACTAGTCCTACTAACTACCTTCAACATCCTTCTCAGGATGGTATAGTCCTTTTTCATTAGCCCAGGAAAGACCAACGGGGAGCAGTAAAGTAGAATAGGTAAGATACAAGAGTTGACAAATTGTGAAAGTAGAGGTTGGGTATATTTGAAATTATGGAGAATTCTATCTCAGATGAAGCTTTCCTGTGTGTTTATGTCTTCTAAGCTATGCGGTTTCGTTGTAAAGCTTTTATTCTCATGACTTACTTCATACTGAAGTTAGCAGTTTTAAACAATAAATTTAATTTGGCCACTAAAATCATCTGATATTTATATAGGTATTTGTACTCGTTTGCCGTAACACACCAGGCATTCGATGTAATGTAAGATTTGTACTGCTAGCAGTTGAATTCACAGTCATATTCTTTCACAAAAGTAATATAAGACCTAAGGTAGTAACTGAGCTGATAAAAATCAGGCTGCAGCAAACAATGGACTATACGTATAACATTACTTACTGTCTACTATGCAATCAGAGTGTTCAATACAGTCCTACTAGAGGTCATCTTCTGACTTGAACAGCTCAGTTGTAACGTCTGTGACTGCAGCACCGGGTGGCAGGAGTTCAACCCCCAGGAGGGAAATGAGTTTCTTCAAGGTTGTAGATATGCCTTACTGACTGATAAGTGCCTACAAACAAGAGACGCAGATGCAGTGCTTCCGGCTGATTGCTTTCAACCATCTGAAATAACAATAATTCTGAGTTCACCATGAAGTGCTTGATATCACAGACACCAAGCACATCAACTAGGAGCAATTGCTAGCTAGATCGAGGTGATCTGAACACTAGGTGGTTTTTTAGTCTGTTTGGAACCGAGTTTATCAATAGTGTACCCATTTCGACTCAGCTCAGACGGTCAAATCAGCTCAAACTACACAAAATCTGGCTAGCTACTTCAGTGGACTGGTAATACATTGAATGGAATTCGCGATTTGCTCGTTACACATTTCCGTGTTAAGGTCGTTTATGATTGGCTAAAGAGCACTACGAGGGAAAATCAAGAGGGCTTTAGGCCAGGTAGAGGGTGCATAGATCATATCTTCACTCTCCGACAGATCTTAGAACATAGACACACTTTTCGGCGTCCAACAATTGCCATATTTCTTGACTTGAAGGCAAACTTCGACTCCGTGGATCGAGAAGTACTATGCCAATGTTTGACTGTGAAGGGAGTGCCGAGAAAGTTCATTGCACTAATCAAGGCACTCTACTCAAACTCACTTAGCCATGTAAGTGCTTATGGGGAATTGTCATCTGAATTGATACCAACCAGTGGTGTCCGTCAAGGATGTCTACTTTCCCCATGCCTGTTTAACTTCATCATAGATATGCTAATGGAAGTATCCTTAACTGAACTTAAGGACTTAGGAATCGACTTGTTACTAGGGAATAGTCTTATGGACTTGGAATATGCAGATGACATAGTTCTGTTAGGGGAGGATGCTGACAAAATGCAGAGTCTTCTGAACACCTTGAACAGCAATCTTCGTATGTTTGGCATGCGATTCGCCCCTTAAAAATGTAAGATACTGCTACAGGGCTGGATTACGTCAACTCCAAGCTTAGTGATAGGGAGTGAAGTGATAGAACATGTTGACCACTTCACCTATTTGGGAAGTTGTATCAGCACCAACGGATTGATTGGTGACGAAATCTCAGCACGGATCCAAAAAGCTTGGGTTGCTTTCGCTAACTTACACCGTCTCTGGCGTAGGCGTGATATCTGGCTATCAACTAAGGGACGTCTGTACTGCTCAGCAGTTCGCTCCGTCCTTCTCTATGGCTCTGAAACATGGCCAATACGAGTTGAAGACATGAAAAGGTTGTCTGTTTTTGATCACAGATGTTTACGATCTCTTTCTCACGTTAGGTGGTATAATAAGGTAAGTAATGTTGACGTTAGGCGTAGAGTGTTGGGCAAAGAGGGAAAATCAATCGAAGAGGCTATAAAGTTACATAGATTGAGATGGCTAGGTCACGTGCTGCACATACCTAACCATTGCCTCCCCCGACGGACGGGCATTACTAGCTGATATAGGTGCAGGTTGGAAAAGAGTAAGTGGTGGCCAAACAAAAACATGGCATCAATCCATGAAATCATTGACAGTTAAACTGAGTCAGGTAGGGAGATGCAGACTTCCGGGTTGGGGCCCGCCCTCGGGACTCCAAGAATCAATGGTTGGAGACACTAGGTGACATGGCTCAAAATCGTTGTCAATGGCTAGCGCAGATGTATTCAGTCTCTGTAATCTTTCATATTCCTTTCTACCACTACTCATTCTGTTTCACTCTTATACTTGTCAAAACTCTCTTGATTCTCTTCATTCATTCATTTTCTTGTCTACCTTTGTGTGCTATTTGGAACGTGGCAACTCGAAGTGTTGCACTTCGGTGCCAAGTTCTATGTTGAATCCAGACAGACAGACTACGGGTTGATACTAGTGGTATCCAATCCCACAAATCGATCAATCAGCAGTATACAGCTTCAAGACCTGATGTAATGTCGTCTTCTTTGAGTTATCATGCTTTTAGTCAGCTCATTGGATAAACAGAAGAGATTACTGTGTAAGGACAGAAGACAAGTGCCAGGCAACAGATCGTTTATTGACCGAATCAAGAGGTGTTTATAGACTTTTATGTGCACTATTATCAGCGTTATTGTAAGCGGAGAAGCGACCTCTTCTGGTTGGTTGTTTTCTGGATTAATGTTATTCTGTTAGCGTTTCTCAAAAAATCAAGTCACATTCCTGTGAATCATATTTCCACACATTAATTCTGCTGTGATTGGCTGGTGGCTTCCTCAATGGTTATGCTTTGTTACTTTTGTTTTCTCATGACCCTGATTAGGGAAGTGAATTATTGTCTACAACTTTTGGCTTGCAGCCCACACTCACTACAACCGTAGCAACAAAAGTAGTGGACAACAACAGAAATCTTTTCGAAATATCCAATAGGATAGAAAATATTATTATCAGTATGTGGGAGAAATTAAAGCACCCAAGCATTTTTACAAGTGAACATTTCCGATGCTAATCTGATTCTACTGCTCCATGTTGTATCATATTTGAATCACAGTAACACACTTTAAAAATAAGAATATATATATGCGCATTTGAGCTGCATTCATTCAAAAAGAAACTCACAGCAAATATTAAAAATATTTAATATGATACGAAGCTTAAAAAGTGAAATACTTATGAAGGATCGGCAAAAGTGATGAATCATTCAAAGGGTTGGTCACACATCAGGTGGATTTTCCAGTCATGGGAAGAATAAATGACTTCGGACTATACACATGGAGAATTCGGTCATGCAACAAAATATGTGTATGCAAGAAATCATTTTTTTCCAATTTATGTGAGCAGTTAACCCAGAAATGAAGATTCAGGCAAAACTAAGGACCGACTTCACTCTTCCTCCGATGAGTTATCTATATTTTTTATGTTTAATTTTTAGACAATAACATCGTTTCAAATTAAGACATTCTAGAGGTATCATAACACAATTGGTCTGCGTATGTAATAGAGTCTGCCCCTTGTGTGTGAAATACATCTAGAGACCATTTTTAATAAATTCGGCTCTCTCACTCTCAGTATGGCATGATTTAAACTGTTTCATTAAATCAATAGAAAGTAGAAATAATTAAACAGAAAATTACTACCTCAGAATCTCAACAAAATAATATATATAATTATAAAATGAGCGCTTTTACCTGGCGAATTAACTCTGCGAAGTGCTCAGTGTAGTAAAATTTCTCTTTTTCAATGCACTTCAGGAAAGCTAGAACAAAATTAATCGCCTTAGGAGGCATTTCATCTGCTTTATAAAGTATCGGTGACTTTTGTCGTTTAATAACTTCCAGATTGTCATAAAAGTTTGGCAACCTAAAAAATATTAGGCAAAATATCTTACAGCTCAGGAAGTCTTATTCTGTTTCCGTTTTCATCCCTGAAAAGCACTGTAAACTGACTAGGAATTTGAAGCTAATATTAAGTTTACTTGTCGTCAATAGAAAGTTGTCGTTGCTGCTCGAACCGAACCAGAGATAAGCAGTTAGCATTAAGGGAAGTGTCTTTAACATCAAGCTCAGAAAACTAGTAGCATTCAGATTTTGAACGCTTAGACAAAATATTACCTGAGGAAAAGCCGCTGGTATGACGAAGCATTTGCCACTAAAATATTTAGAAGAAAACCTGACCAAAAACTACTTCAGTGAATTATTCTTCTGTGATTCATCAAGCAGATGCTTAAATCTTTCTCGATTCCTTTGGAAACCCCAAGCACATGATGGTCTACCCATTCTACCCGGCGTTTGACTTACGACCTTGATACCTGAGCAACATAAGTAATGAGGAAGTAAAACAAACAATTAAATAAAAAGTTGAGGAGTTGTTTCGGTATATTTTATGAAGTCCTTGTGGTTTTCCTTTTTCAACAAATCCAGAAAGTCGGAAAAATGATGAATTTAAGCAAAACCAAATAGCACATCTGACATTAATTTGAAAGGTATGTAGGAAGAGGGGGGAAGCTTGTGCCAACAGTGATACGCAAGAAATTTAAGCATAACCTTTTTTTACAAAATTCAAAATATTTCAAACACCACTTACGTCAAAGGAAATAGGCACCACTATTCTCAACGTCACATTCGACATGTATGAACTGTCTTAAAAAATAAGTGCGAAATGTTGGAATGTATTTCTTTTAATTTTGGCATCATATGGGAACTGTGGAACCTTTCACTAATGATGCCAGTGGTATCCAAAGTATTCTGACATCCAGTAATGAGACTGAGTGGCAATTTGCAGCAGTTTTAATTTCAGGTCACTATGTACTTCAGTTGAGGAGATGAGTCTCCTTCTATTGCTGTGGGCTCTAGTACTTCAATGCACAGTGCATATGACTACGAGCGTAGCTACTTCCACAGGCAACATACTTACTTTACACAGACTCAGTCATGCTAAACTCTTAAGGAATTACTTATTTATCAATGTATGTAGACTTGATCCACATATTCTTGCTGTTCTATCAGGTATGAGAGAATTCCATGGATCATTCTTGATAAATCTACTAGTTATTTTCCCTGGAAATTTAATATCCTTGTAGTTTTCATGGGTATCACTGAAAACTTTTTATGAAGTAGAGTAAAGACTTTGTCCTTCCAGTAAAACAACTACATTCCTTCTCTATATAAGCTGTCATCTTGAAAAAACCCCAAGTGACATCCATTTACATAGATCCGTCACTTATCTCGGTATAGTATTTTTTGTGTGGACAGTACGTACGTTTTCTTATTTAAATGTATTTTACATGATGTAACTTCATGTCTCACAATTTTACCGTAAATTAGGAAGACTGCTTTCCTAGGGACAGTAGGAGTGAGATGCGATGCGGCGCCTTCACTAGCTCCCAGACCTCCCTGTTAACTTTCGGGAGGAGGAGGATGTATAAATAATATCTGTTTTGCTAGATTTCCATATATTTTGGCCCCGGGACAGAGCAACAGTATGGAACAGAAAACAGCAGAGCGTCTTTTGAAGTGAATTTACTCCTAAAAGTTGACGATTCTTTCTTGGTGGAGAATTAAGGTAGGATTCAGGGGGTGTGGCATGAATGGTACCAAACCTAAAGTCAACGATATAGAACATTCAAGTAGGAGTTGGTCTGGTACAATGATGGGCTACGTTGTTATTAGATTTTCCCAGTCTCCTCATGATGGATTAAAAATGCTATGTACCAGTCAACAAAGTCGGAAGTCTAGCGGTTAGATTTTAGTCTGAAGAAGTCACTTATCGTGCAGCTGAAGGTATTACGTGCTACCGTCAATTTGTTGCCCAGTTTAATTAGTTCTGCAAAATTGTATGACCTGCCTCTGTTTTTTAACGCCTGATAAGTAACATTTTACCTTCGGTGATGATCAAAATACCTGGTGTGACGTTTTGAAAATGGATTCAACCTATAATTGCAATCGCGGATGATCCCCGGATCTCTTCCATAGAAACCCATACATGTCTAAAGATGCGATTCTCCTGTGCAAAGTTGCGCTTCATCTAGAGATTCAATACTGCACGATCATCTCTCATCTTCTTATTATAAGGTTTTAGTTGAAAATGCCAGATGCAGTTTCAGTGGATATCTTCCAGCCACCAAAATGAGAGGTAGAAAGGTTGTGTCCCCTTGAGCGAGAAGGCTAAAAGCAAGTTCGGCTTTTTTGCTTCTGATATGGAGATTTAAAACCACCGCTTAACTTCACACCCCATAATACTGTCAACACGAAGGATATTGGTACAAACTGTGGTCGCTATCTGTTATGTATGTGAATATGAGGACCTTGTAGACTACGAGCGAATCTAACTAATGCGCTGGCTAATCTGTCTTAATCGCACGTCGACAACAACAACAATAATACCGCCGGGCACGCAAGACAAATAAAAGAGAAGACTGGACGTTGATATGAGAGCTTTTACTGTCTCAAACAACAGTCGAAAATGTTAAACAACAACTCCGTATTTATACAATTAGAAAAATCAATGTCACCTTTTAAAAATATTAACGACCTTGGGGATTCAGTAATTTAAATCAATAATCACGCAGATGCGTGAAATCAATGATTATGCTAATGTGTGAAATAAATAATGAATATTAATGATTCCCCTGCGTATATATTACCTCCCCCTTTTAAAAGGAATCTTGCAATCAGTTTAGTATCTTTTTTCCTTGGGGTCGATTTGGAAAGGAACTGTTTGTGTTCGGTTGCGCTGGGATCGTCGGCTGGGTAGCATCTCTTGTTTTGCTTCTGGTTTGACTGGTGGTATTTTGAAAGTTTCCAGTAGTAAATCCAGTGGCAGTTTAGGTTCTTGGGATGTAGTATATCGACGTCGTATCTGATTTTTATGTCTTATCCACCATTCATCCCCAACTTTAACCTTGTACATTAGAGTTCCATGTCGACATTCTATCAAGCCTTCGGCCCATTTTCTGTTCCTCGGTCGATAATCGCGCACATAGACGGCATCACCCTTGCGGTAATACGTCACACTATTTCTTCGTTGATGTGACGAAGATGGTAACATGGAGTGGTGATGAGTTCGTAGCATTCGACCCATTAGAAGTTCTGCAGGGCTTTTCTTCTGTTCTGTCAGTGGTGTAGTTCGGTATACAAAAAGAAAGTTTTGTATTACTTCCGGTTTCGCCCCTCCCCCTGCTTTCAACAACGCTCGTTTGAAAGTGTCGACAAATCTTTCTGCCTGACCGTTGGATTGAGGGTGATAAGGTGGCGTCCGCACGTGTTGTATACCGTTTCTCCTGCAAAATTCCTGGAACACTTGTGAGGTGAACTGACTGCCATTGTCAGATACGATGATTTCTGGTATACCGTGACATGCGAAGATCTTTTCCAGGACTGATACTGTTCTGCTGCTAGAAGGTGGTGTCACTTGTACTACCTCCGGCCATTTTGAGTAAGAGTCCACGAGAACCAAGTAGTATATACCTTCTATCGGCCCAGCAAAATCCACATGTAGGCGGGACCATGGTTTTGACGTGGGCCATGCTCTCGGTGGCTCCCGCGGCGGATCTTTGGCTGCCATGACAGACATCACCTTCAGTTTTTGAGCAGAGCCCGTCTTACGGGAGCTAACAGTTGCTACTTTGTTGCTACCAGACATCGAAGCACTTTTGGCGCAGCCATACTCACTGTGACGATTCGAAGTTGGTTTTTCATTAATCACGTCATTCTTTCTAATGGGCTTAGGTTTAATATATCTGTCTCTGATTTCTGGTTTTCTTGTTGAGGGCTCAATACTTTCAATCTTCTGGCATACACTGCTTAACGGAATCTCTGACAGATGCAGCTTCTCGAACCAGTCTAAACCCAAGAGGTCAAGGTTTGAATTGTTGATGTAGCATGTGCCGACGAAATGACTATCGCGAAAACTAACGCTGCATTTAATTTCTCCATTCAATCGAAGTCTTCCACCACATGCACTAATTGCTATTTGATTTGTCTTCTCTGTGGTAGGGCATCCCAACTTCTGCCATAATTTCTTTGATATTATTGTAATATCGGATGCTGTGTCGATTTGTAGGCGTGCCGGCCGTGTATTAATCGTCAGATTGATATATTTGCGAGGTGCTGGAGTACTAATATGATGTGTGGCAGTAACACCCAAAGACTTAGGCTTGTTGTGCCGTCTGGGTCGACTACGAGATCTGGGTCGGTTGTTGCGTTTGCAGTAGCCATCTTTGTGACCAACAGTATGGCATCGACGGCATTTATGCTGTTTGAATGGGCACAATTTTGCAAAATGCCAGGAGCCACAGTGCCAGCAGGCTGATGGTGGTTTATGCTGAGGGTGAAGCGGTGCGGTTGATGTCGACGGTACTGGATGCACCGCATGCACTTCTGCTGCATTTTGGCTGCCAGACTGCACCAAGACGGTATCGTTGTGAATGTTGATTAAACGCTGATATTCTTCACCGACGTCTTTCAAAGTCATTCGTGGATCTTGTTCCAGACGATTTAATAGACGTGTGCGTATATCAGCAAATTTGGGAGACTGCAAACCACAAATGAAAATCAATACCTTGAACTGGTCTTCTGCGAGCGATTTCAATTTAAAACGTTCACACGTGCGATTGACTATACCCAACTGAGTATGGATATCATCATTTTCGTTCAAAACTAGTTTCATGCAATGATATCGAATGTTGAATAACGATCTCTGATCACCAAACTGATGACGAAGGGTATGGACAGTTTCATCGAATGATCTTTCACTGGGCTTCTGTGGGAGAATTAAGTTGCAGTATTTATCCAGCTCATCTGCTCCCAATTTACGAAGTAGAAGCCGTACTTTCCAGGCATCATCTTTATCCGCAAAGTCTACTCGAAATAGGTCTTCATATCTGCGAAACCAGGTATCAAATGTTACGTTCGCATCTGGATCATAAACGAATTCTGAGATGCTACTACCAATGCTGTCGTTGGCTGTAGATGAATCAGCAGAGCGTGATATTTGTAGACCAGCAAGCATTTCCATCAATTTTAGCTGCTGTTCCATTAGTTTCTCTAAACGCAGTGAGTCCATCTTCAGCAAACCCGTCGCCAAATTTGTTATGTATGTGAATATTAGGACCTTGTAGACTACGAGCGAACCTAACTAATGCGCTGGCTAATCTGTCTTAATCGCACGTCGACAACAACAACAATAATACCGCCGGGCACGCAAGACAAATAAAAGAGAAGACTGGACGTTGATATGAGAGCTTTTACTGTCTCAAACAACAGTCGAAAATGTTAAA